TTGTCGTTTTCGTGTCATTTCCAGCTTTTGGTTGTTAAATGTTTATGCTGACAATGCATGATGGTGCCTGCAGAATGGAGAAAAAAAAAGGCTTTAGGAAACTCTACTATCTTTGCCCAGCTCGCCCCAACCCAAACAGACAATTCAGCATGCTTCAAAGAAGCCATGGTTTTACAGAGCACCGCATCCAAAAACCAAACCGAACTGAAATTGTCCGTTCACAAGGCTGGAAATTGTTGAAGCGTTGCAGGATTTTTCTTAGTGACTGCAAGTTATGGAGTTCAGGTTACCCTGCCCTGTGGACGAAAACCGTGTTGGGATTTACAATGGATAGAAAACCAATGCAAGGATTTTCCTCAGTATAAGTGCCTCCTTTGCGACAACATTGTGTTCCTGTAAGTGCAGAAGTGAGCATGTTAAGACACATTGGTCGTGAAGTATCATCAAAATATGACATTTAATTTCAAGTAACAACTAAATTAAATGTTTATCACACCGCAACCGAATACGGTTGTCAGTCCTGTATGCCAGTCCTTAATACGGTTATATTCACACACAGTTTGGTTATTTACAGGAGTGACACCGCATTCTATAACCAAACTCACACCTGTATATTTCAGAAAACCCTTGCTGTGTGAATGGAACCGGACTGGACAACTAGTTGCCCATCACGTCACACAGTGCAAGAGAGCCGCTCTGTGCTGCACAAACACATGTCTACCGTCTGTTGCGAGTTTCCATGTGTGGTTTCGGTAACTTATCTGAAGGTTTCTTTGACGGATAAACTCGTCAAAAGTGATAACGTCTTTGATATTACTTTGGTCACTGTAGCTGATATGGTTACTGGTAAGAGAATACAGGCTTGACGACCGTTGCACATTCATTCAGACAGTATTCAAAAGAGTGTGAACGGGACATTTCATACCTGTAAGTAAATGCGGTTCTCAATTCCCAAAAATTACAGTGTGACCGTAACCTATGATTGATTGACTATGAAGTATTTAACAACAAAAGCCTCATTTAATTGGTCACTGGCTGTTAGACCGCACTGTTTTACATAATGCAAATGGCATTATAAGGAGGATATAACAGTAAATGTTTTCCTTCATGGAAATGTTTTACTACATGGCATCACTGATCAAGGTTTAATGTGCAAAGACTCGACTTAAGCATGCTAAAATTTGTTGTTGATTATTTGAACTACCGATTAGTTGTTACAGCTCTACATAAGTATAATGAAAGATCAAAGAAGCCACAGAACAATGATGGATTTCACTGGGACAATGAAAGTGACCTTCAAACCTTAAGGGTTGAACTGTTATTGTTTATGTACATGCTGTTTTACCTCGTGACCATGTGAAGGACTCGATTTAGTCTGGCAATCATCCATCCTCTTGCTCAGAAACAAAAGATGGTCTTATTCAGCTGATGTCTCTGAGTTCATGTAAGGCCACTCAGTGGTGGGTGGAATAAATTCCTTCATCTACATATTCTGTGTGAACGTTACATTTACCTTTGTCATAAGTATTTTTAATGGTTAAATGTTTCTCATTTCTTGGTTTCCTTCTCATTTATTCGTTTCAGCATTTTAGTTTTTGCTGTTCGATTTAAGCTAATACATTTCAGTAAAATTGAACTATTAACAGCATTCATCAATCCAATGCCACTCCGTCATCCTGAAGCGGGGGAATCCCTGTTTGCTGGCTCAGCAGTGGAGAAAAGGAGTGGAGAGAGGAGGTGGCCTGGCCTTCCAGGAAGTCTCGCCTTGTTCCTTGTGGTTGCTTGAGAATGTACAAAGTCAAATTCTGCTGTTGCCAGTTGCTAAGTAATATCAAAAGTCATTTTGCTTAGAGAATTGCAAAACAGTTTTATGGGTTTTTTTGTTCTCTCATTGGGGAAAAAAAGTTCACTTCTGGCATCTCTCTTTGTTCCGTTTGGTAGTGCTCTGCAAAGTAAACGTGTCCTCAAAAGATTAAAGGAAGCATAAAATACGTTACAACATGATTCTGGTTGTTTCCGACCCCAGCTGTTTGATCAGTTTAAATGGGCAGGTTGTGACCTCAGGTTTCAGAATCCCCCACCGATGTTTTTGGCAGCGCTTTCTGAAGTGCCATCACTACTGAATTGAGTATTTCCTGGGTTTTCAGTGGAAGTAGAGCGGAGATGGTCTAGATCAGGTCCCTGGTGGAATGTTGCCATTCTATATATGGGCATAAATGTGTTTTTGTCCGTTGTCAAGTCATTCTGTCTTCCACAAGCATCCTTCCCATCACAATGAAATCAATGAGCAACATAATTTGAATGCGGAAAGATGACTTAGCCACTGCCTGGAGACTGAAACACTGTTGCTTAAACAGTCAACTTATTATGATGTGAACTTACTAAAAGCTGATTGACACTGTTACAGTAAATGCAACATTTTGTTCTTTGAATTATTTTTTTTAAATAGTAATGAATGAATAATGAATGAGATCATAGATAAAAAAGAAACGATGCATGTTGGTTGAGTTTTCCACTCTCAGTTTCATTTCACTGCTTTTAATCTATGTTTATTATCTCCATAATCAAGTATAGAGGAAGTACAATGACTTTGAATTCATTGCTTCTGACAGAACTTCTGAAAGAGCGCGTAATCAAGCTCAGATGTTCTCACGAAACTGCCATAGACCAACGCTACTTTTGCGTCATCGAAGGGTAACGCCCCTTTTGGGGGAAAGACTAACGGATTCCCCTGAGAACAGAACTCGCTCTAGATCTGCAAAGTTTCTTGATAGCAAAAATGGCACAAACGTAAAGAAGCTACTGGATACGGGGTTACAGAGGTGTCCCTTTGAAATGGTTGAAAACTGGATTAATGACCCCACGCAGTGGCCAAATATGGACTATTCAGACATCTAACGTTACCACTATCTCGTGGAATCACCAAGTAAGTAGCCTATTTTTTGTCATTAACACACTCACAGTATGACAAACTAGATGATGAGGCCATGTCACTTGGATCATATTTAACTTGATTTAAGCTATTGACATAGTTTTGTTGTCGACTAGCTATACTAGTTAGAAAGACGCTACGTGATTAGCTCTCTCTAGGCACGCTACCTTGGCTATAACTGATTTTACTGTTGAAATAGTGGCAGGCTAGGACTAAAGTGGACTTGGCTGGTTTCTGCTTGTGTCTAAAAAGTCCTTTAGGCCTATATGACTTTTCGACGACCACTGCTCTGGGCTACATGTAACAACACGAACGGTAGTAGATCAAGCCTTCTAGGCTAAATATGATAGCAAAATGTCACAACATCCAATTTGACACCCCCATACATACATTGGTCCTATACATATTTTGCCATACACTGTAAACCTTTTTACAACTTTCAAAGTCCTAGCACTTTCTAGACACAAGCAGAAACCAGCCAAGTCCACTTTAGTCCTAGCCTGCCACTATTTCAACAGTAAAATCAGTTATAGCCAAGGTAGCGTGCCTAGAGAGAGCTAATCACGTAGCGTCTTTCTAACTAGTATAGCTAGTCGACAACAAAACTATGTCAATAGCTTAAATCAAGTTAAATATGATCCAAGTGACATGGCCTCATTGTCTAGTTTGTCATACTGTGAGTGTGTTAATGACAAAAAATAGGCTACTTACTTGGTGATTCCACGAGATAGTGGTAGATGTCTGAATAGTCCATATTTGGCCACTGCGTGGGGTCATTAATCCAGTTTTCGACCATTTCAAAGGGACATCTCTGTAACCCCGTATCCAGTAGCTTCTTTAAATGCCGACAAAGAGAGTGTGTATGTTTGTGCCATTTTTGCTATCAAGAAATTTTGCAGCGAGTTCTGTTCTCAGGGGAATCCGTTTGTTTTCCCCCAAAAAGGGGCGTAACCCTTCGATGACGCAAAAGTAGCGTTGGTCCATGACCCAACTAACATCACAAACAACATGCACACCTTCCATATTGCACCAAAGTCACGTTTCCCAGCATCTCTGAAATGCCCCATGCACACTAGCAGCGATTTTATGCACATGAGTGCACAAAGAATAAAGGTATCTGAAGTATCAATACAATATTGTGAATATAAGGCATTGTGATGTACTGTAAGACTATTTCAGGTCAATCCTGAATTTGAAGTTATTTTAGATTATAAACAGCTTATTTTGGTGTCTACTTCAGTCTGACTCACTTTTCTTCTTAACATTTAGAAACTGTTCCCATTAATGAAATGGATCGAATACCACGGCTCCTGGCCACCCTCCAGTTCCTAGTTGTTTACCATTTGGGGTTTTCCTCGAACAGTGAAGGGTTCTTGGAAAATCTTGGCTGTATGGAGAGCGTCTCAGGCCCCTTCAGATCCCTCACACATTCCACTAGCTTGTAACACCAATTTTACTACAAAAGCCTCTGATTAGCTGAGTGCATTGTCCTTTAAACCAAATCCAGATTATAATGCTGTAGGGTTGCCTGGGACATACCATCTCTGCACTTCATCTGCTTAATACACTGTGTTAATTAGATTGTGGGTTCAGTGGTTTAGGTACTGTGAATACATTTCCCAGCCATCTTTAACCCTGATCTGAAGCATATGGTTCTTTATGGATAATTTGTGCATTTTAAACTCCATAATTTGTTTTGAATGTCCCGCAATCTCCACCACATTCAGACCTAGTATTAACGTGTTTCAAAGACATATATTTTATGAAGTTATTCCTAAGGTGTGTTCACATTTACCGTTGCTCGGCGGGATTTTGTTGGCGAAATCCAGTCGTTCCAATAAGAATCCATGTGATTGAGTTTTGCATCAGGATGAAAAAATTCCCAGATTTCGCTCAAGTTGGTTGTGCTTCATACATCTCTATGCATTTACTCCGACTTTTTTTGCGTGCAAAACTTAATATGCTAATATGACCACACCCTTAGTTTCCATGAAATCTTTTGCGTTACTTTAGACCATGTTGGCAATTAAACTGATTGGTAAATTGTTCTTGTTTTCTCTTCTATCAGGACCTCTCTTGTCTAGATGATCTACCAATCTTCTCCCCTACGACCGACTCGTTATCCGTATACACCAATACTGATATCCTCAGGACTGATGTGACACCCAATGTACCCACAATATGGGACATCAAAACACCAGCATCAGTCCAAGAGGTAAGGCTAATTCCTGACCGCAAATGCTTATGTTAAACTTAACTGATGGTTTACCAGTGTTTTCTGGCATTTGTGTTGAATTACTATTATTAGCATAGTAGCAGAAACCACACCTGTGAGGGACACACCCACAAACTGAACATTTGTTCCCACTCTTATAGTAAAGCATGTGATCTTTCTGTTGACTTTAACTTGTTTTTCTTTCTTTCTTTTGTTTCTCTTGTTCCTCAGGTGAATTCTAACAGGTTTCAAGGTTTAAACTCTTTGGATGACATCACTGCTATCATTAATACACCACCCATAGGAGGTTATCAGGTAACTCTCAATCAACAGTTCAATTCAACAGTTCAGTCAAACACCGAAGTATGTCTTTGTTTCTCTTTCTGTTTTTCCTTCTCTATTTTAATCTTATTCCGTGTTTACACAGAGACCCCAAACACAGCCAGAAGAGGAAGAGGAAGTCGAGGTGGAGGAGGCTGAAGAGCTGGGTCATGTTGACACCTATGCAGACTACAGGCCCTCAAAATGTGAGCATTGTTTTTTTTTTTTTGCACACATTTCTTGGCTATTAATTTCATACTAGAAGATTCATAATGTTTTTGCTCTCTGTTTCGCTGCCTCAGCCAAGATAGGAAAATCCCACCCAGACCGAGTGGTCGAAACCAACACTTTATCTAGCGTACCTCCTCCAGATATCACCTACACCCTGTCCATCCCAGAGACCACCATAAATGACGGTCTGCTCTCTGCTTTGCAGCTGGAGGCCATTATCTATGCCTGCCAGGTACCCCTGAACAAACTTTGCCTTTCTTTTCTCACAACGTTGCCTTTCTTTAAAACAACATGCACAACAACAAATTGAAAGAATATAATGGACTGAACTCTTCCTATGTGAACTCTCACATAGAGTCCAAAATATCTAATTTCATTTATTATTTTGAGGATATTTAGTATTTACATACAATTTTAAATTGTTTAGATCCTGCTCTATTTGTTTTTTTTTAATTTAATTTATTGTTTTATTTTTCGGCTATTTGCAAACTATTGTAAAATTGTTTATATCCTGCATTATTTATTTTTGTTTGTTTTATTTATTTTTTTATTTTGAGACTATTTACAAAACAAATCCCAATTTCCCAACCTTATCTGTCATTCAAAATTTTTATGACCAAAATTATTTACTATGAACTACCCCCTGAGACTTTAATTAATGCGAAATATAATGCATTTAATAATCATCAAATGTTAATAATTTGGAATTAATTAAATTAAAACACAATCAGGTGAATGTTTTCATACAATCAGGTGAATGTTCTTTTTATTCTTTTAATTTTATACTATATTTTAAGTATCATTCAGTTCAGCATTGGCTTTTCTGTTTCTCCATCATAAAGCCATCGTAAAATCTCTTTGTCTGCAAATATTTTTTACTTTCTCATCATACTTGGAACAAACAGGCCACTAATATAGTCTTCTTTATAACACTACAGCAACATGAAGTGATTCTGCAGAACAACCAGCGGGCCGGCTTCCTCATCGGGGACGGCGCCGGAGTGGGCAAAGGCCGCACAGTGGCTGGCATCATTTTAGAAAACTACTCAAAGGGAAGAAAGAAAGCACTATGGTAAGCCATCTCCAGCATCATCAAGCCCTGTAAAACCCACACCATTGACTCTCCCACATCAAACACAGACTCTGGATCAGTTGCCTCATCCTTCTCATCTCTCCTCCAGGTTCAGCGTCTCCAATGACCTCAAATATGACGCAGAGAGAGATCTCCAAGACATCAATGCACCCAATATACAAGTGCATGCCTTGAATAAGGTCACTATTACTGTGTGGCTCAATATGGCAGCCATGTTAATGGAGATCACGTTTCCAGTGTAGCTCATTCTCACAGACTTTCCCCATAGCTCTGCTCGATAAGTCTAACTGTAACTGTTTTCCGTGCAGATAAAATACGGAGACACAGCTACCTCAGAAGGGGTCCTGTTTGCGACCTACTCAGCACTGATTGGGGAGAGTCAGGCAGGCGGCCAACACCGAACGCGTCTAAAGCAGATCCTAGACTGGTGTGAGCCGGGTTTTGATGGAGTTGTATCCTTTACCCTCTATAGAGTTATGTGCATAACAGATTTTGTGTGCAAGGATTTTATAACTTTTTGTTGCCCTTACCCATTGCAAAATAAAAGCATTTAAAAAAAATTAAATAATATTATACATTTTCACTCTAAAATATTATACTTATTAAAATATAAATATTAATTAAAATTGTATCTAAAAAAAAAATATATATATATAATATTAAAATATACATATTAATATATTTTACAATATTTTTTATATTATTATATACATTTCTAAATGTTTTTTTCTAACCAGAATTAGAAAATCATTCTATCAATATCATTCAATTTTATTCAGTAATTTTTTCTTTGTACTTTAACTTTTTACAGTAATATTGTTTTAAATCCGCAGTTGTAGTGTATTTTATTTATTTAATTATTTTATTTATTTAAAATAAATATATTTATAACAAATATATATCATTTTTATGTTTATTTATAGTATAATATTGTGTTAAACCATTTTTATTTCTTACTCTTAAAATACATTTTGTAGAATTGTTTTATTTTCTTATAACTTTAGAAGTTATCTGTGGACTTCTGTGAGGGTCTGTTTTCACCCCCAGTTAAAAAAAAAAAAATTATAAACAATCCTCTGTAAAAAATGAAGGTGAACATAAAGTTGGCTTTACCCTTGACCACAGCGACCCATAGATTATATTTGATGAATGCCACAAAGCCAAAAATGCTACGTCCACAAAGATGGGCAAGGCCGTGCTGGATCTGCAGAACAAGTTGCCATTGGCCAGAGTGGTGTACGCCAGTGCCACAGGTGAGTCTCTGCACTGCAGAACACTTGCAGTACCACATATTATGCCAGAGGTTTAAAGTGAAGGACTCTTGTGTTTCTCAGGTGCCTCAGAGCCAAAGAACATGATCTACATGAGCCGTCTGGGAATCTGGGGAGAGGGAACCCCCTTCAGAACCTTTGATGACTTCCTCCACACCATTGAGAAGAGGTTTGTATAGGACCACAAACTTTTTACTGGCAAATATGAAAACTAATGTTTTTTTAAATGAAATCTGAATGTACTCTTCATTTATAGGGGTGTGGGGGCCATGGAGATCGTTGCAATGGATATGAAGGTCAGCGGGATGTACATTGCACGCCAACTCAGCTTCTCAGGAGTTTCATTCCACATAGAAGAGATCAGCTTGGATGATGATTTCAAACTTGTGTACAACAATGCTGCTAAACTTGTGAGTTCCGAGGAGAATCCATGATGCATTTGTTTCTTTGGTGAATAGAAAGTTTAAATGAATAGCATTTATTTGAAATAGAAATCTTTCGCAACATTGTTTTAACACTCACTTTTTATCAATTTAATGCATCCTTGCTAAATAAAAATATTCATTTCTTTTTTCTTTTTTTTTTAAACATACTGAACCCAAACTTGTTGAATGGTAGTGTACATGTTGAAAATAACTATTTGAATATGGGCATGGGTTGAAAACATCGTCTTTAATTCATTAGACAGAAAACACTGAAAAACTACAAAACAATCTCCCCTGAAAAAGTTGATGTCTATAGAAATAGTTCACCCAAAAAATTATCCTGGCTGCACTTTTCAGTACATTGAAAGTGAATAGGGACTAGAGCTGTTAAGCCCCAAAACAACAACATTTTACCATAAAGCTATCATAAAAGTTAGCAGATATATTCCAAACCTTCTGAAGCCATACAAAACCATTATTAAACTGAAAATGTATCCATTACTGATAATATTCCCCTGAAATGACCAAGCTACAGCAGAGGACAAGATTTTCAATGACAATGGCTAAATTTCAGTCTGTTTATCCCACAAAACTATCGAATGGCTTCAAAAGACATTGAATACAGTGCAATTGTAATATGAACCACTTTTACCATACTTTAAAAGTGCATTTTTAAAAAATATTGGAGCTTGATACCTCCAGTCCCCATTCACTTGGTCAGGATATATGGGGGTGAGTGAGAGTATATGATGACTTAATTGTCATTTTTTAGTGAACCCTTACCTTTAAATGTAGTACAGCAAATCAAGTAACTGAACTGGTCTGTAAAATGGGACATTATGCTGTGTATGCATATCTGACACTATCTCCTCTGCAGTGGGCGGAAGCTTTGGCTGTGTTCATGCAGGCCGCTGACGAGCTCTGCATGAGCTCCACGAAGTCCCTGTGGGGTCAGTTTTGGTCATCCCACCAGCGTTTCTTTAAATACCTCTGCATTGCCGCCAAGGTGCGCTGCCTGGTGGAACTGGCCAAAAAGGAGTTAAAAGCAGGAAAGGTCAGTCATATTAGAGAGCCTGAACTCTTCCTAATGAAACATTATTTGTTACAATAGGCATTTTACACTCTTTCTTTCTTCTCTCTAGTGTGTTGTGATTGGCCTGCAGTCAACAGGTGAGGCTCGAACCAGAGAAGTCCTTGATGAAAACGATGGACGCTTAGACAGATTTGTGTCTGCTGCAGAGTAAGTGAATTTTGGGCATCATTGAAACCTTTCTTAAATATAAGCCACCTTATGACTACTTCTTTCCAGAGTAGTGCTCTTGCAGTTTCGTAATGATAGAAAAGTTTCTCAATATTTGTATTACTGTGGTCATCTCACAGTCCATGTATCATTCTGAAACCTATGTGTAAGTGTTATTTGATAAGAACCACTTCCTTTAGCCAATGCCAATTAGACAAAAACTCTTTTTCTGCCTTAACACGATAATGTGTTTTTGGTTTCTCAGGGGTGTGTTTCAGTCTCTAGTCCTCAAACATTTTCCATCAGAGAAGCAGAGGAGAGAAAAGGGAGCGGTGAACAAGAGGAAACGTGAGTTGTGTCGCACACTAGTAAAGTTGTCCATACGTTGCCCCGTCTTTGCTTTCTGCCTCATGGTTTGATTGAACGTTCTCCTGCAGGTAAGCCACGGGGCCGACAGCCAAAGCAACCCCGACACGGCACTGATGTAGTTGGAGTTATCAACATCAGCGATGACAGCAGCACCGAGTCTGACGCCTTGGACAGTGACTCCAACTCCTCACCTGACTCGGTCCAAGACAACAGTGATGATGTCATTTTTGTCGATCAAACTAGCTATCAAATGGGTATGTTTAATGGGTGTTTTATTGTGCAACTTATATTATCTCCATTTATCCTAATGATTTTTTTCGCTTACAGCACCTTTAATCTAAGTGTATGCTATTGTTTTTTGCTCTTTTTCTTCCTTAGCACGCTTAGAGGAAATGAAAAAAGCACTTCTCAACAAGATCGCTGAGCTGGGAAAAGAACTACCACTCAACACACTGGATGAGCTCATCGATAAATTTGGAGGTCCAGAAAAAGTATCAGAGGTTATTATTTATGTATTTGATCTAGTGGTCCAAGGATTGTTATACCTCAAAAACAAAAAAACAAGGTTGTGTTAAAGCGCTAAACATGCTTTGTGTATACACCCAGATGACGGGACGTAAAGGCCGAGTTGTGCGTCGGTCTGACGGCACTGTCCAATACGAGTCCCGCGCTGAGCAGGGCCACACCATTGACCAAATCAACATCAAAGAGAAAGATCGCTTCATGAATGGAGAGAAGGTGAGAGCAAGTCTCAACAAGGGCATCTGCTACCTTTAGACTCTGATTTATTTTGTGCATTCAGTAAAATGTTTCACCTTATTCCCTTCAGGTGGTAGCCATAATATCAGAAGCGGCCAGTTCAGGGATCTCACTTCAGGCTGACAGAAGGGTGAAGAACCAGCGTCGAAGGGTTCACATGACCCTGGAGCTGCCTTGGAGTGCGGACAGGGCCATCCAGCAGTTTGGTGAGTAGCATTAACTCATGTCTACCAACCTCTGACCTTGTCATCAAAACTCTCTTCCCATGAAGAGTGCAACCGTACCACCAACTGACAACCCTTTGTGTTCTTCAGGTCGCACTCATCGTTCCAACCAGGTCACAGCTCCAGAGTATATCTTCCTTATCTCTGAACTGGCGGGCGAGCGACGATTTGCGTCCATTGTGGCAAAGAGACTGGAAAGCCTGGTGCGTCCCTGACATGCAAACTCCTATTCTTTTCTGACTGCAAATGGTTCATACACACTGTTTAACATGTGGTGAATTATGGGCCATTCATGTCTTATGGTTATTATGGAGTGATATTGGAATGAGAGATATTCCAACTAGGGATGTGCCCAAAGCCTAAATTCAAATTCAGAAAGGCATGGAAAATGAGTAACGCATTTTATGGAGCCCCAAAAGGGACATGGCTAGGCTTGCTGCGGTAGTTTGTTACATTACTGGTGCTGGTTGAGGAGAGAACCCCTGATATGATTGTAAAGCGCTTTGGGTGTACAGTAGTACATATGAAAGCGCTATATAAATGCCTCATTCATTCATTCATTCATTCATTATATACAGAGTACGTGTGATTGCAAATTCGAGCGAGCGTGAATTTAATTTTTATTGATTCCAGCTCCCTGATATCCGCAAATTATATACAAAAATAATTACCCAACTATTTAATTGCGAGAGAAAACAAAAGCATTGAAATACATTTGTTCCACCATCTCGTATTTCTTCCCATCACTATGTCTATAGGGGCTCTGTAGAATGCGTAATGTATTTTCCAAACATAGTAATCGGCTTTGGACACATCCCTAGTTCCGACTTTAAAAATAAATTTTGTTACACTTCCATTCCGTACTGGTCACATACTCTGTGTGTAACATGTTAAAACATTCAAATTTCTCCTCTGGTGCTGACATTTCTAATCTTTGTGTTTGCTTTTCACAGGGAGCTCTGACGCATGGTGACAGGAGGGCCACAGAGTCTAGAGACCTGAGCAAATACAACTTTGAAAATAAAGTGAGTAACTGTTTCAAATAGAACAGTGAAACTGTTAAGAAAATACTCAAATAAGTCATGTACTAACCCGTGGTCTGTTTTGGCTTTTCTTCACAGTATGGCACCAAAGCTCTAGATAAGATTACCAAAACCATCCTTGGTCAGATCGAAAGCAAGGTACCCCCTCCAAAAGAATATCCTGGTGGGGACGCCATGTTCTTCAGAGGTAAATGGGCTCTATTTTTGCATTGCTCTCTTAAGATGTGGATCAGCTAGAACATTGATCTCACCAAAAGCCACCAATGCCTCCTTATCTTAGACATGAAGCACGGTATGGTGGACGTAGGCATGCTCTGCAGTCAATCACGGTTGGGCATCAACACTGAAAAAGGTGAGGTTTCCACAAGAGTCATATCGTACATTTCATCACAGGCACACATCCACGTATTTGCCCTGACCATGTGACTCAACTTCGTTTCAGACTGCAATATCACCAAGTTCCTAAACCGGATACTGGGCCTGGAGGTACACAAACAGAACTCCCTCTTCCAGTATTTCACTGACAATTTCGACTACTTGATCGAAAAGGACAAGAAAGAGGGCAAATATGACATGGGAATACTGGGTAAGCAGCACTTCTTCTGGTGGGGTGGTACTTTAAGTTACATTGATCTGCTTAGGTGACAACCAAGTATCTGCTTTCTCTCAGATCTGGCTCCAGGCAATGATCAGATCTATGAGGAGACACAGGAGAAGTTTCTGACTGCGGGAAATCCTCAAGATGGTCAAGTTATCCTGTACAAGGTCCGTCTTTTTAAGAAGTGTGCATGAAAGTTGAAGACACACCATGTTGAACTGATTCTTTAATGTTGAGGTTCTTACAAACCAGCTCTTAAACGGTTGAGAGCTCAGAAAACATGCCTAAGGCACAGGAGTTTCATGCGTGACACACGCTATCTCTTTCACCAAGAGCAATATTTATTTTTGACGGCTTACGCAATGGGGACTAGTTTCCCAGCCGTTAAGTACTTCCTTGAGCGAGAATAAACCACACTGTGTGAACTTTCTGTTTTGCATAGATTTAGGATCCAAGCATAGCCAGAACATGTTGGACACCTGTCCAACCATTGTGGACAAGTTTGACAAACATTATCTCTGACAGAAATGTTTGTTTTGTTGCGCAGATAAGTGTAGATAGAGGTATGCCATGGTTGGAGGCTCTCCAGAAGGTCCAAAATCTCAGCAACCCGGATGAAGGTTTCTACTTATCCCATAAAGTGAGTATTTGGGTATAGAGGCAAAAAAAAACTCTTCTTTCCAAATTTGCATGTAGTTTCCTTTTAGTAACACAGGAAAGATGATTGCTTGGAAGAACCTTCCTGTTCAAGGGTGAAGGAGGGTTCATGTGTAATTAGAGTTCTTCCTTAGTTGTCTGATGTTGAACATGTTGGTGCCTGTCTCTTTTGCAGTTAAGAGGTAACTACCCATGCGTGCTGCTAGCTGTGCAGGGCCGGGAGCACAACATGATCATCTACAAACCAAACATTGGCAAGCAGGCCCAAATGGAAAGCCTTGATAAACTCCAACAAAAATACAACAAGGTGTGTTCAACCTCTTCACCATACATGTAATATTCTCTAAATAAAATGATAGGAAAAAGAGACCTTCCTGAACGTGACACCTGTAGAGCTGCTGTGAAAAACCTCTCTGCTGCCATCTAGCGAGCATTATGGGTTTACGACACCGTCTGAGTGATGTTTTCTACCCTTGCTTCAGGTCACACCAGAGGAGGCACAGGATAGCTGGGAAAACCAGTTCACTTTCTCCTTCAGGAAATGTAGCCATGCTAACTGGTGAGAAAAGAGACTGTCCCAGCTTCTGACTTGGCACTAGCCAAACAGAGCTCTAGATCTAATGTTTATGCATGTTTTATGCAGGAACGGGAGATGCAAGAAGATAGAGGAGGGTCAGGAGTGCTTAATGGGCACTCGGTTGCGTCAGTACCACATGTTGTGCGGTGCTCTACTCCGTGTGTGGAAGCGTGTGTCTGATGTGGTCGCTGATATCACCAGCACCAGCATTCTACAAATTGTTCGCCTCAAGACCAAAGACAGCAACAAACAAGTTGGTGAGTTAACCTGTTGACTCTTCTTGAGGATTTCCTAACTAGCAGATTGTGATGCTCTGGACTGATAATCAAAAGGTTGTAGGACACCATTCCAGTCGTTCTAAGGAAGTCGGCATCTTGTAATCATTGTTCTTTCTTTCTTTCACCTAGGTATAAAAATCCCAGAGACCTGCGTGTCAAAGGTGCGTCAGGAGTTGCTGAGGATGGATGCCGAGGTGAAGCAGCGACGCCAAGAGAAGGAGCAGAAAGCGCAAGAGCTGCGTCAGGCTGAGGAACAGCAGAGACTGTTGGTGCAGCGTCAGCATCAAGAGTTCTTGTTAAATTTCTTCACCCCGTCTTTGCAAGCTCCCAGCTTACCCACCCCTAACATCTCCTTCACGCCGTTTCCTTCCCTAAAAACCCCCTTGGAGGAAATCCTGGACCTGACAGTTCACAGTACCTCTCCCTCCTCCCAAGTTAGCACTCAAACTGGACTGAGTGTAGACAACCTCACTGGGCCACCCGAACCTTCGGTGGATGACTTTAACATTGAAGCATTTATTCAGGAGCAGCAGCATCAACAACCACAGCAGGAGAGTCAGTCCACACAGGAAAGCTGTACAGCACGGGACACTGACCTGCTAGACATGATACTGTCCTTGAACTCATTTATGACAACCCCTAGCCAAAATGACCCTGCCTCTTCCACCTCAGATGCACCTTTGTCAGTACCCTTGGTCTTGTCAAGTTCCTTCTCTTCTTCAATGTCCCAATTCACTCCAACGCCGCTCACACCGTCCTCATCTTCTTCCTCTTTGTCGCAAGTCTCTCTCCCCCCTACAGACATGCTCCCGTTACCGAACAGCCACTGCAGCCCTGAAGCCATTATAAACGCACGGGAAGTTTTGAACAGCATGCTGCAAAGTGGAACAGAACCACGCTACTCCGTCATTCAGTACCAACAACCCGAGTGAGACGCTTTTTGTGGTAGTCTCCTGTAAACGCACACACTCAGGGCTGTAGTCTGACCACTGTCGGCGCCATGCTCCACCACTGGCCTTGGATCCACAAGCATGAAATCCTGCTTCACAAGATGGGGGAAGTTCGGTGTTTGCTCTGTTCTCGAGTATGATCCCTACACAGTTTGTCTTGAAACTGCATGCCAGAACTTCAGGATAGTTATCGAGGTGGTCATCCCAGTTTCAACATCCTGAATTTTATACCCTGGGACTTTAAAGAGAATTAGTTTACCAAAAATTGTTCAAGCTCAAGTCAGAAAATTACTTAAGGTTTGTATAAGTTATATCGTACCAAATCGTACAGGATATTTAGCTTAAGTTCCTTAAGATTTTGCTTATGCGGGAATAAAAAGATATTTAAGGTACCCTTTTGGCTCATCACTGGATGAACCCTCTGGAGAACCGCAGATGTTTTTTGAGTCCTCAAAAATCGTCAATATATATTTTAAATGCCTCAAAGATGTTCTTTTATAAAGGGGTCAACTGTTTTCAGATTACTAAAGGAACATGTTTGTATGTTCCTCATGGAGCATTCTCGACTCTTCATTTAAGAGTGTGCCTAGAGGTTCTTCAAAGGGTTCCGATGTGAGGAACTTGTGCCACAGGTATCTTTGTTTTCTCTTGTATCATTTTTGTGGCCAAAGATTCCGTGTGGGCCCAGCTGAAGTACAAACCTCACATATGCAAGACGTACCACAAAGTTTGCTTCGGCAAGGAGCTTAAGCTTTGTTTTGCATTGGACAATCATCAGCTTTACATTTCCATGATGAACTTCTGTTAGACGAAACATTTTTCCTGAGGAGCAAGACAACAGGCTACTGTCGAAATGTGCCTTTGGAACATACAGTGGAATGTAGACGTAAACGCTGTCCTGTGCAGATGTTTGTGATGTATTTATTGCCTTTATTTATCAGGCCTTGAAACAGTGTGCTAGTACTTACCTGTGCAGCTGTCTCTCTGTTGTTCTAAAATAGAACAGTCTGTCCTGCTGTCCCCCGTCTCGCAATCTAACGCAAAACGGTAACAATCTATTCGCTGACTGATTGGTTGATCCCAAAAGGGCTTTAGTCACACTTAATCCCTGTAATAGTACAATCTTTTCACTGTGACCTTAAGATATATGATCGAGTGTGGAAACAAAAAGGTCAGACTTCAGAGTTTGATGTAAAACGCATCCAGGGTACAGTCAAGAAAGGGCAATAAAACTTTTATCTAGTTAAATTTAAGCCCTTTATTTAATAAGTTAATTAATAATAAAAAAAAATGTTATGTTTTAAATCTTTGTAACGTCTATACGAATTACTTGACTATTTGTATTTAATTTTAAAGGGACATGTTTTATATTATTGTTTTTATTTTGTTTTAATGATACTATGATATTTGTAATTGTGCAGACAGAAGACAATCTGGCAGGCAAACAAAATGACAAACAATTCAAAGCAAAATTCAGTTTTGTTAAAGTTTTGCTCTGTTCTTTACTGCTGCACTGGATGGTTGAATATTTTTCAGTTTATCTTCATTCTTTATACAAATTATATATTTTCACTGCAAAATTTAACTGAAACCCAAATATTAACTTCATAGCTCTACGGTGTTAAAACCACTCCATATCTCAGAATGAAATTCATGAACAATTAGTTAAGATGTACATGTGTTTATCTTTAAATCAGAAAATTTTCCAAATGTCTGTCTGCGTAAAATTCTTGTATGTAAAATCCTGTCAGTGACACAGATCAAATATTATTTATTTATCCTGTACTGCTTATTTTCTGCACAAATATCTTATTTTATTCTTTTCATTAAGGGAAATTCTTTCAGCCACATTTGCACTTGAAACATTTTGTGTGAAATTATTCGTAGTTTCTCTCATGCAAATAGTTGTTACACACTCAGCGTGCAATTCACATTATATTGAATGAAATTCAAGCATTTGATTAATTGTTCCATATCATTTAGTGCATTTAATAGTTTTAACCTTACAAGTGATCCACATAGTCTGTTTTCTCAGTGCCTCCCCAAAAACAGCCAATGAGAAAGATGAACACAGGACTTATATTTCTGTTATATATTCTAATAAAGCATCTTATGCAACAAAAGCACTATATAATGAGGCCATGAAAGTGGGACAAAGTCAAATTTAACCCTTTGTTACTAATTAGAAATTTGACTCGCTCTGTGTATGATTTGCACTAAAACAGCATAAATGAGTTTCTGTCTTGTGTGTGTGATCCAGTTCTGCCAAGTTTGTTTGCTCTTGGCCCTTCATGGGAATGTTCAATACTGTAAACATCTCGATTCATTGGCTTCGCTTTTATATCAATATGACATTTACGTAATTTATTGCTATGGGGGAAAAAACATGCTACTGACTGTATGTATCTTGAACCGTTTTGTTCCTGTGTTCTTACTGGTTATGCTTTTGTCATTTTCTATAGGCCTATTTATAATTTACATCCAATTGTATATATTGTAAAAACAAAATGTGCCTTTTGACTGTTTCTTAAAGAAATTGTTTTCTACATGTACCTAAAGAGGAACATATTACAGTTCAACTTTATTAACAAAGCAAAAAAATAAAAATGTTCAGATTCATGAGTTTGTGTTTTTGGTTAATTATTTAAAATGGTTATATTGTGTTATTTTTGTGAACTGAAATATTTGCCAATATTAACATTTTAGGTCTGCTGATAGTAAAAGAAAAAACAAATTTACCTTTTTTTATTATTAAATCTTTTTTTTCACATTCGTGTTGAATTAGTTTTAGACGTTTAGTGGTTGTACCTTTTTAATTGTAATTTATTTTAATATAAAAAAGTTTTAGAAGACAAACTTTCCCTTTGAAAGTTTACTGGGGCCCCCTAGTGGTCACCAGTCCACTGGTTAAGAACAATTGATTTAAGGTTATTCTAGGTTGCCTATTTCAAATGATACCATCGTATTACCATTGCACTTTTTGCAGTATCATGGTTTTACCATAGTACCAATGTAAAAAACAAATAACACTTTAACACCTGTAAGTGTATGGAATGTCATAATTAAAATTATGTAGGCAAACCCTCACACTTGCCACCACTGACCAAGTTCAGTTCAGTCCTACGAAAGTATTTTCAAATGAAACTTTCCAAAGAAAATATAAGAAAAAAGTTCCTCATAGATTCTGGAAAGAGTCAAGAAACCAGCAAATTCGTTGGTCACTAGTGCATTTCATTGTAGCCTGCTATTTTTACATAATATATATACTCAACCTTTAAAAAATAAGAATCTTACCTTATTCTTTGTTTTGTAATCGTGTTTAGTTACAATGGAAAGTCCTGAGAGTTAATTTACTTAAAGATAACTAGCAGTTAACGCATTTCAATCCGTTGTGTGATCGTTCTAATATCGCACGTTCCCCACCGGGGGCGCTATAGCGTAGGAGAAAAAAATTCACTAAATTATAACAAATATTTTCTCAGAGACATATATAAGCAAGAAAAAATCTAAATTAAAAAATCCTAGCAAAACAGGTATTATGGTAGGTATACGAACGAAGCTCTTATTTTAAAACGTCATCATGGAATTTGACTCAATGTATTATATTGTGGCACTCTATTGTATCCATTCGACAACCAATTATTGAGAGGAAATGGAAAATAAGACCAATGCCACTGTAGTGTGTGGTGTAGGTGTAGTCGGGTGTAGTACTAGCAGTAGTACTTAATGAGGAAACTGCCCAGCCCACATGTATTAAGCTCCTCCCCCTGCTTACAGGTATGATCAGGTGCTGTATAGATACAAGGGAATATAACGAAACCTTATTTATAAACTGTAGGTGCCAGGCCTTGTGAGGCCTCCAATACGGAATTAACTGAGAATTTTAGTGTTCGTTTTTAAAGGGGACACATTATAAGGTAGGCTACGTGAGTCGAGCGTTTTCTTCCTGCTCTGCTTGGTTGTGTTTATCGATTGTTTGCGTTGGTCTGAGTCATGTTTCACGTTTTGCTGAAATGTAAGCTGATTAACTGGAAGTTACGTCGAAACGGTGAATAATTGGCGACATGTGTCATGCACGATTCTGAGTTTATTATAAATGGTATTTTAGGCTACATGTTTCTGTTCTGCTCCAATAGATAGGCTATTTGGCTTTTGTATAATGTGTTGCCTGATTGTTTTTGCTAATATACACTTTTGAACATGTTTCTACAATTTGTTGCTATTTTCTTTAGAAACTATCGATTTTTGTTTTTAGAAAAGGACATCAAACTTGTTGACAGCTAAATGTGAATGCTCTTTTGTCTCGTATTTGTCTCATTCATATGGGAACCGTTGTTAATTGTTATTAAGTCGATTCATAAACATAGAAGTCCTCAATTCTGAACCTTTATCGCTATATCCTGAAAATGTGTGATGTCCGATTCGTTCGAATCGTTCTTTTGAATCGGATCTTTTTAATGAATTAACCCATTGAGCCACAAAACCTTTCGGAGCGACTCGTACGCGTAGCAAAATCGTACTAAATCAATAAAGATTGATTCTCGAGTCAACAGCTGACTGAACAGAACAGAGAACCGTCCGTCTTTATCCGACTCGTAATTAACCAAGAACCAGTCAGGGACCTCACCTGAGTAAGATTGTTAAATTGAACGAAGGATATGATTAATGGGCCGAAAACTAAGTCTAATAGCTATACGTTTACATCATACCAGTGCGTTTGAAAGGAAGCGGTTCTTCTGTTCGAAAGAACCGATTCGTGAGATCAATTGCAACAGTGCTGCAGCAGCACACTCAGCCTCATCTGGCTTAACTGGTTCTGTCACTCATTTGAGTCAATACGTGCTTTATAGTTTCGCTGTGGTTTCGAGAAACAGCGTTCCTATATATCCACATTTCTCTTCAATGATGTTATTCTTAAGTCTGTTAGTCAAGGATTGGCTACTAGTTTTGAAAAGCACTTTTTGGCTGTTTTTGTGTGTTTTGTAGTAGGCCCATAAATTCCCATAAACTGTATTCAATCCTTGTCATTGTATGAGTTTTTAGGCTCCGAAACTATGAGGTGTGTTGATGTCTTCAGTTTTAGGCTCTATGGTTTTAGGCCAGACTGCCCAGCTAACAAAAATATGTTTCGCTAATGTATTAAGTCTGGATGTTCAAAACTTTTAAGTTTCTTAAATGTTTAAAAAAAATTATAGCAATTTTTTTGTTGGTTATGCAAATATTAGAGAAAACGTTAAGTACATTTATCATTTTGAAAACACTATGAGAACGTTATTAAAGACCAGATAACTTTGAATGAACGTCCTATTAATGTTAGCAGAATGTTTGTTCATAACCTTGTAAGCCAAAGTTATAAGAGTGTACCCTGTTAGCTGGATGTGTAGAAACAAATGACATGGTCTTTTGTTTCGTAATGTTCTCTGTTATGAAGCAGAACAACAAATGTAAACGCCGGTTGTGAAGAACTGGGCTGGACCACCAGAAACCCATGGTCTCCTATTGTGAAGGCGTTACTGTTTGAGGCGGCACACCTTAACACAACACCATCTGACATTTGTGCATTACTCCTACATTTCCTGTCAAGAGTGTCGGCCTGAGGGTGTGAAGTAATTCCAGTAATTTTGTTACTTCCTAAATTTATATTTGGTGTAACCACAGAGATGAAGTCCACCTCTTTTATGTGGGAATTCCAGCTGTATTCTTCTAAACTTTTTGTTTTTATTGTTGCTAAAATGTGAGAGTGGTTTTAGCACGTTGCTATGTGGTTGCTAGCATGATCTGGGATGTTTCTCTTGTGATATTGTAGCCTCTAGATATGGTTCAGCTCCCACCTTCAATGCAAGTCTGGGATTTTGTCATATTGACAAAAATCTGGTGTGACTAACATGCAAAAAAAAAAAAAAAAAAAAGATGTCCCATTATTCTTCTGTCCCTTTTTTACCCATTTTTATTTATTTAAATAATGTTACACATGTATTCAAGGTTTAGAGAAATATGTTCTTTGTACCTCATATGTTATGTATTTGACGGTTGTACCACATTATATTTTTAGAGTTTTTAAATTGCCACTTGTTGAAAATTATATAAAAGTTTTCCGGAACCAACATGAATATAAAGAGTATTTCAAAGAATTTGGATGTATAGTTCTTTCTTTATTGTGGACTGTGTTGTTATTATTGTTAACTAATACTAAAACTATTAAAATGTTTTTTAATGTTGGAAAAAAGTTAAACATTCTTTAGGAGGCACTTCCAATTGGTTCACTAAAGCTTGGGACTCTTTTAAGCAATATGTTATAGAATATCATCTCCAGCTTAGGCTACTTTATTTGACTAATGTTTCTAAAATTAAAATATATCAAAGCTAAATAAAACCTAATAAAATGACAGTAGTACGTGACAAAATTACTAAAACTAAAATGAAAACTGAAAATATAAAAATAAAAGCTAATTCAATTGTAATAGATACTATAATAGTATATAAATAATAGTGAAATGGGCAATTCTATATCGCATGTCAGTCACTGACCCACATGCTGAAGTTTAATACTTAGCGTTTGTCTTCGTGTTCAAGGCCAATATTATGCAGAAACATTCTCTGGGCCAGTGTACATATTAAACATTAACAGACTGAGGTAATGATTGTCAGTGTAACCAAAGTGCCGTGCAAATCAACGTCCTTCAGGAACTCGCTTCAAGAAAGAAAAAAAAAGCTACTGTTGTGTTTTCTCAGACTCAAAAATGATTGAGGGCATTTTAGGGAGAAAGACATTTTTAAAACCTGGATAAAGAATTGTATATTTAAAGTTAAACGCATCTTCCATCCATCCTTAGTCTTCATAAGGTGGCATCGCCTCAGTGAATGGAGACCTTCCCAGCTAAATATCCCAGTTCCTCCTTAATTCCTTGAGGAAAAATTTATATCAGAAAGTACCAAAGGATTTTTATAGTGGGCGGAGCTTTCCATGGGCTCAGGTGGGGGTTTATAATGTACACAGTTTGTTTTGTTTTTTTACTCATTATTACCATATAGGCTAATTCCTGTGGGGACAACTGCTGGTCATGTACATCTTTAAAAATGGAGATATTATGTTGAAACATATTTTGGATACCCTGCTGGTTTACGTTCCCATTCTAGGTGTTTAGTTCAGCATTGAAAATGGAAGTGAGATTTAAAGGGACGGTAAGTCCATAAAGTATCTAGTTGTTTATGCTAGTTGTTGAATGCTTAACATGAGCTGTCTTAAGTTTACTAAACAGCGTAATGTGTCATCTGAGCCGTCTAATGACAACAGAGACGGGACTGTAAATACTGACTTGCACCTGTTGGACTTGAGTGTGTTGCTTTTGTTGCTGTGAAGTAAAATAGCCTATATTACTATAAATTGGTAAATGGTCTACAGTAATTTTCTAGTTGCTTACTTACTAGCTGCTATTTTAACCTGTGACCCCCGCGGGATAGGCTAAATCGCACAAAAAGGATCCCATAATTTACTCACCCTCAAGCCATCCTACACTGTAAAAAATGATATGATCAATAAGTTATTATTATGTCCAACATATGTTTTTACATTGCTTTAACTCATCAAAATAAGTTACTCAATTTTCTACTTTTTTTTTTAACAAGTCAGTTTAATGTAATTTAAGTGGAAATGACTTAAACATCCAAGTTAATTGTACTTAAATTTAAGACAGAAACTTTTTTTTTTTTACATTGTACGGTATGTCTATATGACTTACTTCTTTCAGCCAAACACAATCGGAGTTATATTAAAAATATCATGGCTCTTCCAAGCTTTATAATGGAAGTGAATCGTACGTACCTTGTTTTTTGAAGCCCAAAAAAGCGCATCCATCCATTATAAAAGTAATCCATACAGCTCCAGGGGGTTAATAAAGACCTTCTGAAGGATTTTTGTAATAAAAATTTGTAAAAAAAAATAAATAATAACTTTATAAACTGTAATAATCACTTGCTTCCGGTGACGTCAAGTTCAATACAGGTATTACATAATCTGCCGTTCACTCCAATTATAAAGCTTGGAAGAGCCAGGAGGGTGAGTCAATTATGGTATAATTTTCCTTTTTTGGAGAACTAACCCACAATAAATCACACAAAAATGACATTTCTGTGATCATTTACTCTCCTAAATTTTAAACTCGTATGATTTTTCTTTTTCTTTTTTTGTGGAACACAAAAGGAGATATTTTGAGGAATGTCCTGGCTGCTCTTTTCAGTAATTAAAGTGAAGGGGTCTGGGGGCTGTCGAGCTCCAAAATGATGAAAAAGCATCGTAAAAATGGTCCATATGATTCAAGGATTGTGCTGGTTAGGTTTATGCTAGTTCACATGAATTAAGGGAGTCTGGTGACCCGTTCACTTTGCGTCTGTAGGGCTTTAGAGGTGGTGAGCAGTGATGTATTCATAATCATAAACTACAGCATAAGTCAGCAGTATGTTAGAACAGGTGTAAGAACACCAGACTGTAAGAGTCTAATGAAGGGAGTTCCCTAGAAAAGGGTAGTGCTGATATTTGCATCCCTGATTTCATCAGTTTTGAGCAACTTCCTTTTTTGACCATCATTGTTGTCATCAACAGCAGTCATGGTTCCATGATGTTTCATATCAGAAATCTACGCAATTTCAAAGTATTACTAAGCTATTTTGTGGAAGCCGTGATACATTTGTTCCATTTTGCTAAGGTCGGTCAGCTTTGCGAACACAGACTCTCTCTGACCTTTGCAGCCAATAAAAACATGGGAAGCATTCCAGGAATTCTCTAGTCCAATAGAAACTGCTCTCAAAGTATGTCATGATGATGGTTGCAGCAGGTCTTTGTTAGGCGACACGTTTGGCTTCAAATCAAATCGTGAACAAGTTAAAATAATTCAATGTGAGTGATTCAGCCCTTATTTTTTATTTACAATAAAGATATTAACTTGCATCAACCGTGCTAATTATGAACTTTGGAATCGGGTTTGCCCTTAAAACCCTCTCTTGTACTGACAATAGCTTGACTACTAGTCAATGTTCGGTTTCACTCAACGAATGTCTGCTGCGAGACGCGTGTTGTCAGACTGTTTATTGGTGAGCCGTTGGTGAGGAAGTGTCGGGTATCAGTGTTGTCACGCGCTGGCTCCGCCCCCTTGTACCTGTATGGCAGGAATTCAGCAGGTGCGAGCATGTTCAGCTAGGGCCAGAGCTGACAAACAACAGCCGAGCGAGGCCCTCAAAAACTGGCACTTTTCGTCTCGACCGGTTTCCTTTGGTGGTTTGTAAACGTTCTGATATATTGTTGTTGTTGTTTGGTTTACGTTGCGCTAATAAACGTAACCACTTCTTTATCGTTTCAGAAAACAGACATGGAGGAGATGACGATATGGGAGCAGCACACGGTCACGTTATCGAAAGTAAGTTGCGGATCGAGGGTTTAATTCGCCTTAGCCACACCTTATCTGGCTGTGTACAGGTGTGTCTGAGAACGTGACACCAGGTTTACAGTTTCCCAAACAATTGAAAGTCGAGGCGGATTAAAAGTTTTGTGAGCATGAGGGTTTTTTTCCACCTGTCACTGGGACGCACCCGAAATTTTGGAATGTCAAGTTTGGGGTCATCTGGTGCATTTCATCATAGAAATAAAATTGCCTTTATTCTTTAATTAAAGATTTTTTTTGTTTGTTTATCATTTTTATTTTATTTGCTAATTATTTTTTCGTTTGCTCTTTTGTCTCATTTAATTTATTTGATCTTTTTCTTTTGTCTTTCATGTTTTTTCTTTTTGTTTTGTTTTTTTCTTGGTAAAATTTGTTCTTTTGATCTTTTTGTTTATTTCTTGCTCTTTCGTTCTTTCTTTCCTTCGCTCTTTCTTTCTTTCCTTCGCTCTTTCTGTCTCTTTTTTTTTTGCTCTTTCTTTCTTTTGCTCTCGCTCTTTCTTTCTTTTACTGTTCCGTTCTTTCTTTTTAGTTTTTTCTTGATGTGTTTTTATTCTTTTTTTGTTAATTTCCTATTTTCTTTCTTTCTTACATTTTTCACTTATTTGTTCTGTCATTTTTGTTTGTTCTTTCATTCTTTTTTTTTTTTTTGCTCGATCGTTCAGTCTTTTGTTTGTTCATTCTTTCGTTCACAGGATTCCAAGGTCGGCTTCGGTTTTGCGGTCTCAGGTGGGCGAGACAAGCCCAACCCAGTAAACGGGGACACAGCAGTGGTGGTCTCTGATGTGCTTCCCAGCGGCCCCGCCATGGGCCGTCTTCAGTGAGTCCACTTCTCCTGCATTCAGACCCACACTACTTCCTCCCACATATCCTGTGTAATCCTGTCAGACCTGTCAAGGCTGTCTACAAGATGGAAAAACCAACATACTCAAAACATATTTGGCATATGATTTTTTGTGATAGAGACTCACGTGATTTATTGTCCACAGTACACGAGACCAGATAGCTATGGTGAATGGTGTTTCCATGGACAATGTCACCTCACTCTACACTATTCAAAATCTGAGGAAATGTGGGAAATTGGCAAACATTGTAAGTAAGAACATTCCAAAAACATTGCCAAAACAAATACCTAGGTAACATTTTTGCGGTTTGAAAACAATTCTTGTTTTGTTCATTTTGTAGACCGTGAAGAGGCCACGCACAATTCAGATCCCTGCGAGCAACAGACCGACTCGTTCTGCCTCACAATCCAACATACTAGATGAAGACGGACCTCAGAACAGAGGTCAGCGTGGCGCTGACACCAGCCGTAACCGACGAACTCGAAGCGTGACACCTGACCGCAACGGTCATGACCTCCCCATCATGTCCGGCTTCAAGAGGCTGCCCAGTCAGGATGTGCAAAACAAACCCATCAGAACAACCCTGATCAAGAAAAAACCCACAGATGGTCAGAATCTCATTGCTTTGAATTGTGGAATCTTTTATGGTTCTTGCCGAGTTTTCAACATGTTTCTCTCTGCAGAGTACGGGATGAAGCTGGGGAGCCAGATTTTCATCAAGCACATGACTCCCACCGGTCTGGCTGCCAAAGAGGGCACCCTTCAGGAAGGAGATCTTGTTTTAAAGGTGAGGAGCAGGTTCTTTAGGAACCGTTCCATCGCACTTAGATGTTGTGTAACCTATTTAAAACTTCTTGTATAGATTAACGGCATGACGACAGAAAATCTGTCCCTGCTGGAGACCAAGCACCTAGTGGAGAAGTCTAGAGGTAAACTGACCATGTTGGTGTTGAGGGACGACAGAAAGTTCCTGGTCAGCATTCCTGAAGTGGAGGACAGTCCTCAAAACAGCGCGGACGAGAAGAGGGAAGACAGTAGCTCCGAGCTGGAGGGTGAGAGTCAATGTTTTGACAGCTGATCTCTGGTTTTTGGAGTGTTGATACTGACTTTCAATTTTTGCTTGAAGAAATCTCAGACCTGGATTCTGACAACCCCACAAATCGAAAATCCCGTCCAAGAGAACGACGTTCTCGAAGGTGAACACCTCAACTCTGACCTGATTCTCTGACTCTTTTAGTTAAATGATCTTTGCACTAACAGAGCTCATTGATCCACAGAAGTCGTGCCAATCCTGTGTCTAAACCACGCGAATCTCCCCCTTTGCGCTCTACAAGACCGCCCGCCCAGTTGATCCCCCCTCGCAGAGGTGAGCCTTAGTGCAAAAACTCAATGGGTCTCATTTATGAAACGCAAGTTAAAATTTAATTCAATATGGCATGGTCATGGCCAAGAGGTTTTGTTTATGCAATAGTTGTTTATGCAATTAGCTGACTGATGCTTTGGCCTTGTGCAGTTCCCTCTGAGTCTGAATCGGACCGCAGCAACTCGCCTCCACCGTCAAGACACGACACTCTCGATAACAGAGACCGATACAAGTAAACATGGCTTCATGTGTATTCAGCTCTGCAGAACCAGAGTTATATTAATGTCTTGTTTTTCATTTGTTTTGGGTTGCACTTTATTTTACAGTACGTGCACTTTTGTGTACTTAGTGTACTTGCCTAAGAAAGCACTGGTTAATATAAGGTAACTACATGGGTTAGGTGTAGGTTTAGGGTTAGTACATGGTTATTAACCAGTTATTGTAATAACTAAGTATATAGTATGTACATGGACTACAAGGACTGTAAAATAAAGTGCTACTTTGTATTTTATTTCAGAAATTGTGATGAAACTAAACTAATAAATGGCTTATACAATTACTTTATCTCTTTTTGTTTGTTTGTTTTTCTTATACTTTGGTGTTTCTCTGTCTCTAGGCTTTATTTTGTATTTAGTTTTTTCTGTCTGTTTTGCTGTTTTTATTTTTAGTTATATAGATGCATGGATTACATGGTACTTATTTTATTTTGTGTTGCTTTTGTCAGGATTTTTTCCCCTGTTTTGCTTATTTTATTTTGTTATTGTTTAGTTTTTTTCTGGTTGGGTTGTTTTGTTTTGCTTTTAGTTTCTTCGTGTGTTTATTATTTTGTTTTGCGGTTTTATTTTTGTATTTGTTTTTCTTTCTGTATTTCTTTTTTTGTGTGTGTGTGTGTGTGTGTGTGTGTGTGTTTTCATTTTGCAATTGTGTTTTATCATACTACTGTTTGTTTGGGTGAGATGCAAGGGTCACATGTTTGTCTGTTTCAGGGTTCTCTCAGGGATCTCCACATTGCCAAACCCTCGAGCCTCACCCGTCACCCAGAACTGGAACCCCTCCACTGCCTCACGACCACGCAGAGGTCTGCCTCAAAATGCGATTTTACCATATTTATAAACCAGCTCTGGAATCAAATACTTCACTGAATGATTCAGTAAATGATATGTACGAACCTTGTAGACAATTGAATCTCTGTAGTTTAATGTTTGTTTTGTGTTACCAGCTGTTTCTGAGTCAGATTCAGACCGGAGCGCCTCTCCGCCCCCCAGACGTGAGAGTCCCAGACCTGAAAAAAACTCCAGATACAAGTATGAGTCCACACCAAATGCAAATACAATGTTACATCTTGAGCACATTTTCTGAATGGACGAGTCGTTGAATTGTCTGAAAGACCATCTCAAAGGTTTAGTTCACCCAAAAGTGAAAATTCTGTCATTATTTACTCATCCTCATGTCTTTCCAAACCCAAAAGACTATCGGTTATCTTCGGAACACAAATGAAGATCTTTTTGATGAAAACTTTCTGTCCCTCCATTGACAGTCTACACAACTACCACTTTGACGCTTTAAAAGTTCATAAAGAGATCATAAAATTAATCTATATGAATTGAGCGGTTTAGTCCAAATTTTCTATAGAGACTCGATCACTTTATATGTTGAACAGATTGAATTTAGGCTTGAGGATGATTGAGTAATGACAGAATTTTAATTTTTGGGTTAACTATCCCTTTAAGTATTGTTGTAAACCGAGAAACCTGTTCTAATTCCCAACATGTTCCATTCTTGAAAAAGTGACCAGGTCCGAATGATGTTCTTAAAGTTCGAGAACATGCACCGTGACCTTTTTCACTTCATAGGTTTTCAATAATGTTTCTAGAAATATCTCCAATGCCTCTTCTCTTCTCCCAGGGTGCTTCCCGATCTCCCTCCTCCTGGAATGAAGTCTTCCTCTCTTAGCATGTCTCAGGATTTCCCCCGCCGCATGGCCTCCCCTTACAGGCCTCCACCCAGAGGTGATTTTTCACCCCCTACGGCACTTCATTTTCAGTTCTGTATCCCGTTTTAACAGACTCATTCAAGAGCATGTCTTTTCCATACAGCTGCATCAGAGTCCGAATCGGACGATAGTACCGGACCACGCAGACAGGGGACTCCAGCCAGCCAGGAGTCCCACAATAGATACAGGTACACATGAGGGACGCCTCACTGCCACTTTTAACGCAACTCACACCGGACTCTTTCAGTAGGCCCAGTCATCTGCCTGTACACGACGAGATAAAAGTTTATTTTGTTGTTTTTCATTTATTTGCTTTATTTTTTTGTGTTGCATTATGTTGCTTGTATGCATTCATGTATTTTTCTTTCATTGTGATATCTGAAAATGTGATATGTGTGATCTTTTAAAATAAAAGACACCGAATCAACCTGAGTTTTCTCCTGTACTATGTTGATTTGTGGCTCTTGATAAGGAAATATTGCTCCTAAGACCTAGATAGCATCTTGTATCCAACATCTGAGTTCATAAGTATACAAATTATCCACATAATACAATAAACAGCATTTATACACACATTATGTAAGATTTTAAATGTTATTTAATTCTCAACAACCAGTGGTGTAATGAAGATAGAAGTATCATAGATTTGGATCTAATGATCTTTTTGATACGTTTAGTACGTTCTGCCAGTCCATATGAATCATTGATTTTTGGGACTTAATTGACCCTATAATCAGTTATGGCAGCGGATAGTCCACCCCTTTCAATGAGAGAGAGAGACCCCCAGAAACCCTGAGGTGAATATCTCCCTCAATGATTTCACATTAGTTCCCACTCTCCTCATGGACAAGCATCATTTAGTATCCCCTCATCCTGCTTTTTTCTCTCACCCTCCCATCTGCCCTCTTTCTCTTGCAGGGCGCCCCCAGAGGTCACACCAGTCCCTGTAATGGAACCCCCAAAATGGGCGAAACCCTCAACTCCTGTACAGAGAGGTACGAGCAAATCGTGAAGGAAATATTCAAGGTTAAATGTAAAAAAATGTATGCCATGAAAATATTTTTTCTTAATACTTAGAACAATATTTTGTCATTTCAATTAAATATTACACATTATTTTCTAAATATTAAAGTTTACATTGCTGTAAGTTCTGTAATTACACGTAATTGTTTACACATTAATTTCCCATAATATATAAATAATAAATATTGATGGCATAAATATTTTAACTACGAAAAGTATTTTTAAATGAATTCTTAATTTCAATTAAACATTTGAAGTGTACACTATTACACATTATTTTCCAAATATGAATGTGTAAATTACAGTACATTTTGTAATTGCATATTAATATTTACAAATGAATTTTCCGTAATATATATATATATTTTATATAGATGACATGAAAATAATTTTTCTGTCAGTTTTTTTTACCTTGTGTCTCAATCTTAAATATGAAAAATATTTTTTTGAAATTAATGTGTATATATTAAATATGAAATATGTAAATATCCATGTGTACATGATTATTTAAAAGTTTGCGTTAATAACTGTACATTTTGTAATTGTTCATGCACATTTCACATGATATATGATATATAAATACCGTAATAAATATTGATGGCATGAAAAGAATTTTTCTTCATACCTCAATCTTAACTGTGAAAAATATATATTTTTATTTAATAAATTATTCAAATTAAATATTTAAAGTGTAAATGATTACACATTATTTTCTAAATATTAATGTGAAAATTACTGTAAATTATTTAATTACATATTCATATTTGCACTTTTTTTTCTGAAATATATCAATATTATTGATGGCATGAAATTATTTTTTTCTGTCATTTATTTGTACCTCAATGTCAAGTTTAAATATTGATGTGTAAATATTTAAATATCCATGTGTACATGATTGTTATTTAAATATTAGTGTGTAAATTCAGTAATTGTTCATACACATTTCACATTAATATTTACGCATACATTTCATAAAATATAAATAATAAATATTGATGGCATGAAAATAATTTGACATTTTTTGTAAGTATGAAAGATATTTTTTAAAATGAATGTATATATTTAAATACTGATGTGTACATTCATACACATCAGTAATGTGTATGAAATCTCATTTTTCATACACATTGCAAACTATTTACACATACATTTTTCATAGAAGTCATATGAAGCATTTTTGTGAAGTAATATTTTTATGAAGTAATATGTCATTAGCTATTACAATTTAAAATTACATCCTTTGCATTTTAAATTCACACCATTCGAGTCATTAGCAACCCATAATGGTCTCTAATTTGCATATTTAATCAGCTCCTTCAGAATCCGAGTCGGATGCAAGTTACAACACTCCTCCGAGATCACAGTCTCCAGTCAGTAAAAACTCAAGAATCAGACAAGGGTAAGATATACTAATGCTGTTTTATTTGTTTTGGATTATTATTTTGCATATAACGATGACCGCTATTTTCATTATTGTTTCGTCTCAGGGCTGAAATGCAAGTGCCAATCATCAACAACCGACAAGATCCCCCACTCAGATCCGCTCCTGCCAGACCACCACCCGAATGTATGTATAATACACTTATTACATGTCTGAGTAGTCGTTAGAGAAAGATGCCATTCATGTTGCCATATGAATGAATGTACATCTTTCTTTGGCCTTTGTAATGTTGTTTTGGTTTATTCGCCAGATTCCTCTGAATCAGAAAGGGCCCCATCACCTCTCGGGAGATCTGACAGTCCCAGCCACAACAGCGATCACAGGTTCAGAACGCCTCCTATGATCTATATTTATCTAATCCACACTTAAGATAACAGATTATGTCATAGTGAAGGTCAGCAAACACTTTGGTTGCAACCAAACAATTCCTTTGTATGCGGTCATTATTGTGTGAATGAATATATCGACTCTTTCTTTCAGTTTTCCACATGCTAATGGAAATCTCCGCTCCAACATATCCATTCCCAACCACACCACGTTGAAATGTGAGTACCATTAGTCCAAAAGCACACCCATAATGCATTGCAACTTATTGAGTGACTGTAGGGTATTAAATTGTAACTGTTTAATCTCAGCGAAACCTGTAGAGGAGCCACTTTATTCACTTCCACCAGACGCAGTGCCAACACCAAACCTGGGGTGAGAAATGTAGTTTTTTTGTGTGTGTATGCAGATCAAAGACAAGACATGTGTCATATTTCACCCCAAAATTAAATTGGGGAAACATATTTTTTTACAAACATATTTTTGTACATTTTTTTTTTTTTTTTTTTTTTACATTTTCACATTTTCTTCACAACAACGTTAAAGCATAAATAAGCATGAAAGACAAAACAACAATTTCTACAATGATGTATAAATACGTTATTTATATTTAATTGATTATATGTATTATATTAAATATTTTATATATAAATGTTTTGTATTATATATTTTATTACATTATTTTTTATTTATAATTAATTTAAAATAAGCATAAATTAAATCAAATATTACTTTATATGGTGTAAAGAGATACTTTAATTTAAAAAAAATTAACCGTTTTATATTTATAATTAATTTAAAGACATTCAAAAATAAACATGATGTACATTCATATTTACATTCCTTTTATTATTTTAATAATATTAATATTTATAGTTAAAGATAATTTGAATAAGCTTGAATGATTTAAATTATAAAAAATAATGATTAAAAATTATTTATATTTATTATATAAAATATTTACATACAAACATTATAAATAAAATGTAATGTATTTATACATTATGCTAATGTTTTATTTGTATTTACATTTAATTAAAATAATGTTTTTTTTTGTTGTTGTTGTTTTTCCATACCAGGTACAGCTCGGACCGGAACCACGTCAGCTTTGTGAAGGAGGGCAACGTTGGGTTGAGGCTGGTGGGAGGAAATGATGTTGGCGTCTTTGTTGGTGGTGTCCAGCCCAACAGTCCAGCCCAGAGGCAAGGCATGACAGAGGGTGATCAGATACTGGAGGTAGGACCAAAGAACCATGTACATACATGATCATACCTTTCAGCTATATTCTCCATTCTTCAAGAGTCTCTGTTATTTTGGTAGGTAAACGGTGTAGACTTTAACCACTTCACCAGAGAGGAGGCAGCTATGTACCTCATGAACATCCACGCTGGGGACCGAATCGATATTCGGACTCAGAACAAAATGGACAGTGAGTGCCTTCATGTCCAGACATTAGGATGTCACTTGTGACCAATCCTTTGCAGTAGTCCAAACAAAAAAAGTCACATTAGGGAAGTAAAATGGATTATGAATGCCATTTCCAAATTAATTTCTGCTCCTGCCCTCCTAGTCTACAAGAAGATTTTGAAGTCCAGCCTCGGTGACTCTTTCTACATCCGTACACACTTTGACCATGTGGCTGAGAGCAGTCTCGGCTTGAGCTTTACCAGAGGTGAGGTGTTCAGAGTGGTGGACACTATGTATCACGGAAAGCTGGGAAACTGGCTAGCTGTGCGCATGGGCAATGATCTACACGAACTGGACAAAGGCACCATTCCTAACCAGACCAGGTTTGTTAAATTGGTACTTTTTAAGTCTTTCATCCATAGATATGGTAAGTTTGTTTGCTTGTTAAGTATGTTACATTATAGTTGCTAAATGTACTGACTCTCTCTATTTTAGGGCTGAAACTCTGGCCAATTTGGAGCAGGCACAGAGAATAAGTGCGGCAGAGCGCCAAGGCTCCGGCCCCAGAGCCGAATTCTGGAAGCTACGAGGCTTAAGAGGGGCCAAAAAGAATACCAGAAGAACCCGCGACGACCTCTTACAGTTAACGATTCAGGGCAAATTTCCAGCATATGAGAAGGTCCTGCTTAGAGAGGGTTAGTGTTTTGTTTTGTTTTTTTATTAAACTGTGAGATTTTTAATGTCATGTACCTTAACAGTGATAGTGGACTATTCCTAATGGAATCTATGGTTTTGATATGCGTTTGTTTGCTCATATGCAGCCAATTTCAAACGGCCAATTGTCATTTTGGGTCCTCTGAACGACATTGCAAATGAGAAGCTGGCCCGAGAGTTGCCTGATGAATTTGAAGTTGCAGGTATGAAAAATTGGATTAGGTTTTGAGAGAATTTTTCAGTTGAAATTTCTTCACTGTCAAATATTGAATGTTTCCATTTTATTGGCTTGTAGAAATGGTTGCCAGGAGTGGAAGTGATAGTGCATCCAGTGTCATAAAACTAGACACAGTTAGGCGGATAGCAGAGCTGGTAACCTTTTCTTATTAATGCTGTCAGTATAAGCCAACATGACCTCAACCAAACACCAACTAGTTTTCAGCCAACAAAGTATCGTGTTTTCACTTGCAGGAAAAGCATCCCCTGCTGGATATTACACCAACTGCAGTAGAAAGATTGAATTACATCCAGTACCATCCCATGGTGCTCTTCTTGGATCCTCATAGTCGGAAGGACGTGAAGGCCATGAGGCAAAAATACATGCCAGGCTCCAACAAGAGCTCTCGTCGTCTCTACGCTCAGGCCTTAAAGCTAAGGAAACACTATAGCCATCTATTTTCTGGTAAAGCCTGTCTTCAAAGTTCATATTCTCTGCTTAAATCATTTCTGAAAACGCTTTCAGAAGCTTTTTATGTGCTCTGAAAGGCAATCGCTGTTTTTTCTGTCTCCTTAACAGCACGCATTGACCTTGAGCCTAATACAAATATGTGGTATGACATTTTGAAAGACAAGATTCGGCAGCAGCAGTCTAAACCCGTCTGGGTTTCAGAAGTAGCGGTAAGAGCCCTAGACTTTTATAATGATACACTCACGTCTTGTCGAATTAATGTAATTATGAGTTTACAACTTTAAAAACTCAAAACTTTATGAAAGCTCCAACTTGACCATTGGGACATCATGCAAAAAACCAACAGCTCTGAAACAAATCTCTTAATTGCAATAATTCTGACAAGGCGTGAATGCAGGATTGGTGGAGAACCTACATGTCATACTTGAATTGGTTAACGAGAACTTGGTCTGTGTCTAGTTGGAGGGAGGTGCCGACGAGGAGCTTGATGCATTGAGCCGTGCAAACAACTCTGACTACCTTAGTGGTGCAAGTGACTACGAGGACACTGACGGTGAGGCCTTCACAGATGGCGAAGCCTACACTGACAATGAGGACCTGGAAGAGCAAACACAAGGCATCGCCAGGCACCGCAGCAGTGCACTAGCCCGCTCCTCGGAGCCCGCCACTGAGCAGAATCCTAGTCCTGAACCTTCCTACGACCTAGAGCCATTCCTGGAGGAAGAGTCCGAGTACACTCTACCTCCCGGTGAAGTACCTCCTATCCTCCACGTTCCAGAGCCCCGTTCTCCACGCGTTGTCACTGGCTTTCACCAACAAGAAGACGATGTCCCCTCGCAGCGCAGCTTCACGGATTCAGACTTCAGCACTGGTGACATGGCCGCACCACCGGCACCTTCCAATGCGCCGCCCAACTTCAGGGCACCAGATCCCAAAGAAGTCCATTCAGAGACCCCTCCACTGTCAGCCATAGAAGAGAAACTACAACAGGTACCATATATATCTAATACCCATGCCACTGACCAATTGACAACATGATTTATTCAATTAGGACATGTTCTTTAATAGGACGAATCTTAGCCTAACCATACATTACCTCTAAATGCAGAGGGAAATTATAGGTTTCTAATGTTCTTCATGCCACTGATTCTAGAGGTAACCCAAACCTTGAACCTAAAATCTGATTGGTTGATTGATCCACTGAATTACAGTTTGAGTAGCACAACATAATTTAGTCAAATAGGACATCTGCATCCTTAGTAGTTAACTTTCCCTAACCATAACCTACCTTTTAAAAACAGAGTGAAATAAGTTGATAATGTTCTTCACACCACTGATCCCAGAGGTAACTCTTGACTGTAAAACCTTGATTAGTTGATGAATCCACCTTAAGTAAAGTTTGAGTAGCATATCATTAAGTCCTTGACCTTGACCCTAAAATCTGACCCTATCTGATCCACTAATATCAGTTTGAGTAGCATGGCATGATTTAGTCCAGTATGACTTTTTATTGGATCTACATCCTTAGCAGGACCAATAAAAAGCAGAGAGAAATTATTTTTTGATAATGTTCTTCATCCCACTGATCCCAGGGGTAACTCTGATCGTATAATCTGATTAGTTGATGAATCCACCTTAAATAAAATTTGAGTAGCACGTCATTAGATTTTGCCAAGTAAGACATGTTCCTGGAACAACTTTCCTCTCTGAATATTTAGCCCTATCCCTACCCATAAACCTATCTCTACCCATTACATATCCCTAAAATCAGATGAAAATGATAGGTGAATAACACTGATGTAGAAGCACTTAACCCTGGTTGTAAACTTGACATAAACTGTAAACTTTAAAAGTCTCCAAAAATCTGATTGGTTGGTTGAAATGTTGTTCCAGGATCAACAAAGATGTTGATTCAGGAACATGTTGCACTTGGTCAAATCACATTCACCTAATCCCAGAGGTAATCCTGACCCTAAAATGTGGTTGATTGGTAAATCCACTGAATTCCGGTTTGAGTGGTACAGCATGATTGAATAGTAGGACCAACAAAAGACAAATCCTTTACCCTTACCCTGACCATAGCTTACCCTAAATCTTACTGTAGGACTTAAAAGATGTTGATACAGGAACATGTCCTACCTTAAGTCATGTTGAGGTATTTGATTACGTTTAATATTAGGTATCTAGAAATACTCAATGGAGCTATTCATTATTTTGTGTGTTGTTGTTTTAGGCCCGTATGGCAGAACCAGAAAGGAAACCCTCTCCTTCTTTTGTAGTGTAAGTATTTCTATTTGATCTGTCAACTTGTGCTTGAGGAAGATTTTCATTTTTAAATGCATTAATAAATCTTTTCTTTTAGATTGGCACATCACGAAGCCATGCAAATTAGGAGAACACAAATCCAAGGAAGTGACAGTGACAGCGACAGCGATGAAAACGCCAGAGATGATGGCGATTTTGGTATTGATGATGATGAAGCTGATGACATTGAATGGGGACCTGCCACAGAGCTGTAATGTACACGAATTGTACTAACATCACAAACAGGCACATGGACCACTCATGTCTTATTCTGGACCTGTACATTTACACAACCAAACTGGAAATAACTTTTGTGTGTGTGTTTTTTATTAAGTGTTCTTATGGACTTGTTATAGATAACTACTCTTGGATTTATTTTGACGTTTTGTTACCGGAATTGCTTCCTTTTGTGGGTTTGTTGTAACGGATGTGCTGAGGTCTTCCTCAGGATTATTTCCGAAAGAAATATTACCAGTTGTAATAAAGACCATTTGGGTATATTTTACCCTTTTCAGTAACTCGTTATATATTATATTATTTTATTAATGTATTTTGAAATAAATGGAACAAACCATTAAAGCCCAGAGGATGAAAAGTGTTGGAGATTAATCTTACTTAACCTGCTTAAAAGGTGAAGTGCTACATTTCGCCTAGTTGAATCAAATGGAATTGCAACAATACTGACTTTTTTTTAAAAGTAGGTCCCTTGAACATTCCCCCAACTCCCACTGAGCAAACAAACCGATAACCCTTACCCAAACACAGCATTGTTTGAGATCATGTTGCTATTCTAGGTTGGTCGGGATGCACAACAGTGGTTACAGTTTTGAAAGTGCCACACAGTGATACAGATTTGGTTGAATGAGTTATAATAGATCTGTTCAGTCAATTTTGTAGACAAACTAGAAGGCTAAGTTCCCTCCTAGGGCGTCTCAATCCGCTCCCTAGTTCAGTAGTCAGGGCACTGATCAGGGAGTCACACAATTTAAGCGCTGTCTCAATCGCGTTGCCTTTTTTTTTTTATCCCACAATGCAGTGCAAAATCAACAACTACTCTCACCATGGCTGTGTCCCAATTCAAAGTCTGCATCCTTCGAAGGCCACAACGGTTGGACTGAGCATTGTTAAATGGGATGGTCTAGCATAGCCTATAGAGGACTGTTCTTGTTGTCTAGCTGCCGTTGATGAGTGACAGTAACGTTTGTACTGGACTTTTTTGAAGGTTATATTAAACTGTCTGAAAACAAAACGGGGTTCACAAACTGTCTAAATGTGTTCACCCTAGTCCATTTCTGTATATAATAAAGAGTTTCAACTATATAATTGCGTCTTAGTAAGATATGTCAACATTTGAACCGCTTTAAAGTTTTTTATTTTTTAATTTGTATCAGATATTTGAGTAAGTTAAAACCCAATACTTAGGTTTAAAAGTCTAATTCAGCAATTTCGCTAAAAACAAATCCTGTCGTCACAAGCGTGCAATGAATTCTGGGGAAGGCAAGGCCAGGAAGGATCCATCAGTTGTATCCTTCAATTCACAGGAAACGAAGCACACATTTGGAAACCGCATTTGAAGGAGCCTTTGTTGTGCCGTGGTGACGCAATCAGTCTTGAAAGCTAAGAACACAGCTAATGTTCTCTTAACAGAATGTCACATTTTCTGAAGCTCGAAACAAAAAACGCACAAGCCAACTCAATACATATCATGTCATGTGACCGTTTTTAAAAGACAAACAGCTATTTAATTACATTATAGAAAAAACAAACATCGCTATACAGTGGTGAACATTCTAGTTACTCATAATTAATTTATGGCTGAAATGTTGCAGGGATATGTAACAATCTAAAAATAAAAAAATGTAATAGTCCACTGACTTGCCATTCCAAATCTTACCAACAGTAACGATAACGTATTTTTGGTATTGGTTGGCTTTAGTGGATTTATTTGCATACTGAATTCTGATTCTGATTATTATGCTCTGTCTTTTCAAGAAACTTGCAAGAACCTTATATGGTGCAGCTTTAGCGTTTATTTCAAATGTACGGGACGGGACCTTAGGGCATTTGATTGGACCGAAAAACTGATGAGAAGCTGAAGTGCAGCATGATGTCATCAAAATAATTGATAGTGGCGGAAGTGAGAGACTTTGTTAGAGATATGTTTATATCTTCTAAAGTCAAATTTTGTCATTGGCTGCATCTGAAATCGCATACTTCCCTACTATAAAGTATGACAAAAAAACAGTATGTGACACAATTATGTCCGAATTCACAGTGCATTCAAACTACTCGTACTCATAGGCCTACTTTTTTAGTGGTCGTGAAGTAATTACTAATTACACTAAATAAGTACAGATAGCACACGTACGTCTGCAAGATGTCTGTTAAAGGTCACTTCATCTGGAAAGCATCTGCTGTTTATTAACATCTGATAGACATCTTTAAGATGTCAGTTTAACATACATTCTAAATCATTACATCTTAAAGACATCTTCTAAACGTCTATTTGACATCTGACAGGAAATGTCCTATAGACGTATTGCAGATGAGCAAACACTCAAAAAAATACGTCTTCCAGATGTAAACACACACATCAAATAGACGTCTCTGTGATGTACGTGTGCTAGGGTACCTATCCCAGATAGCACAAGTCTATTTGATGTTATATTTACATCTGGAAGACGTATTTTTAAGAGTGTTTGCTCATCTGCAAGACGTCTATAGGACGTTTCCTGTCAGATGTCAAATAGACGTTTAGAAGATGTCTTTAAGATGTAATGATTTAGAATGCATGTTAAACTGACATCTTCTAAACGTATATATAGTATATATATACGTTGAGTATATATACTCAAGAAAGAGAGTGCCATTTTGGACCCAGCCATTGAAGCACTATAACAGTAAGGCTAACATATTCATACTAAAAGCCACAAAAAAAAAATCAATTTTGATTTCATGGCGACTTTAATGCTATTATTTTAACACTGTATTTCATTGAAATGAAATGAAATGAAATGAAAGTGTTAAAATCAGATCTTTTGCCAAACAAAAAGGTTTCAAGAAGTGTTTGTCACGAAGGTGGGCGGTGTTTTGTTTAATTAAACCACCGCAGGTGACAGACATTAACAACGAACTGTGGAGCAGTTGGCCAAATCTTATCTAGCGAGTTAAAATTATGAAAATCGCTGCCTAAACGCTGTTTGTAAGTCTCAACAAGCATGCGTGTTATCCAGCCCACGTGTTTTTACAAAGCAACGCAGTTTCACTTGTCAAAGGGACTGAGAGTGAAAAAACTCAAAAGCGGATGCGCTTCAGACTGTTCTGATGTGTGTCACTAGATTCAGTCAATGTGCGATACTATTAGAGGAGCGAGACAGAAGCTCGAGCTCGGAGTGTGTAAACCTCGCATCAGCGCTTTGAAATGGGGAGCCGGGGGGTGGGCAGGGGGGTTATATCGTAAACTAAAAGACATACGCGGCGGATCTAAACATCTAAAGCTTAAAATGTTCTCTAAAAGGACAAGGGAACTGATAAAGACACACTCGATGTCAAAGAAGAGCCGAACAGGAAGCAGCCAAGCGCCTCTCAACTCTCCATCAGTAAGTCGCACAGCATCTCTCGCCTTTTCCTCCTGCCAATCAACTTGATTGACATTTCACCCTCGCGCTCATGTTTTCGTGTCGATCTCTCGACGTTGTTGAAACATATGTGTTTTAGCAGTGTTTTCAAACACAAATATCTAGACTTTAAAGCGTATAATTAGACAGTTATGCTACAGAGAAAAGGACGGACTAAACTTCCTCAGTGTGATATGGCGCAGCAAGGTGTAAGAAGTTCAGGTTTTGCCTTACTTTAGACATTTTTTTGTCATTTTCATTCTGTTTGAGGATTATTTTTTTAGACTTAATTACTTTTCAAGGCATATTGCAATAAAATTATGAGATATGATGGATAACAGTGTGGAAAGCTGATTTTGTAACGGACGGTAGCTGGAAATGTTAAAGCGTGGATCGAGTAGCAAAAGCTACAGTCCTTACGCGACGAGTCAGAGAGTGAAAAAATCAAACAGCAAAACTAAATTGGACATCTTGCCAAATAGACCAAACGTCTGGCTCAAACAGGTGGGTTTTTATTGAAAACTACTGTAAATGTTTGTACGTTACTGTTAAAAATATGCATGTGTCGTGTAATAGCTAAGTTATGACAACATGTTTTTACATTGCTTTAACTCATCAAGATAAGTCAAGCAATTTTCAACTGTTTTTTTTTTACAAGTTATACAAGATTAACTGATTTTAAGTCAGTTTAATGTTATTTAAGTTGAAATGACTTAAACATCCAATTTGATTGTACTTAAAATTTTAAGGCAGCAACTTTTTTGTACAAGTCAACCAGAGCGGTGTAACCAGATATTGTAAATTATTATACTTTTTACCTTATAATAATTGGCTTAACATGTAATGTTTTATCTTTGTTCTAAACATTTTTTTATCTTGCTGTTTTTGATGGGGAAAGAATATAAGAAAGCTTCTATCTGTTTAAATGCAATGTCCTTTTTTGTTAATTGGATTTTGGGATAACACTTGTTTTTTGGTCTTTGACACATTGGTTTGTGTAGTGCATAATTTTTTAGGTGTGAGTTCATTATATATGTGGCCTTTGAGCTACAGAAATGATATTTTTGGTTACTTGTCCTTCATGTCATGTTTACTCTTTTAGAAGTGTGTGTGGGCCTCAGCTAGGCCTGTTAGTGTGGCATCAGCTCTTCGGGGTGTGACAGGAAGTAGGCCGTGGTTGCTCAAGCGCTCTTGTGAAAGAAGTTCTGTTTACTAACAGCCGTCTATTGTAGTCAGTCACAGATCTTGTTCTCCATCCGCAAACCTACTTTCTACGTTAAAGTTTGCATGCCACGTTTATCAGTTTGCTCACACCGTTTCCTTTTTTTCGTCATAATCCAGCTCTCTGCGCTTCAAGAGCAGCCTCGGAAAGATGTCGTCGATGCCGTCACCTCTTCGTCCCACACGTCCTCTAGTCTGTCTCCATCCGTCCTGGAAGTCCCGTCTTCCTGTCCCGGTACCCCTTTGACCCAGCACACGAAGCTGGTTGGCTGCCCGTCCCCAATGGGCACCCTAAAGCGGCCTACTTCTCTGAGTCGCAATCCTAGCGCAGCGGGCTTCCCTATCCAGTCTTGGGTCTTTAGTAAGGGTGCAGGAAAATCTGTCATCTCCCAGAGTCCTTCACCAGAGACGCCCGAGACCACAGTGGCCATTGAGGTGGAAGACATCCCGTCGCTGCTACGCATAGTGGAGCGGTTTGCCAAAGCAGTGGAGAAACTGAAAGATGTTGTGCTTGAAGGTAAGATGGATGATGATTTTGTTGGAGAGACAATGAGTGATGACATGGATTATTTGGGGTTTAAGGACGAAAAAGTTTTATAAACATTTCCTAAACATTTATTAAACGTTTCCCCGTATTTATTTTTTTAACTGAGATGTGCACAACATCACTCCATACTAATCTGCCACATGACGAATTGCACGTCGTACCGCAAACATCACCTTCCGCTGTGGATCATGTGATTGTGGAGGAGAGAAAGGGGCGGGGCTGAGTTTGCTCAAGAGGCCCTGTTCTTTCTGTAGCAGCAGTGAGGTTAAGTTCCTGTGGTGCGCCACATTGGCACAGGAAATGGTACTCTCAGAAAACACCCCCTTCCGCTCTCAGGACTCGTAAAGCAACGTCATTTAAGCTCCAAACCTGTAGTCGTACCCATAAATACCGAAATCAATTATTATATTTGAAGCTTTCTGACAACTCGGAGCTTATGGACCGCTTTCTGACAACTCGTTAGAGATAAATTAAAGGAACTTTTCAACAAGAGGCTCCTTATAAAAGCACTGTGTTTGTATCATGATAAAGTAATGGGTAAAGTAAAGTAAAGAGATTCTGTTGCAGGGCTTTTTTAACCCTTTTTTTGTGGCAAAGACTCCAATGAGAGTCAACCCTTTTAAATAAAACAAAGGCAGCTATAAATTACATTTTGGGACCCATTTTGCATTTTATAAATAGTTATTTATTGTTTATATGAATTGTTTGGTTTATTATACTATTATTATTAAGCTATTGAATAATAATTAAATATTGTTTGGGAAATATTAAGTGTGTATTAAACTGATATATATATATTTGTTCTATGCAGAGTAAGTTAGATGTATAAATCTGAAGATAAATATTGATAAATTCAATATAAATTCAAACTTTATTTGTATAGATCTTTTCACAAAAATGTTCCAAACCAAGAAGTAATCACCTAAAAAGAAAACTAATTCTGTTCAACAATTCTTGAAAGTTGTGTTGCAAGGAAGGAGAGAAGAAATTTGTGTGTGTGTGTCTTTTAATTTTCTGGCTAACTCCTTTACTATGCCAATAAATGATAAAAAAAAATGTACTAACAACGTTTTAGTTTAGTGTAGCTTAACTTTATTATCCATTCTGTTTGTCACAGAGTGGCAATTCATCTTTGACACTGGTATCGTACAAATATACATAAATACACCGACATAAATGTTTACACGTTGACACAGACATAAAATTACACTAACTTCATAATTCCTTGACGCATGTCAAGGATCCCATAATAATATTAAAAAGGTTAATCAGAACAGCAAGTTAAAATACAGCTATAATGCCAACCATTATCTTGGATCAGTTAGAAAAACATCCTTATTTCAACCATTTTGTCATGTTTTAGAAATATCCTGCTTATGGCATGGATGGGTTTAGTGGTTGTCCCATGGCACATTTTCCACCAAACCTTTCTGTCTTCACCAGAAGCTTTTTTTTATTATTATTCATTGCAAGTGGCCTACTTTCTTTGATTAAAAACGAAACAAAAACTGTTGTTCATGCTTCCCACTGCTGTAGAAGTCAGGTTGAAGAGAAACTGAACAATAACAGTTTTGGCCTAGGTGTTTGTACTTGGAGAGTTACGGTTGGGAGATACGACTGGAGGAAGTGGTTTGTAGACGTGCAGACGAGAAAGCAGTGCAACACTGTGCTAACAGTCCGTCTTGCATCATTTTGACTGTTTTAGGATCCGTGCAGATTTCTTATGCTTCCTGTCAGCATGACAGACATTGACGTGTCGGTTAAAGGATTTTTGGGTTCACTAAGAAATGTCCTGGTCAGATTTCTCCCTATAAAAGAAACATTTTGAGAAACGATTTAAAACGAAGTTTCATTTCTTTTAATTTATTTTATTAATTTGTTAATTTAATTTGTATTTGTTAATTGTTTGTTTCAGTTGTGTCCATTTATTTTGTTAAATAAATGAATGGACAAACAAAAATATTATTTTTAATTAAAAAATAAAACATTTTTTTTATTTGGTAATGTTTATTTATTGTTCATTTATTTAAATTGTTTTATCTTTTTGTTCAATTTGTTTTATGTATTTATTTTTTGTTTTGTTTGTTTGCATTGACATTTTGTTATCAGTGAGGAAAGCAGAGTTATTCGTCATTTTGGCACAAATTAGACGTCTTGGACTGAAATGAAGTTCCTGAGCTTGTGTGTCTGTAACCCATTTTCAGCCGATAAGAATGGATGTTGTGTAGAGCTGCACAATTAATCTTTAAAAGATCGCAATCTTGATTCAAACAGCCACGCAATCTCATTCCTAAATGAGTGATTCTCCTGTGTCTATTAAACCTTTGACAAAATCACACTGGAACGTTCAAATCTGTGTTCGCGCTGCCGCTGATCCAGAGAGAGAAATTATCATGTATAGGTATGAAACAACTTTGCAAACAGTCTTTTCAACCACACAGTTTCGTTATTTCTGTTACAAATATACCTATTATCACAGAACTGGGGAAAGTTTATAGTTTGGATATAAACACTGATGTCTACTGCAGTGATCAAAATGGAGATCACTTTTTGAAAGTAACTTGGCGGTTCAAATAACATTTGTATCGATCACATCGTTACGCCACTAGGTGACGACAGGTGACTCTGAAATGTATGGTCATTAATCATTCAAGAGACTCATTAAAAAAAAAACTCAGATTCATCCAGTAATGAAACAAGTGAACTATGGAGTAAGCGAGTCATTGAATCATTCACTTAAACCAATTATTTTATTTATTTTTTAATCTTTCATTGGATAATTAAACATTTTAAATGGACTCCAGCAATTAATATTTTTCAGAACATCTAGTAAATAACATGTTATTTTGTTTAATCTGTTCAGATTTGTGGGAGAATCATGATCAGTTTGAAACGCACAAATTGTGATTCTCAATTTTATCCAGAATCACGCAGCTCTAATGTTGTGGATGGTATTTTGCAGACAAACAGGAGAACCGGCGTCCGCTGGCCCATGAGTGTCTGGGGGAAGTTCTGCGCATCCTGCGGCAGGTCATCAGCATGTACCCCCTCCTCAACACGGTGGAGACGCTCACCGCTGCCGGAAAACTCATCTCACAGGTCAAAGGTTAGAGCAATCGCATATGCTAAAATACCAAAAAGAATGTGACATTTGATCTTAAAGGATGGATTTGGTTTTCTCTCTGTCAGTAGTGCATCCGGTTTTTAGACTGAGTTCACACGACAATGATGTACTAAAAACCAGAAATGTTTTTCCTTTGCGTACAGACGACAATGTTGTCAAAACGATCCCCATTCACTCGGATCCACGAAAACAACTAAAAACGCTGTATTCATGCCAGGCCAGTAGATGTCACTTTGTGAAAATACACTACTATATACTGAACACATAATGCGCATTTTCACAATAACAGTATCATTTTCAAAAACTTGCACTTTTAAACCCGTTTTCAAAAGTTTGCATTTTCAGGCCCCCAAAACGCCGTAGTCATGTAAATGAACGGCCAAAATACATACGTTTTTAGTTGAAAACTGTCATGTCAACAGCCCAGAATACATTTGTTGTTATTTTTGAACCATTTACCAACATATTTTGTTTTTCCTTCAGGATACCACTATGAAGTGTGCAATGAAGCGGACAAGAAAGATTTTGAGAAGGCCATTGAGACCATTGCTGTAGCTTTTAGCAGCAAGTGAGTATGGAGAGCTCAGTGTGAACTGATTACACACTATCAATGTGTTTCTCACTCTGATAAGAAGAGTTGCATAAAGTAGATGTGACTTTATATCCATCTCATCATTGCTACTTTGTTTCTTGCAATTGCAAACTTTACCTCACAATTGCCTTTATTTTTTATATACATGTTTTGTAGTATGCATACTGACCATTCATTTGCTGAATAATTAGGATACCTGGATGGCGTATTACATTACCAAAATGTGCAGTACACAACCAGAGAATTTCGTCCCCTTGGAATTATAAGGTTCTATCTGCGTTCTGAGCAGTTTTGAGATATTGAACTTTAAAGTTTTTGCATTCCATTTGACTGTAGAAAGAACCTTTTTATTTTCTAAATAAAATTTACACAACTTAAAAAACATCACATAATGTAAAGAAGTTGTCACAGAATAAGAATATGTGAATAACTAAATTTTGACAAAAATGTCAGATAGAACCTTATAATTCCAAGGGGACGATTTGTAAAAAAAAATACAAAGACATTTGTTTACAAAATACATTAAAAAAAATAGGTCATGTGATAATCTTGCATACTTTAGCTTTCAATTAATTCAGGAGGAAATTAAACATTTGTTCTTTTGCTATTTATTTAAAATTAATTTGGGTTGAAATTACATATCGTTTCATTGGTATTTATTTATTTAGCTTTTTCGATTTGTTCAGGTGAAATGGCACATTGTTCCTTTTGGATTTATTTATTTTATTCACTCAGGGGGAAATTACACTTGTTTCTTTGGTATTTTTTAAATTTATTTAATCTGATTCATTATTGGGGAAATAGCATGTAGTTCCTTTTTTAAATTGTATTTTATTTTCACAGTCGAAAGGAATAAATGTACACAGGAATGTAGTGCCATGTGGCGTTCTTTGCATGCGTTATGAAATCTCTCTCAAAATGCTCTGTTAGATCATTGACATTAATCGTAGCTCTACAGAAATAACAGGAAGTTGATTTGTGGCTTCTTCTCTCTTACACTAACAGCCTAAAACCCTCAAGGATCTGTTTTTGAGTTCAAGCTGATCATTATCAACAGCTGTAGTATTGCTGTTTTCACTTCTAGTGTTTAAAAACCGATTCCTGATGATGTTCCGCTGTCATATTCATTGTGATACACCTGAAATGACAAGGTGTTTTACATTAGGTGAAACATTAAATCATCCACCAGTGCAGCGTGATGCTGTTTTTGTGGCAAGAACAAAGTAAAGAGGAAGTTGTGAACCTAACTAACACTGGCGTCTGATTATTCTCCCTGGTTATTATAGGTATTTTTGTTTATAATTCAATTGTGGGTTGACTCGGTTTGCCCTCTAATGTTAGATTCTGACACTACATATTACGTTCAGAGAAAGCTGAGATGTTCTTTCTTTCCTCAGTGTCTCTGAACTGCTGATGGGAGAGGTGGACAGTAGCACGCTGTTGTCCGTGATGCCCACTGAGAAAAGCAGGGTAAGTGTGTGTCAGTTTCACTGCCTGTAAAGAGCGGATGTTGGCAGCAGGTTTTGACTTCCTGAAAGTGCTGTTGCTCTGTGACGCAGTTGTCCCCTGAAATAGGAATCACATGGAACACAGTACGAAGGTGTTTTACATATCTGTGTGTGTGTGTGTGTGTCTTCTCTCTTCAGTCTATGGAGAACCTCTCGGGTCACGAGCTTTTACACACACGGAGTGATTCATCTGAAATGGGTACATTTTGACAAATTCAGACATACAGAAAAATAAGTAGGAATGCACTGATGTAGAAAATTCACAGAATGTATTTGGAAAATAAATTCTAATCAAAAAGTCTCCTGCATAACTTTTAGAATAATTTATTTACTTTTTTATTATAGAAGTCATGTATAATAAATATTTATAATAAAGTCTCCTGAAGAACGTTTAAAATTAAGATTTACTTTTATTATTGTACATATATTATTATTGTACATATATTTATAATATGTATTTTATTTACTTTAGAACTCATTGTATTGTATGATGTGATTTATTTATTTGTAGATCTTTAAAAGGTCTCCTTAACTTTTAAAATTAATACTTATTTTTATTGTAATGCGAGAACTTTAAAAATTTCCTGGCTGAACATTTATAATAATTATAATATTCATTATTATTATTATCATTATATAATATTAACCAATTAAAGAATATTCTTACATTGTTAAATTGATATTTTTTTATAATACCCATTTGGTCTCCTGCAGAACTTATATTTAATAATATGCATTTTATTTATTTAAGAACTCATAATTGTATAATATTTAGTTTATTTATTTAGAGATATTTATAAAGCCTCCTGAAGAGCATTTAAAATATATATATATATTTTTTAATATTGCAATAAGAGAACTTTAAAAAGTCTCCTGCAGAACATATAATCTTATATTAGATAATATTGACTTATATATTATTATTATAAAAATCTTATTATAATAAAGACATAAAATGTATAATAATTATTTCAAATATTACATATTTACTTCCATAAATGTATGTGTGTGCTGCAGCGATGAGCGCTGAAGAGGTGGACATTATCCTGCAGCGCAGTGAAGGTGGTGTGGACTCGGCTCTGACGTACGCTAAATTCATCTCCAAGTACATGAAGGATCTGATCGGCTATGTGGAGAGGAAGCTTGCGCTGGGTAAGAGCATGCGTGCTTTCAATGATAGGACCACTGTAACGACAAATAGTGTTGTTTCTATATAAAACATGATTCTGATTGGTTGATCCACATTATGTAGTAATTAGGTTTTACTTGTTTATTTTCTGCCTTTTTACTTAATATTTTACATATTAAATTGCAATTCATATTTATCTAGAGCTGGAGTTCTCCAAGGGCTTACAAAGGATCTATCAGTCATGTAAACAGACCATCACGCAGGTGAGATTTGATCATTGTCTGCAGTTCTCAGGGTGTCGTTTGTTTGTATGTCTCCTCATGCATCTCTTTTTGTGTCCATCAGCCACACATGCCCTTCTTCTCCATCTACTCTCTGGCTCTGGAGCAGGACCTGGAGCAGAGCGCTGGGATGCATCAGGCAGCCTCCACCCTGCACAACCAGACCTTCATCATGGTAAAACAGCCATGTTATCCTTTCATCAATAATAAGTTATTGTTTTAGCTTATTATTAAGTTATTATTATGAATATATATGTATATTTTTTTATTATTATATCATATATGAACTAATTATAGAATATTATATTGCATACCTGCCAACTTTTGAGTTTTGCTCGGCGTGAGATTTTTTGACGGGGGGGGGGGACGGGGGGACGGTGGTAGAGACTAGTGAGATTTGTTGACGGGGGGGGGTGGTAGAGACGACTGAGATTTGTTGACGGGGGGGGGGGGGGGGGGGGGTGGTACTAGTGAGATTTGTTGACGGGGGGGGGTCTCGCTCGCGCAAGGTCTCTCGCTCGCTCTACGCGGTTTGGAGCACAATCTCTATCTCGCATGCACGCTCGCTCTAGATAACGGGAGATTTTTAACGAATTTGCAGTATAACTAGTCGATCACGAGTGGCTCAACAGGTAGATATATAGATAAACTCATCTTCCAGGCATTTGACCGCCCGGGTTGACACTTCAGCGTGAGAAATCGGGAGTGTGGCGTGTGAGCGTGTGAAACCAATCAAATGCGGGTGTCTCACGGCCAATGCGTGAGAGTTGGCAGCTATGTATTGTTTTACAATAAAATATATTTGTTTTGTTTAAGATAACTTGGTCTCCTGCAAATCTTATTTAGTGATACAATTAATAATGTATTATTCATGCATTTACTTTAAAACTCATAATTACATAATATTATAGTATTTATTTTCATTTATAAGAGATCTTTAAAAAGTATCCTGCAGAATATATATTTATAATAATAATAATAATAATGTGGTTATTCATACATGTATTATATGTAATTGTTGTTAAATATATGCTAATAATAAATTATTAAATAAAATATAATATTAGTAGTATAATACAATTAATTATTATTATTATTATTATTAAGAACATCTATTATCATTTATAATTGTTAAATATATTATATAATAAGCTAATAATAATAATTTGTTGTTATTATTATTATTACTATATTATTAATAATATATAACAATGTATAACTGTTAAATATTTGATATAATTGTTAAATTTATGACATAATAATAATTGGTATTAAATAGATGTTGGAAATAATAGGTGTTGTTGTTAAGTGTTAATAGTAATTTTATTATTATTATTACATTTTACTTTTTAAAGTAGTCTTGTTGTGGTGGTTGTTTTTGTCATTAAATATATAATATTGTTGTTGAATGTTCTGCATGAAGTTTATTATTACTTATTCCTCTTCCTATTTAATATATGTAATATTAGCCCTAATTTAAAGAAAAATTCTAATTGTTCACTGATGGTGTTAATAACTTGAAACCTGGAGCATGAAGTATTTCGATTTTTGAAGCATCGTGTGCTTTGTTCATCCACAGCCTCTGCTGCTCCGCAAACAAGAGCACGAGAAGAAACGCAAGGAGATCAAGGAACACTGGCTGAAGGCCAAGAGAAAACTGGTAACATTTACATTCATTCATCTTTTTAGCTATCAAAGCACATTAAAGCTTGAGCCAGGATGTGTCAGTACAAGATGTTAGCAGTACAGGTCTATGAACCTGGTCTTGGGTGTGTTTGAACACAGATGGAGTGTGAAGCGAACTTGCGCAGGGCTAAGCAGGTCTACATGGCCCGCTGTGAAGAGTACGACAAGGCCAGGACGGCCGCTAACAGGGCCGAGGAGGAGGGCGGCAGCTCTACCACCAAAGCAGTCGACAAGAAGAAACGCCTGGAGGAAGAGGCCCGCAACAAGGTCAGCACTCCCTGCCACTTAAGACACTGTAGGAAAAGGGTTTGAGCAGGTTGTGTTTTTGAAACTGTGTGTTTGTCTCAGGCTGAGGAGGCGGAGGCCACATACCGGACCTGCGTCGCAGATGTGACCACACAACACCAGGAGCTGGAGCACATGAAGGTCACGGTTCTGCGGCAGATCCAAGAGGTCATCAAGCAGACTGACCAGACCATTCGCTCGGTATGTGCCTACATACAGCTCAAAACAAGAAATCAAATGTTTACAAATGGAAAAAAGATACAAAGTCCTATAACTAAAGATCTTCCTTTTAATGAACATTTCACAAAAGAAAGTATGATAAACAAAATCACAGTAGGTCTTGGTGTCTTTATAACAAGAGGTATTTCACACAAGACTCGCTTATCCTTTTTTGCTAAATAATTCATCGGTCAAAGCAATTTTCATTATGTATATTATATATATATATATATATATATATATATATATATACAGTGGGTATAGAAAAGAATCACCCCCCTTTGAAATAATCACATTTTGTTGCTTTGCAGCCTAAAATTAAGACAGACACAGTTTTTGTTTCATTCAGCTGTATTTACTCAGTGCAACTTATAACATCCAAGTGAAAGATATAACACCAACATATCAGAAACAATTCAAAAAATCAAAAAACATAATCACTGAGTTGGAAAAAGGATCACCCCCTTGTTTCAGTATTTTGTTGAACCATCTTTTGCTTTAATTACAGCCTTTAGTCTGTTGGGATATGTCTCTACTAACTTTGCACATCTAGACGTTGCAATATTTGACCACTCTTCTTTGCAGAACTGCTCAAGTTCAGTTAAATTTGATGGTGACCGTTTGTGGACTGCTGTCTTCAAGTCATTCCACAGATTTTCAATGCGGTTTAAGTCTGGGCTCTGACTAGGCCATGCAAGGACATTCACCTTTTTCTCCTTCAACCACTGTGTGGTCAGTTTTGCTGTGTGCTTTGGGTCATTGTCATGTCGGAAGGTAAATCTTCTTCCCATTGACAACTTTCTGGCAGAGAGCAGCAGATTTTCCTCAAGAATTTGACGGTATTTTGCCCCATCCATTTTTCCTTCTATCCTAACTAGTGCTCCAGTCCCTGCTGCAGAGAAACAACCCCATAACATGATATTACCACCTCCATGCTTTACTGTAGGAATGGTGTTATTTGGATGGTGAGCTGCTGTATTGGATTTTCGCCAGACATATCGTTTGGCGTTGAGGCCAAATAATTCAATTTTAGTCTCATCTGACCATAACACCTTTTTCCACGTGGCCTTAGAATCTTCAAGGTGTGTTTTGGCAAAGCTCAGTCGTGACTGCATGTGGCCTTTCTTGAGGAGTGGCTTTTTTCTTGCAACCCTCCCATACAAGCCACATTTGTGGAGAATTTGTGATATTGTTGTCACATGCACACAATGACCACTCTTTGTCATGAAATCCTGCAACTGCTTCAGAGTTGCTGTAGGCCTCTTGGTAGCCTCTCTGACCAGTTTCCTCCTGGCTCTTTCATCCAGTTTGGAGCGACGTCCTGACCCAGGGAGGGTCTGTGTTGTACCAAATACCTTCCACTTCTTAATAATAGACTTCACTGTGCTTCTAGGCACTGATAAAGCCTTTGAAATTTTTTTGTATCCATCTCCTGACTTGTGCCTGTCCACAACTTTATCCCGGAGATCTTTTGACAATGCCTTGCCACCCATAGTTGATTGTTTTCTTCAGTTGCACTACCAAGGACTGAAATGCTTCAGGAAAAGCTTGTTTCATGCTGAGCTAATCAAAATGACCACAGCTGATCACATTTGAAAGTCAATTGGCTTTGTGTGCTATTGAGAAGGTGATTAACTACACCTGGTTGGGTTTACAAGTCATTTTTAGGAGGGGGGTGATTCTTTTTCCAACTCAGTGATTCTGTTTTTTAATTTGTAAAAAAAAAAAAATCTGACAAGTTGGTATTATATCTTTCACTTGGATGTTATAAGTTGTAAATACAGCTGAATAAAACAAAAATTATTTTTGTCCGTTTTCATTTCAGGCTGCAAAGCAACAAAATGTGATTATTTTAAAGGGGGGTGATTCTTTTCTATACCCACTGTATATATATATAGTAAAATACAGCAAATACTTTAGGATTTAAAAAGTACAGCAAATATATAGAGGTGGCATTTTAAAATGTAGTGAATATATTTGTAAAAATTGTAAAATACAGCAAACATATTATAAAACTATAGCAAATAAACAAATGTTAAAATATAGCATTTATATTAAGGAAATATTGTAAAATGCAGCAATTTTTTTTTAGTTTTTTTAAAAAGCAAATTCATTAAGGAAATATTTTAAATGCAACAAAATATATTAAGAAAATATTGTAAAATACAGCAAAAAAATATATTTTTTTAAAGCAAATTCATTAAGGAAATATTTTAAATGCAACAAAATATATTAAGGAAATATTGTAAAACATGACAACTTTATTAAGGAAATATGTTTCAAAATTTTATATAGATATATAGATATATATAGATAGCAAACATAACTATTCCTTACCAGTGATTAAACTATTTTATAATAGAATTCCTCCAGTTAAGGGATTTTTAAACTCTGATCAGGACATTTATAGGGCTTGTTTACTTGGCCAATGGCCCAGTCATGCATTACTTTCTGAAAAACAGCCAAAAAAATCTAAATCCAGCTTGAGTGGTTTTAACTGTGAAAAACTCTTTCCAGGCCACCATCTCCTACTACCAGATCATGCACATGCAGACGGTAGCGCTGCCGGTGCACTACCAGACGCTGTGTGAGAGCAGTAAACTGTACGACCCGGGACAGCAGTACGCCACACACGTCAAAGACCTTCAGATGACCGAAGAGCCTGAGACGCATTATGAGTTTGAGGCCTATTCGGCGTCCTCCAGCCAGTGAGAAACACACTTCTACAACGTATCATACATCATGGAACTGGAGGTAAATCTTACGTTAACGTCTTCTCTTGAATTCAGGCCGTCGTCCAGAGCGCGTACCGACAGCGCTAACGCTGATGCTCAGAACAGTGCTGAAGTGCAGCAGACCACAGGAGAGGCGGGAGAGACAAGCGCCTCGCAGAAAGATGACCAGAAGAGGGGTGTGTGCATATCTTTATACACCTATGTAAAACATAAATATGAGATTTATTTATAGATGTTGGGGGGGGGGGGGGGGGTGTAAGTACATAAAATAGGCATGCAAATGGTTTTGATTTGTTTTTGTTTTTTAATTGTCAGCTCGAGGTCTCTTGTCCCACAAGTCCTGGGGCTCCACAGTGAGTGACACAGACAGTGTGGGAGGAGGAAGTGGCCTGGGATCCCCGACTACCAGCACGGGTACAACTTCTTGGCATGACTTCTCTATATTAATCTCACATTTACTATATTAAGTGTATATATAATGCTTATTTTATGCTTGTTTAAAATAAACCAGGCCTATTAATTTATTATAATATCTTTCATTATTTTTAAAGTAATATTTGTTTGTTTTTAGTTGTGAACTTGGTTTTCCATGGCGTTCACTTCTTCTTTTTCGGTAGGTGACATAAGTAAAATGGCCCGGACATCATCTACAGGAACTATGTCATCAAACGAAGATGTTGATGAGAAAGACTCAAATGTTTCTTCCTTTGAAACTCCAAGTGAGAGAAAAGTGTGCACACATTTTCCTTTCTAATCTGTGCCTGTCATCTGGTTTCTCACTGTCTGCGCAACGTTTTGCAGATATAAACGGCATCGAGCCTGAGATTGTGGTGCCCACCGGGCCATTTCGGAACGTGGGGTTGTCGAAAGCCGCTCAGACGCACAAACTGCGTAAACTGCGCTCGCCGTCCAAATGCAGAGAATGCGACAGCTACGTTTATTTCCAGGGAGCGGAGTGCGAGGAGGTGAGGTCCACTACGTCTTATAAAGTTTGTCCTTTTGTTTCAAATAAACCAGGGTTATTAATGTCTGGTTTCCACTTTGCAGTGTTTCCTGGCTTGTCACAAACGCTGCTTGGAGACTTTGGCCATTCAGTGTGGCCACAAGAAACTCCAGGGTCGCCTTCAGCTGTTCGGGCTGGATTTCTCGCAGGTGTCCGGTAACAGTCCCGGCGGGATCCCCTTCATCATCAAGAAGTGCATCGCTGAGATCGAGAGAAGGGCTTTGAGAATGAAGGTACGCAAGCGACAAGTCAGATTCAGCAGGTTTCGTCCAATAGAAATACAAGATCTTAATGAGTACATCCCTTCTCTCAGGGCATTTATCGAGTGAATGGGGTGAAGACGCGGGTGGAGAAGCTGTGCCAGGCGTTTGAGAACGGCAAAGAGCTGGTGGAACTGTCACAGTCCTCACCACATGACATCAGTAATGTACTGAAGCTTTACCTGCGGCAGGTGAGACTCCATTATATGGAAACATTTCGAAAAATCCTTCAATGTAATATCGTGGAAATTGGGGTGTTTTGTATATTATATTCTATCATGTAAAAATGTAAATACGAGTTAATTCTGATTGGCTGTCAGTGTTTTATCGTTCGACAGCTGGAAAAAAATCGTTCTGAAAGTGATCCCAACGATATCGTTCTTCATATCTTTATCGTTACAGTTGTGGTGTGTGTGGACTCTGCTATTCTTTAATATGGAGAACGATTTTTAGAACTATATCTTTATCGTTATCTTTTATACCGGTAGTTATCGTTCTTGGTGGGAACGGCCAGGCCATTTATTTTTCATAAAATTCTAAATCCAACGGCTCACTTGTTTGTTGGCGTTTGTCTCTGTGAATTGGCCTTTATGGGGATGCTGGAGGCCAAATGTAACTGATTAAAGGGGCTTTCGCACCGGAGGAACCTTTTCATAGTTCCTAGAACTATTGGCGGAAGTACCCGGATTTTTGTGCGTTCGCACCGCAGGAACTAGGAACGATTTTAGTTCTAGGAACTCCTTTTGGAGGAACGAAGTCATTTTTATATATTGAATTCTATTGTTAAAATTGTATTCATTTATATATAATAAAATTGATCAATTAGCATTATTTTTGAGTTCCCCAAATGTTACTAATTTATATTTTTTTTTATATATTATACATACAATTATTTGTTATTAAAAATATAACAAAATGCATTTACACAAATTGTATTAATAAAATGTAATATTATAAAATGTATGTTGCCTACACTGTTAGCAGTGGCTTATTATAGCTGTATTATACATTCACCCACGTTACATTTTTAGATTTTATTTTCTTTTTTTTTCCTCTGTTGCTCAGCTTCCGGAGCCCATCATGCCCTTTCGCCTGTACAACAGTCTGATGGGTCTGGCAAAGGAAAGCCTGGCTGTAGTGGGTCCAGAGGGAGCTGAGACCGGTAAAGGGCCCGACCTGGTGGACCTCGGCTCTGAAACGGACCCTGAACTCTTGGCTCTCGTCGAAAGACTTAAAAATCTCCTTAAAGAGCTGCCCAAACCAAACACCAGCACTCTCCGCTACATAGCACGGCATCTGAGAAGGTAAAAGACAAAGAAACGACTCCCTCTTACATTTAAGGGCTTATAAACATACCTTGGCAGACTCCATTAGCAGCCATTTATTAACCTTTTAAATGTGAAATGTCGCTCTGTTTTCAGGATTGCAGAACTGGAAGATGACAATAAGATGAGCCCGAGTAATCTTGGCATCGTGTTTGGGCCCTCGCTGATGCGGCCCCGGCCCTCAGGAGCCACAGTGTCACTGTCCTCTCTGGTGGATTACCCATACCAGGCCCGCATAGTGGAAACCCTCATTGTGTTTTATCCCTCCATTTTCCACTCTGAATCCAGTCGGCCTACATGCAGCAGCACCACATGCGCTCAATCCCTACAGCAGGTTTGCAGTGTTGGTTTTTAACAAGTCATCTATTTTAATAGATTTTTCAAATGTTTTTTTTTTTTTTAGAAAGTATTAATGTAGAACAAATGTAATGTTTTGGTCTGTGCAGCAATGCAGCATTGAAGAAGAACACTGTTTGAATGATGAACAAAGGATCACAGATGAAGCTGGTGCTGAAGAATCAGACAAGTTAGAGGGCCACGGTATTACATTTCATTTCAGTATTTTATACTAATTTATTATTAAAAATAAATGATATAATAAATAAATAAATATATACAGTATACATATAGGTTTAATTGTATTTGATTTAACTAGTATAGTTAAAGATTAGTTATATAATTAATTTATATAATTAATTTTATATCTTATTCATCTATCTTAAATATTGTCATTTCAAATGGTACTCTTTTAAATTGCTTATACTAATTTAAGTTGGTTTTTAATTGTATTTATTTGACTTTAAAAATACATAATATGAATAAAAGTTTAAATGTCACAAACTAAAACAAATAAAATGTAAAACACTAATTTTATTTACTCATTTAAGTTGTTTTTTTAATTGTACTTATTTGACTGCTTTATCATCAATTTATTCATATTTCATTTTGCCTATCCATCTATAAACCATTATTTTTCTACTCAAGTTGGTGTGTGTGTATATGTACAAGTATATACGTGTTTTTAATGCTTTTTGTTTTATTTTGCCATTACTGAGGTGCTTTGTGTGTATTTATTATGTGTTTATTAAAAATGTGTAATATTGTATCCTGTCTCGGCAGAGAGTTCTACAGGAACCCCTGGTTCTCTGGAACAAAGTCTGGACTCTGATTCAGATCCAGACGAGGAACAGGGCAGAAGTGAACTACAGCCCCCCAGCCCTACAGATCAGGCACTCGACGGGACCACCGAAGACCAAATGAGGCCACCTGTCCTTCTGGTGAAACTGCAGTGCCCGTCCAGCTCAAACAACGAGCCCCCTGCCCTCCCTGAGAGCGAGCCACCAGAGTTAGACGAAACAGAGGAAGTACCAACAAGCCCGCTTGCAGCGTTAAATATCAATCAGAGTAACAATAGCGGCAAAACACTCGATCTCTGAGTTTCTCCCACACACAAGATTGCTGGGGTTTGTTTGTGACGTTCCTATGTATTTTTAACGATGCGTTTTAATATTTAAAATACTTCAACTTCACCTTAAAATCCTGTTAAATTTCCAGGTTTTTTAATTGGTTTTCAGCTTTATTTTACAAACAGCGGTACGCTTCCGGTGTCATCAGGCAACAATCTATCATGCATTGTATCCTATGAGATCACCTTATACTCATTGTTGAATATCTGTTAAATTTTATGTTTGTGCTCATCTTTTAATAAATAAAAAAAATCAGTTTCTGTTCATAACCAATTCCAACTAACTTGACATCATGGTTATATGCAAATTATAAAACCCAATGAGGAAGAGGTGTTACTGTGTTGCAGTAAGCAATGCTTGGTTGGTTAGTGAACAATGTGCACAGCATCCTTTTTTTTTTCATTAAACTTGTGGATTTTTGCTTTGATATTTGACGATGGCTTTCAGAAAGAAGGTGGTGAGTACTTTCTTTTCTCCACTTTCCACCGCTCTGAGTTAATGATATGACAAGCTGTCAAATGAAATAACACAAGGAGAGACTGACTTACAGAACCATATTTATTAGTTAAAGAGAATTATTTAAAAAAAAGAAATATTTAAAAGGAAGAAATTATTTTAAAAAAGGAAATTCAGACCACTTTGGAGAAAGCGTTGAACCTGTCAAAGGAAAGATGAAACAAATATCATTAACTTACAGCATTATCAACTAAAAATGTGAAATTTAAAAGACAAATCATTAATTAGTAAAAGTTTGAGTTAATGAGACTAAAATGACATTGATTTACAGAATGGCAACTTGAATTTGTATTATTGAAATATTAAAAAAAATAAAGTACTACAGGGAAATAAGAGGAAAGACAATAACAGCAACTAAAATGCAATTGCTCAACATTGACTGAGCAGTCTAGTAGGGTTGGGTCAAACATCGAGGGTATGTTTACATGACGACGACAATATACTAAAAACAGTAAAGTTTTTCCATTGCATTTTTCACGTACAGACGACAACATTGTCAAAACGATCCCGTTCACACAGATCTTCGAAAACGACAAACTATTACGCTGCCAGGCCAGTAGGTGGCGATGTCACGTTGTAAAGAAACACTATGCAACCGAAGGACTGAACACTTAATGCGCATGACGTCACCGTTTTTGTATTTTACACGGAGACAATGATGGTATAGTTTTCAAAAACGTGCACTTTGCAACCCGTTTTCAAAAGTTCAGGCCCCCAAAACACTGTTGTTGTGTAAATGAACGGCTAAAATGCATAATATTTTCAGTTTTTAGTTAAACTGTTGCAGCTGAATACCATGAACAAAAAACAGCCTAAAGAACTACTAATAAACTAGACTAATATCAATTTAAAACATTAAAGGTCTAAATACACATGTGACGGATTCGGGATGAACCGCACAGTTTAATTATATATATAAAAATGCAGGAGCCAATCGGAAGAAAGGTGTGGAGGATCTTCAGATCCAATATACTGTTACACGTGCGTTTTCTTTCTCAACTGTTTACGTTCGCTTAAGACATCACCAAAAGTGTTTACGAGGATTCCAGAATTGATTTTTGATTCCCAACCCTACACTCTAATGAACTACAACAGAAATACTGACTTCACAAGCATTACTGGACCAATCTGTATGTGATGTACCGTCCAGCAGTTTCACTCGGTCTGATGATCTTAACAACCTAAAAAACACGACAAGTTACTTACACCAAATATTTTCAGAGATGTAAAAATAGGAAAACTGCACTTTAGATTAATTTCCCACCTGGCCTCTTTTTAAGCCAAAGTAACGGGCGACGGGATCCCCAGCTTGAATTCTGGGAAGCTGGCTTTCCTTTAGTTTACTGGAGAGGAGCTGGTTAAGGCTAACCAGAAGTCTCCAATCTAAAGCTATAACTACAGATAAGTTCTTCAGAAAACCATTGAATTGTGTGTGAGCAGAGAAAGTGACTACATGCTCCCGGGTACAAAAGGATACTATCGCGCCAGCAACTCGGTTACTTCCTCTTTAGTCATCACTATGTGCTCTGGAACAAGCTGAAAAGAATAATCACATTTTCATTGCACAAAAACTGGCTAAAAATCGAAAACGTGCTGAAAGTCCATGTAAAAATGCAGGTTTCTTCTCACCTCGTGTTCAGTAATGTTGATTAGAAGCTCCTGCTGAAGAAACTGCTCAAGTATGTACTTTGGCGCCATGTCTACCAGAGACTGAAATTTGAAAGACAAACCAAGTTGAATATCTTACGTGCTCCAGTAGCTGCAGCCTGCAGGAATCACATTTTCGTAGGCCAAAACTCTCAAACGATGGAACCGGAAGTGCTCAAACCGTTTCTAAGTCAACGGGTTAAATGCTTGAAATGATGTCTGTGGTTGACACAAGCTCCAAATATTTTTGTGTTTTATTCTATGACACAAAATACATCAGTAATACCTGCTTGTGATTTGATTAAAGCTTTTAGTAGTTTAAAAAAAGCGTGGTTGCTAACAAGTGTCTAAACGGGACTACATTAGTTGTCGGGGGCATTAACCGTCATCAGCCGAACAGCTAAACCCAACTACTCTAGTCCACTTTCACAGCCGGACAATCGGACAAGACTGCGTACTGTACAGCTTTCGTGAGGGAGAGAACTACAATCCCATGATGCATTGCAAATGACAATTCAATTAAGACAGCAGGTGTGTTTGACTTGACAATTCCACCAATCAGAGTCACAGTGAGCAAATTGCAGCCACTCCCATAAATCACCACAAATTATGTGATTATGTGAGTGTGACGTGATGCGGCACTGTGCAGACCAATCGGTGTGTGACATCAAAGTACTACGGTTCCTTATACTTTCAAATCGCTCTCGCTGTTGATGTCATGCATCAATACTCTGACTCTCAGTTGTAAAACACTATTCTTTTTTTAAAAATTGTTGAAATCTTAACAACCTCGGAGCTCAAAGTAGGACTGTCTCAAATGATTTATAAATTACTGTTAAAACCAAATTGACCTATGAAGAAAATAAAGGGAGTTTTTAGTTTCGGAACCCAACAGTTGCCCTCTTTAGCCTACATTTACTTCTGAAGTAAATGTAGGCTAAAGTAATAATTAGGCTTTTAAATCCTAATAATTAGGCTTTTAAATTCATTAAAATGGTTCATTTGGGAAGATTGATAATGAACAAAACATATAAGAATCATAAACTTCTGTTGGTCACAGAGCTTCTTTTCTGCAATAATCCAAAAGCCAATGTAAAACAGTTATTTGTTGAGGGAGCCAGGTTGACGCTAAATACATCACTGCAGCGTTCTAATAACCTTCCATTGGTGCAGGTATGACATCACTTTGTGGGCCTTGCTAACAAGTGGCTAAATGGGACTACAGAGGCAGTTGGGGACATTGAACGCCATCACGCTGAAAAGCAAAACTCAGTCCGCTTTTACAGCCTCGGTATGCTTATAATTGTACTCTTATAAACTATTCTAATTAAATTCAAACGTTTTGGGAAAATGTTTTTGGATAAAAACTGAAAGAGCTGTCAGAAGCTTAGTGATGGTGAGGTTGAATTTGTGGGACCGTGGTGTAGTTTGTTTATAGCCTACCATTAGCTTTTTACTTCTGGCGACTGCATTTAGGCTTCAAAATGTATAAAACTTGTGTTAATCTGTGAAAATTATCTTGGACAAAACGTGTAAGTATCACAGAGCGATAATCCAAAAGTCTATGGGAAAACCCTATTGGGATTTTGTCGAGGGAACCAGTGTGATGCTAGTCTCGCGTAGCCAGACCTTCAGACTGACGGCTGAAGGTCTGGAATTCATAGCAGCTTTCTTTGGCCAAGGCCCGCCCATAAGGCCGTTTGACCGACATGTAAAACAACCAATTACAGTTCGTTTCGTTCAGCGTCACGTTTCGGTGCGTGGAAATGCCCCCACAACAGCAGACCTGCGTGCAACAAGTCAGTCAGCATAGAAAATCAAAGAAGGAGAAGAAAACTTCAAGAGTCTTTCCCGTGAACCTCGCATACTTTTGAGAATTCTACGTTTAGCTGATCTTGATAAATGCTCATTGTCACTCATGTAAACACAACAGTTTTTCTTCCGCAATCACACGTCTGCGCTTTGTTTCCCGGCGGACCGAAAATAAACGCGACACTCGCGCCCCCCGGAAATCCGATAAAATTCAACCAATCAGATGACGACTTCGACATTCCTGAAGTGTTTCCAGTTAAGTGTACCATATGCATCAGACGTTAAGCCAACGTTCCATGGGCGTGACGTCTGAGGCTGAGACTAGTGTGATGCTAACTGCCGGTTGGCCTACAAAGTGACGTCAGACATACCTGCACCACCACCGATATGGCAGTGAATATGCTTGGCTCGCTCACCTGTTTGGCGGAGGGCGTCATGCCCATCTGGACTACAATAATGGCCCGAGTGATGTTTTCTTCCTGCATACGCTGACAATACATCTTTATGGTTTTGATGCCAACCTTTGGTTCCTCTGAAAACAAGATAAATATGAATAACCAGTCCTGGACATCCGAAATATATCAAACATCCATCAATAGTTCGTAATGGAAGCGTTACACAGGGCTCCTGTTGAAGATACAACATACCAGGGAAGAACACAAACATCTGGTCGGTTGGATCGTCGTTGTGGGCGACCAGGACAGTGAGGTCGGTTCGTCGAGGTCGACCCTCACTGGGTTTGTCTCCAAACTGGCTTCTGAACTCATCAAGAGTCTGATCCAGCTCATCTTGCGTCACCAAATAACCACGATCGTGGCAAAGCTACACCGAGACGACATACACAATAATAACATTACATATTTTGATGTGTACTGTAATAATAAAGCATTACACTCCTGCGGATCGGAATAAGAGTCACAATAACGGTCTCCGCAGCATGGCTTAAGTTATACTAAACAAGTTGTGTTGCTGTTCATTTACCTGCATTATAGTTTTCCTAATTTTCCATAGTCTGTAAGTCTCTTCCTCGTCATCCATATCGCGTTAAAAAAGATGATTAATACAAAATATTTCGTTTAAAACAGACAGCTGATTCGAGCCTTGTACTGCACGTTTGCGTGCTGCTGATGGCGCGTGTATATGACGTAGGACGTCACGCGCCACAGCCTAAATACAACGCGCACTTTGATTAGGTATATACAAAACAATACGCACCACATTTTTTGTAAATAAATACGCTTTTATTATAAAAGTGTATAATATAATGTTAATAATAGCAAATAAATGCAATATTAAATTAGATTTTTTTTTATTACACATTAGGCTACAGCTAATCTTCATTCATTTATCGTTATCGATTTATCCTGAAAAGAAATATTAAAAGGGAGGAGGTTTTGTAACTATCCAGAATATCTTTTTATGTTTCATGTGGAAAGTGCGTGTGATTTCAGCAAATAGGTTCGAACAGTTCGTCTCAAAGAACCGGTTTATAAAGTGATTCATTGATTCCTTTGTCGTCCCTTACATCCTAGCATTAGATATTACATTCACTAAAACGCTCAAATATAAGGGTACGTATTGTTGATATTAATTACATTTTATTAGTACGGGAGATTATTGTAATTTCATGTGTCCTCGTGGCTCGTTCGTTAGACGGATCATTCTTTATGAACGAATCGTTCTGTGAACCGGTACAACTAATTCACTGAAAAGAATCGACTTAAAGGAACGATTCATTTGGGCATCACTACTGGACTTTGCGGAGCGTAAAGAACAACAAATGGGTTTTATCAATCGTGTCTTGCTGTTCGGGGCTTTATCGAGCAGTGGGATCATTGGTGCAATGGTATCGTAAAGTTAAATACTTCTGTAATTTACATTTGCCAGTCTGAATCATATTACGTAACGTAATCTGGAACGAGCTATGTGCTGCGTAATAACGGGGATTTTGTAAATGTTTTATCATCAGTACACAGACACACAATCAGTCCTATTGTGCAAGATGAGAGTCTAGTTTCACTCTATTTATGTATTTAGTCTTTGTGCCAGTTGTTATTTAAAAAATGCGCAATAACAACAATAACAATGTAATCTAATAATTATATTTGTTCAAATGTTTTTTTTGGCATACAATGGTATATTCATGGCTGTTTTATTGCAATTAATGTGTCAAAACATTATTTTATGTCTTATTATCCTATTATTATTATTATATATTTTTTGCATGAATCCATCCCTGAAGGCAATGTCTAAGTCAATATCCATATGAAATATCATGTGTTTACTATTCTACTACATTTGCAAAACAGTATAATTTATATAATGCGTACATCAGAGTCTTATCTGACATGTGGACTGTGTGCCAACACGCACATCAAGCTATCAGCTTTCTCAGGTTGTGTAAGATCGTCACCCAGTGACCTTTGACCTCAAATTATTTACCATCAAATACCCCGCATGTAGACCAGTTACAAGCATGAAGTCAGCAAAAATTCAACCTGTAAGAAAGAAACAGCCTCCGTAACAAGTTAATATTTATCTGGAGCCCTATATATATATGAGGGGTTTTCAGTGTTCTGGATGTTTCTCGAACATAAGGTGGTTAGCAAGAGGATTTGATCGAACACGTTGCCTGCTGTTTCAGTAGTTAGTACTGAAAGGCAGCCATGCGTTTCTTAGGCTCTGCTGTCGTTTTCTCCCTAGTGTTGCAGACAGTGGTAAGAATGATTTTAATATGTATGAATGTGAAGTGGATTAACAGGTTTTCAGTTGCAGTTGGACTTAAAATACTTATATTTGTATGTTCAATGTTTTTTCAAATGTATTCAAATATGTCCTACTTGTTTTTTCTCTCAGTCTGGACAGCTAGAGGACTGGCAGACGGCCAAATCCATTTACGACTTCACAGTCACGGATATAGAAGGCAATGAAGTTTCTCTGGACAAATACAGGTGAGAGATGGAAATTAGCTGAAATAAATTAGTTCTGGAGGAGTCGAAGCTAACTGATGAAAGTCAGAGTCAGTCTGCGGTTTTTGGGCAATTGGAGTTGACAGATTTCTATTGAAGCCCATTTCCACCACAGAACATGTTTTGGTAAATCATAAAATGAGATTATGAGATGAATTGACAGCCGAAATTGACATAAAAGTCACAGTATGACATCCTAAGTCATAAATATGACACAAATAGTCACAGTTATGAAATTGAAATTATGAGATGAAAAATGTAAATTATGAGATGAATTGAGTAGAAATTGACAAAAGTCACAGTTATGACAAAAGGTCAAAATTATGAGATGAAAAGTTTAAATTATGATATATAAAGTCAAAATTATGATATAAAAAAGTTAAATTATGAGATGAAAAGTCAAAATTATCAGATGAATTGAGTCGAAATTGACAAAAGTCATAAACATGTTATAAAAAGTCACAAAGTCGAAATCATTATAAAAAGTCAAAATTATGTGATAAAAGTCGAAATTCTGATATATACAGTTGAAATGAAAAGTCGAAATCATGATATGAATTGAAAAAAATGAGATGTCGCAAGTATGACAAATATGATATAAAAGTCACAAATATGACATGTCATAATCATGACAAAAAGTCAAAATTATAAGAAAGACAGAAATCTTGACTTTTATTATGACTTATGAATTATGACTTTTTATTTCATAATTTTGTCATAATTATGACTTATTTCCTAATTGCAATTTTTTACATCATAATTATAACTTTTATGTCATAATTATGATTTACCAAAACATGAGTTCTATTGTATATGGTGGAAAATTGGCTTCTATAGATTTCACAGAAAATCGCATAGTGTATGACAGGCACAGACTCTGATTTTGTAGTTTCAGACTACGATTCTATCCACTTGGAGGATATCAAACATGTTTCATATTTTGAGCCGATTTTTAAAACGCATTGTTTTCATTCATCATGCATCTCCTTCAATTGAGGCGTATGTTTCTGAGTGTTTTCAAAACAACTCGAAAGTCTGGGAGTGTTACAGTATCATCAGTCGTCCAGTGTATGATGTCTTCCTTAAGAGTCACTGATTTGTATCACTAACAAAATCCCATTTACTGTATATTTTAGGGGGAATGTTGTCATCATCACTAACGTTGCCTCAAAGTGAGGCAAAACCCCGGTAAACTACTCTCAGTTTGCAAAGATGCACGCCAAGTACGCTGAGAGAGGTTTACGCATCCTGGCCTTCCCATCCAACCAGTTTGGACGCCAGGTACGGAAAGCAAAAACGTTTTTAACGCTCTTGAATCAAATTAATACCATGATCCAAATAATATGTTTTTGTTCAGGAACCAGGAACCAATTCCCAAATCAAGGAATTCGCCAAGTCTTACGACGCAGAGTTTGACATGTTCAGTAAGATTGACGTGAACGGCGACACCGCGCATCCTCTGTGGAAGTGGCTGAAGGAACAACCCAATGGAAAAGGATTCTTTGGAAAGTGAGTTGCCAGATAGTTGACTTGTAAATTTGATATCATTCAAGGGATAGTCCTGCCAAAACTGAAAATGATGTTATATTTACTCGCCCTCATGTCGTTTCAAACCTGTTTGACTGTCTTTCTTCTGTGGAATTTCAAAGATAATGTTCTGAAGAATGCCGGTAATAAACAGTTTTGGTTCCTATTAACTTCCATTGTTTTGTTTTTTTGTCCATACAATAGAAGTCAATGGGAACTGAAACTGTTTGGTTTCCAACAATCTTCAGAAAATCTTGTTTAATGTTCAACAGAAGAAAGAGAGTGCTACAGGTTTAGGACGACTTGAGGCCGAATAAATAGTTATTTCTGCCATGACAACTCTCGGAAGAGTTTAGAATGGTAAATTCAATCTGTTCATCATATAAAGCGATCAAGTCTCTTCAGAAAAAACGCTCGATTCATATGGAATAGTTTGGAATGAACTTTTTGAAGAGTAAAAGTCGTAGTTGCATAGGCTGTCAATGGAGGGACAGAAATCTCTCAGATTTTATGTAAAATATCTTCATTTGTGTTCGGAAGATGAATGAAAGTCTTACAGGTTTGAAGGATGAATAATTAATGACAGACTGATGCATTCTAAAAATTATATTTAAATGTCTATTGACTGTTGTTTTTATTCCATTATAGTGGCATCAAATGGAATTTCACAAAGGTATGCATTTTTCCTTTGAATTATGCCAATTCAAAGCCTTTTGCGAGTTACTAAATCTTGTATATTTTGTGGCTTCATTGAAATAAATCCTTAAAATCAATACGTTTTTGTTTTATTTTCAGTTCCTTATTGACCGTGAAGGCCAGGTTGTGAAGAGATATTCTCCACTGCAGGATCCAAGCGTACGTCGTTCAGTACTGATCTTTGATTTTATTTTAGTCATAAACTAGGTCATGTTTGCGATTAGCTACAGTATCTGATTGTTACCGTGATATTGGCACAAAATATGTCATTTTATGAGATATTTCTTTTCCAGGTGGTGGAGAAGGATCTGCCCAAATATCTCTAAGGAGCATCATTAGCTGAGTGTCAGATGACCCCACGCTGCCCTGCCACCCCTCTTCATTCTCCCCGACTGACAGCTGGGAATCAGTGATGTCGTCTCATGGAATAATGATGGTTTGTTTCGAAACCCGTCTTGAGGAAAAAACAGACCTGATGCATTGGCGTGCAACCCCTCCTGAGAGCATCATCAGTGGCCAGCCGTCAGTCTGGAGAGAGACCCCTGTCCTTAAACTGCCCCAGGGCTTTTACATGAAAATATGTACATTTCTTCAGCACTAAACATGTTGTCATGACATTTCTTAATAAATGCAAAGAAATTCATTTTAAAATTTGTGAATGTGATTTGTTGGTATCAGTGAGAGTGTTTATTTATATCAACTTTAACGAAATGAATATGTGAAATGTTGCTTTGGCAACTAGCAAAAATGTTATAGTTCGTTTTGGTTAACTATAATAACCGTGCAAAGAGCTTGAAATGTTTTATATATGATTACCTTGGAAAACTGAAAAGTCATCATTGAGACACTGGACAGTAACAAAGTACATTTACTTGAGTACTGTACTTAGGTACACTTTTTGAGTATCTGTAGGCTACTTTACATGAGTATTATTTCTTGTGGAAACTTTTTACTTTAACTCCATTTGAAAGACAATATCGTACTTTTTACTCCACTACATTTCTGTCAAGGTCTTTTAGTAGAAAGTAGTCAATCAATCAATCTCTTTATTTGTCCACGTAGGGAAATTTGTTTGTGGTAACGTATGATTTTGGTTGCAGGGGTTGCATTTTGGTTGGAAATGATAGTCGGGTTGACATCAGAACCCGACGTCGGATTGACATCAACATCCAACGTCAGAACCCAAAGTCGGACAGACGTTGGATTTTGGTTGGAAATGAAAGTCGGGTTGACGTCAGAACCCGACTGATGTTGGTTTCTGACTTCAACCCGATTTTCATATTCAACCACAATACAACGTTTGTCCAACGTTGGAGATTAACGTCAATCTGACGTTGGATTCTGACATCAATCTGATTTTTTATTTTCAACGTTGGGTTTGGTTTTCTAAATGTGAATTTTGTCATTGTTTTGGAGCACACTAGCTTATAGATAACAGTAAGGCTAACATATTCATACTAAAAGCCAAAACAATTACAATAGGGCACTATTTGAGGGAACAGCCATTTGGGTCTGAAACCATTGTGGACGTTATTGACTTATTCATTCTCACATTCAGTCCCACTACTGGAACTGTGTTCTAGAAATAAATTTGATATTGATATGAGGGTAGGTATATGCCATAGATTCAGAGGCATTAGGTACTGTAAGTATTACTACCAACAATGCAACAAAAATAAAACAATGCATTGTCATATTAACTTTTTTACTTTTGATACTTAAGTACTTTTAAAAACGAGTACTTCTGTACTTTTACTTAAGTAAAAATCGGTCTTTACAACTTTTACTTGTAACGGAGTAATATTTGACCAGTACTTTCACTCAAGTCTCCAGTAAGGAAGTCGTGTACTTTGTCCACCTCTGCGAGACAATAATTCTCTAATATATAATAAGAACATTTAAGAGAATTACATTTAAAATAACATTTGTATTATATATGCTGACTGCTTATATTTTAATATTTTGTGGGTACAACCATAACAGTGAAAACAACGCTGTTGGAATATTATAGTGATTCACCAACAGAGAGCAGCACCAGCCTCATCAAAACACTCAGCAGCTCCTGTGGGGAAGTCCGATTCATTCTTACGAATCGATTCATTCGATTCGCGTCAATGAACCAGTTCAAACAATCAACAATGTTTCAAATAATCGTGTTCTCCACTGTCTATCACTAAGATTTTGTTCAATCAGATGTGTCAATCGTCGTCTGGCAAAATATAATAGTTTTCGTCAAAATAAATACCACATTAGTTACCGTTACTGCTGTTAAACTCTAATAATCAGTGTAAAAAGCTTTCAGAATATCTGTCGTAATTTCTTTCAGAATTCCTTTATTTTCAGTACCAAGTTACCATAGGCTGCCACCAGACAAACAGCAAAACCAGCCCAAAATGATTTGTTCGTGGGTTTCCAAATCGGTTCAATTGAACCATTCAGTCTGTTCAAACGAACGATTCGTTCGCGAATCGAACATCCCAATCCTGTGCTTGACAGCTCAGAGGAGAGGTCTGGAGGACCACGACGCGCAGGAACAGTCCTCAATCTCTCACATTATTTTTTTTGTCAGCTATTCAGATCCATATATAATTATAAAGGCCCCAGAAAGCTGTGTATAGTTTGAAATATTCGCTATCATCCGTTGCCAGCGCTCTCGCACAGAGTATTCATCCCGGGATTTTGAATGGAAGTGGAGGCTGAAGGGGCGGCCAGCCTGTGTGAGGCCGGGGATGGGAGTCCGTTATCCGGGGCAGCATCATCCGATGACGCGGGGACGACAGACGATGGGGACGCGGGTAACTAACCACTCGGGGTTTGATTCGATAGAGGGGTTTAAAAAGACTTCGGTTCATGCAATCTCATCTGATTGATTCATAGGTGGCTGGGATGCACTTGGATAGAGCTAGCAAGACTAGCATTCATGCATGGAGAAGGGACACTGATGCATGTGATATATCATTCCTGCATCAGATTGTTGGGATTCTCATGCAGCCATAGAGAGAGAGAGTGTACTGGGCGATTATAAAAGGCTATATAGTTTTATGGGCATGTTGTTGTCAGGTAGTTTGATATGACGGGTTAAAACCAGAATCAGCTCGCTAGCCATCAGCATAGCAGGGACACTGGGTAGATGACAGATGGGATGATGGGGGTTTCAGGTGAGAAATGGGGTAAAGGCTTGTATTGCATCTGTTGAGAATAAATGCCATACAATGTGTTTATTGCATATGCAAATTTGAATGCATAAAATGTATTTTGTAGACTAGATGGCATTTTACAGCAATGTTTTGTTTTCAGAATGATTTGTTAATGCCCTTTTTCTTCCTTAATTTATTTCAGTGTGTACAACAGCTTAGTATGTCTTAGAAACATGTTTATGAAAAAAAATTACTGTGGTGTCACCATGGTGCAATGATGGTAAATTGTTATTTAGCCTTTTTTCACTTCGATTTAGCATTTTTGTTATTTTAGTCATTATAAATCATTTTTAAAACCATTTTATTGCCTACGTTATATATATATATATATGGAAAATAATTTGGTCTTTTGTACAATACAAATCTTAGTGACCTAGAAATTGTCCAGTCTTAAATATTTCTTAATTTATGTCTTAAGCTTTTTGTTTATATATATATATTTTTTCAAATTTAAATTTTGATTTTGTACCCCACTGTATGCCATGGTATATTAACAAACACACAAACAAGTCCTTGTTGAGCCTTGCACTTGATTCAATCTGATAATTCTATTTTTTCACTTTCATAACAGAGTTACTTTATTTATCAAATACACTCTTGTTTCTAAGAGAATGTGGTATTTTCTTCTCGGTTCCCCATTTGCGTTTTTTCTGCTTTTAATAAGTCACGTATCTGTGCGTGAGGTGTCAATGAGTGCGTTCACATGCACACTACGCAGATAACCATCAAAAATCGCCTCATTCTGTAAACCCAGAACACTGTAAAAAAAAAGGAAATATATGATCAATAAGTTGACACCATATGTTTTAACATTGCTTTAACTCATCAAAATAATTTAAGCAATGATCTACTTTTTTTATAAGTTATGCAAGATTCAACTAACTTTTTAAGTCAGTTTAATGTAATTCAAGTTGAAATGACTTAAATGTCCAAGTTGATTGTACTTACAAATTTAAGGCAGCAACTTTTTTTACAGTGAAAGGAAAGAAAGCTACGTTTCAAATGATCAGTTTTTCCTCTGCTTTTAACATGAATATGTAAATGGATATACACACAAAACAAAACAATACCATTCTTTTCTTGTGTTATTAAACATAATCAGTTTAAGATAGTTCTTGTAAACACACACGAGTCATCTTATTGAAGAGCACAAAATGTGATCCGCTCCAAAAAGAGCCTATGTTCAGTAGTATGTACTTAAGATTGACCTTTATCCAGCTCATTGTTGACAACAAGGTTTGTTCTTTTGCGTATGTGTTGAAGCTTTGCAAACTGCATTGTGGTTACCGTTGTTCAAAGACATAAATGTCAACGCAATTGGCTCGTAGTAAATGTCACATACTCTCTTGTAGTCCCATCACCTTCTCTTTAATTGCTAAAAGTGCATCCAAACACTCCCTGAACTCCCCTGGCGTCTCCTGCCTCGGCATCCTCCTGTTTTCATTGGTTTTCTCCCTGGCTTCTCCCGTGTAGATGCTGGGAAAACATGCTGACTGTTGAGCATGCTATCACATGAGATGGCCTGTCAGTCATTTTCTCACCTGAAGTGACATGGACACACTCATCCACCCTTGTTTTTGGGGGGGTTTTATGTTTTGTTCCTAAAATTATATACAATTTTAGTGAGTCACATGTTTAATTGAGTTCTTTACCAGTGTTTATGTCCAAAAAGGTTGCTAAATCTCACCACAATGGAATGAAATGTTTACATTTCTGCTTAAAGTAACACCAAGGATTTTTTCCTCTGCGGTCGCCCTACAGGTTGGAAGCGGAATTGTCCATTACCGCTGTCGTAAATAATTTAGCCTACCGCAGCCTACTGTCGTACGCGCACGCTCGCTGTTTATCCAGCACCGGCTTTGGAATCAACAATGGCAGACATCCCAAGGGGGGGGGGGGTCACGGGTGACGGGTTGACTAGCTTTCGTGAGGCACACTCGCAAGGTCTCTCGCTCTCTCCCTCTCTGCCGTGCTCGCGCTATGTATGTTATGCGCGCAGTATGTTTTGTCTCGCATGCGCGCTCTAGATTCCGGGAGATTTGAACTAATTTTCGGGCATCAGGGAGATGCTATCAATATGCGGGAGACTCCCGGTAGACTTGGGATGTCTGCAGTGGCCACAGACAAGTTGAGGAAGTGGTGGGGGAAGTGACGTATGCCGTAAAGCAGTCGAATTTTGTAGTTCTTTTTGTGCTCGGGTTCCCACCCGAAACCCAAAGTTACATAGGGCCAGTAAAAGCGATACAGACCACGTCAGGCTATGGCAGACGTGTCATTTAACTTATTTTAAGTCGATGTACCATCACAAGGGTCTTGGAAATATATTATGAAGGTTGAAAAACTACTTAGTGTTACTTTAAAACTATTAGGTTTTTCTGTGTTTTCTGAGTGTTAGATGATGGCAAATCTAATCTAAATGTCCAAATAGGGGAAATAATGCACAGCTGAATATCCAATTTTGATGTATACGACAAATTAAGAAAAAACTATTATCGGCCGATAGCCAATATGATAAAAATATATTGCTATTGTTCGCCTGTGCAAAACTCACCGCCACAACACCAGGATGTTGGTAGCCACATACTTTTTTTTTGCAAGTTGCAAATTTAATTTCTGTGAAAAAATTGGAACATCGCAAAACAATTTTCGAATAAACCATTCTTGCTCTGCTGTATTGCAAGTAAATTTGTTTCTGACGTAGTTTATGTTCATGTCTTCCGAGATAGAAATTCTACCTCGAGCAAGAATAGTTTTTTATGCATATTTTGGAATTTTGTTGCGTATTTATTTGCATCTTAGTGTTTTCATCCAGTGTTTTTATGCAGTATCGCAAAATTAGTATAAATCCATGGATATCTCTGGTTTTTCCTTCAGTGTGAAGAAATGTGTGATTTATTTGTTTATTTTATATATGTTGTTTTATTGCCTCGAAAAATTGTAAGTTACAATGTATAGAAAAGTTGAAAACATTAGGCAGTTTAAATTTATATGCAGTTTAATGTTGGTGATCGTGTTATTTTACATATGCATATGATTACATATGATCTTCTACGCCTGTGTTTTGATCAGGAGATTCAGTACTCTTTCAGAAGATATGTCATAGCCAAGGCCGTAACCAGGGTTTGAAAATTAGTGAGGTCCGGGGTGTTGTGTAAAGAATTTTGCTATAATAATGGTTTGGCCATTGGACCCACATTTCCCAATGGACATTAAGCTGTGACCCTTTTTTTTAATGGAATTTGGCATATATATATATATATATATATATATATATATACAGGGGTTAAATTTGGATTTAATTATGTGTGGGGTAGTCTCTCACTAGGGGGGTCCGAGGGTTTGCCCCCCCGGGATTTTTTTTGTGAAAAATAAACCAAAATGGCACTTTCTGGAGAGTTTTGTGCAAAGAAAAAGTAGGTCTAGCAAGTGCAACGCAATCTCACGACCAATTCGTCCGAATTTGACGAGTGATTAAAAGATGGCTAATTCGTACGAATTCGTACGAATTTGTACGATTTGTCTAAACCCACGTGATGGGTAGGTTTAGGGGCGGGGTCAGGGTCATTCGTACGAATTCATACGAATTGGGCAACTCGTCAAATATGTACGTTTTAGCAAAAATCGTACTAATTCGTACGAGTGAGGTCGTACGAACTGTTACGAATTAGCCATCTTTTAATCACTCGTCAAATTCGGACGAAATTCACACAGATCAAACACAAATATGCTGACTGAATAGATTGCTAGTTGAGAAACACTGCTTTAATTAATGTTTTTATGATGGCTTTGTGAAAGGTTAACTAAACAGCATGAGCCGTCTTCCAGCTGGCCAGTAAGTTATTTGGCAAATTTCATTCTGTAGGCTAACATACAGATCTGTTTTATGCTATTGTTTTTGATAGTGTTATACATTTCTTACAGATAATCGATTGTCATTGCGTTTGTCTTACCGAATGTGGTAGCTTTATGCAATTACAGTTTGTCTATAAGCTTCTTTTTTTTTAAATGTATTAATGCCGACAGTTAAATGTTGCCAGATATTGCTACGAAAAACAAGCAAAACAAAATAATAATAATAATCCGAAATAAGTTCAAAGCTTGTGTTTTGGAAATAAGGTTAATATATCACTAAACCTTTCCACATTAATAACTTCCTAAAGTGTCACATTAAATCAGAAAAACAGGTGACTACTGCCACCTTTCTATTAGGTGGATCTGGCAACACGGAGGCTGCACCCGCGTTCACAACGCGCTCTCAAGCCCCGTTCAGTTCACTGCGCCAGCTTCTCGCAGCAACATGAATTGCAAACACTCATATGAGGTGGTTTAAACACTGCTAATTAATCATTCAGAGAGCTTGACATTTTATTTTTGAATGTAAAAAAAATGACCGAGGTCCGGACCTCGGTGACCTCATAGCTGGCTACGGCCATGGTCATAGCGCCCCCTACAGTACAACAGTGAAAACGGAAAGCTGGAAATGTCCGTCAATGGCGAGGAAAGAGTTAACTACTGTAGGTCAATAATTAGAAAAATAACAAAGTGCAGTAAACAGTAAAACTATTTGTTTAGTGTGTTTATAATTATGATAATAAATTAAATGAATGATTATAATAAAAACATGTATAAAGTTCAAAGCTATGAGCAATAATATTACTCTTTACTGGTAGTAATACAATGATTGCTCCTGTTTCGACCCGTCTGAATGATAAATACCTGCATTGTTGTTCTGTTCAGAGGCCATCTCGCTCGGCTCATTAAGAACAAAATTGAACAGATGAAGGCAGAGATAGGAAAAGATCTATAATGTAGATTAATTATACAACAATTTCATTGCCGCCAAATGGACCGTCTCAAGCACCACTTCAGTATCATCATGTGGTGGTGGTGGTAAATGTACACAATTAAAGCATCTGTGAAATGCAGACATGGCTTTCTCGGTTTATACACATAACATCCCATGAGATGCATATATAATGAAACCCTAGGCGATACTCAAAGCTGTAATAGTGTTTTGCTCGCTGATATCGTTTTGCAAAACAGGGCAGGTCTGTCTGCGCACTCCATCTATTTCCTCAACTCGTGTTATTCTAAGAGCTCAGACTGATGGGAGTTTTCAAGCTCCGGTGGGAAATGGAAAACAAGCAAGAATTGCATAATGGTGTCTCTCTGTATTCCTTGCCCTCCTCGCTCATCCCCCGAAGAGGATGGAGCTTTTTATAGGCCCTGCAGAGCAGACCACTGGAAGACACTCAATCCCATTGGCACCTCAGAGGGAGTAGAGTGTCTTATTAGAGGACGCGGAGTCCCCCATTGACATATTTGTGTTTAATGCATTGTAACCAACCATTTTTAATGAAGAGTTACCGGAACAGCTGTTGTAAATGGTTCCCAGAACGTTGTCAAATAGTTACTAAAGTGTAGTGTATTGTTGCGTTGTGCACTCTCAAAGGGGGGAGGGGGGGGGAGGGGGGGGGGGGGGGGGGGAGGGGGGGGGTTTGGTTCCTCAGAGTACCTTTCAGTCAGTTCTTAATAGAACCATTTTTTTCTTACTGTGAGGAACATTTTAAAAATCGTTTTGCACTATAAAGAACATTTTGTAGAATGGAAAGGTTCCATGGATGTTAAATGTTATCCATGGAACCATCGATGCCCATAAAGCAGAGCTGGGTAATAGATTACATGTAATCTGGATTACGTAATCAGATTCCTAAAATATAATAGTTGTAATAATTAGATTATATTACATGTTCAAAATTGTAATCAGTCTACAGTTACTTTTTTATTGATTACATTCACTGATTCTCCATAATTCTTCTCATTTTTAAAATTCTTCCTAATTTTATCTTTTAAATGTTTTACTTTCTAAAAAGCCTATTGCTTATATATGTTTGGAAAGTTTTGTGGAGTTGAACACACAAGAATGGCCACTAGTTAGGCGGCTATAATTACATGGAAAATTGAGAGGAATTTTATTTGGATTGTTTTATTTAAAAATAATTTTCTTTAAATTTAACATTTTTAGATTTAATTAATTAATAGCTTTTTGATCAATTTGCAAGTAATCATCCCAGCACTGCCAATAAAGGAACTTTATTTTTTAAGAGTGTATGATATTCCGTTTGGTTGCTTGGTGGTTTCTTTCTGGCCCAAAATCTTTGGGATATTTTTCAATCTGTTTTATCGTCGTAGGTTAAAATTGTACAAAAGCAAACACCATTTAATAGAGTGCGTGAACACATGCGCACTAGAAAGATTCATCCTTGTCCAGTGTTTACGCCATTTTGTTTTTCCATAAGTTATGAGAAAAAAAAATCTTTGTATTTATTTAACCCCCTCACACAAGTGTATACATTGGTAAGTGTGTCTATTGTTGTTGCATCTCCAGTAGTTTGTTGTTGTTCTGTCTAATCCATAGGCATAAAAATGAAGTATACTTTGGGCTTAAGTCTGATAACTAAGAACTATGAACTTTGAATAAAAGCATCTGTTGAATGGGGTGTTACTTAAATGAAATTTTAGGAGGAACTTGTTTTTGTTTTCATCTCTCAGATCAGAAGTGAGCAATGAAAATGGTTTTGTGGCCTTACTGGTAGATTTATAATGTCTTGTTTCCTTTGGTTTCCTTTATACAGTTCTGTTTTACCAGGTTATGAGCAGTTGTTCGTCTTCAAGGTTTTACTTCAAGTATTTCGATTTTTGCCATTATACCATGTGATATCATCATTCACCCAAAGTAGCATATACATGTTAAGTCTTTGGTAAATTTAGTCTCATATAATGAATGTTAGTTTGAGGTGTCGGGTGACACCTCAAAGATTCTGTCGTCAAGTTCTTCATTTCAAGTCCATTTTGAGCTGGCTGTGATCACACCTACCCAAAGCATATGGAATATCAGGAGGTGTTATGCTAATTCATTAGCATTGGAGATGTTATGAGCTCTAACCCGTGTTTTAAAAGTTTGTTTTAAGTTCATTATGGCTTGATATAGAAGTGTCTGAACATAATTTCATAATAGAATATATAAGTGTAGTCTTGAGTAACTCGCTAACTCAAGGCTAGGCTAACTTTAGGCTAGTTTAAGGTAATGTTTGTACTGCTTTAGGTTAAAATAATATTCCCCTCAGCTCTGTTTAACACAATTTCCCTTCCACAAAATCAGTTTCTAAACCTTGATGTTTGTAACCACTTTTAACAGTTTATACATTTTGTGTGTCACATATGTAGCTTAGAGGATAGCACATATGCTCAGACACTGTCTCGAGTAGGCAGTTTAAATCTCAGTCATTTTCTCTCTTTTCTTCTGTACCTATAAATAAAAAGCACATTTTGCTGGTCTTTAATAGATGTGTGGTTGACCCTGGCTAGTGAAGTATAGCAGAAATCCTACTGCATGTTTGCACTTCAGCTTGAACTGAGGCCAAACCTAACATCAACGAACAAGGTCTAGGAAAAAGCTCTTTTATGGAGAACCATAATGTTGCCCAAACAGTCCATAACAGTTTCAGGAGCCCACATTGACAGCTGGATCCAGAAATAACAGGAACTATTGGTCATGAGGCTTGTTGGTGTGGATGTGCTATTTCAGAGGTGAAATGGGACATTGCAGCCTTTATGTTTTTACTAACTTTGAGCTTCCAACTTCAGAACAACGAATTGAGCTAAAACGGGAAGCTTTCAGGTGGAAAATCCAGCTTGTAATGAATATCTAGCTAGCCAAGTTAGCCAGCACTGGTAACTGGTAGAACATCGGACTAGCAACAAACCAGCTTACAGTTGGTTATGTCATCTTAGCTGGTCTACCAGTCCAGCCATCTGCACCAGATGGTGGACCAGCTGGAAACCTGCCGCCATGTTTCTAAACACAGTTACCAACTTAAAAGTATAGTTAGTTCACCAAATAATTATTATTTACTAACAATCTTCCAAGTTAGCTGGTAATCGTTGCAACTGTATCAATGAGTCAATATGTCAAGAACTGATTCAGATCAACTCTGAGTGGTTTCAAATGATTCACTGATCGAACTTGTTAACAATCACAAGCTACCGTATTTAGAGCAGATGTTAAGATTTTCCTTTCTAGTTAACTGGGCAGAAAGTCAAGAACTAATTCATTCTGATTTGTGAACGAATTGTTCCGATTTTGTGAACCATTTCAAATGATTAAAGATCTGACAAAAAAATATATAAAAGATTCTGTCAAAATAAAAGTTTGATGGCTTAACGTTTGAAAATACTTTTAGTATTGTAATTTTACAGTTGCAAGAGAAGATAAAAGTATTATTATTATTATTTTATTTTTATATTGCAATTTTTTAGTAATTATTGTATTTTTATTTAGGATAATATTGCTGTTTTATTTTATTGCCATTTATATAACTTTATTTTATAGCCATATTGAGATATAATCATACACATACTTTTTTGCCAAATTGTGCAGCACTACAAACAAGCACAGCAATTTTTTAATCACATTTGAAGTCACAGAATAATTGCGATTACTGTCGTGCAGCCCTAATATTATGCTTTTATGTCTTTTTTGATGTTTAAAACCTCCAGACTAATTCTTTGTAAAGGCATTGAATAGAGTAACCAGCACATTTCTCAAAATTTCTCCTTTTCTGTTCTACAAACAAAAGAAACTCATACAGGTTTGGAACGACATGAGGCTGAGTAAATGGGGACAGAATTAACATTTTTGGGTTGACTTTTCCTCGAAGCTGTTTTTAGCTGGATTTTCCAGCATGTCCGTCATCTTGGATTTGCTGTTGCTTTCTCACTGCATGGCTATGAGCTGCTCTGTCTAGCGGCCAATGCCCTATTTAGAGCAGCATGTGTCTGTTGATGCCACATGCATATGCAAACTCTGAGAAAGCTTGTTGACCTTGATTGGGATGCCATGGAAACCGATGGACTGAATGGGAGCGTGTGCAGACGCGTCTGGGACGACCGTGGGGTGAGAAGCACAGCTCAAGGAATCCAGCCGTCATCTTCACATGGTGTATTTTCATCAAATCATCTTTGTCCACAAACATCCCAGTCGCCGTTGACAGCTGCTGCTGATGCTCGAGGGGCAGCGATGGAATATAAATGGAGGCTGAATAATGAAGCCGGCTGATGATGTCTGCGTTTTAGCGGGTGACCTGTTGACCCTTGAAGTCTGGTTATAATTTCAGATGAATATGTCTCAAATAATCATAGGCACACAAATCTGGTTTTAAATCACGACTGTCTGAATTTTCATCTCGCAATCAATAAAATGTAATCCTATAATTGAGATAGTGTCGTCAATACCCGGTTAATCACTGTTCTTTTTCTTTCCTAGACACGATATCGAAAAAGGCTTTCATCACAGAGGTACATTCCTTTACCACATATCAAGAATATCTACTATTAGACTGCAAGGAAAACTGTTCATATAGGGATTTCAGGTTGGTGGTATCTCATATTGTTGCTCTTTTTACACCAGATGCCTTCATCGTCAGGCCAGCCGGCTCATGGGAAGAAGATCGGTCACAGAGGAGTGGATGCTTCAGGAGAAACCACATATAAGAAGGTGCATTGCTCCGAATCAATTTCAACAACTTTTTCTAGATTCGATACTGGTTCCATTTTGATTATTTTAGTTACTTCTTGGGATGCACAATATATTGGTACCAAATCAGCCGATATTATTTATTTTAAACGTTCAGTTTTTTATTTAATATATATATATATATATTTTATATTGGTCAAAAATTTATTTTTAATTGTACATGCTCATTTCCTCTCTTTTTACATTTAGATTGTTTGCCGTTATCTAACGCTAACCTAAAAACTTTTTCTAGATTCGATATTAATTCCATTCAGATTCAGTTTTATATCGGTTGATATTGTATATTTAATTGTACATGCTTATTTTCTCTCTTGTTACATTTAGATAACCTTTGCCATCATCTTAAATTAATCTATAAAAACACTAATAATTTAATAACAGTGAAATGTAATATTTAGTAAATCTCAAAATAAATATCCCTTTTTCATACTGTATATTTAAAAAATTTAATGCCTAAATTTACTTTAACATTTAAAGGGATACTCCACTTTTTTTGGAAATAGGCTCATTTTACAACTCCCCCAGAGTTAAACTGTTGAGTTTTACCATTTTTGAAAATAGTTCCGTTGTGTTGACGGAAGGTAGCCTATTTTCAGGCGCTGCGTCATATCATTACGCCAGCTGCTCTCATGGTACGGCAGTGAAGTTTCTTGATTATTACGCAGGAATGAGAGTATAGTTCCTAGCCATATCAGCCTAGAAAATCGCAACTTTACATTTTCCGTCGGTCTTAGTGCACAATGTAACTACAGAAAAGTCAAGTTTTAAATAGGAAAAATATCGAAACTCTTTGGTCATTTTTTTTTTAGAAATGCTAATGGTCTTGTCCACTTCAATGATGTATGCTAAGCTATGCTAAAAGTGGTACCGCCAGAACCGGAGATCGGCTGAATGGATTCAAAAACGGTAAAACTCAACAGTTTAACTCTGGGGGAGTTATAAAATGAGCCTATTTCCCAAAAAAGTGGAGTATCCCTTTAAACCAATTGATTTTAGGTTAATTTTTTTTTTTAGTTTTTTTTTTTTAGACAAAATAGTGTTTATTTTTAAAATTTACAATTTACCATTTAATACATACAAATTATTGTATGGTATATATAATAATAATTATAATAATAATAACAATAAAATTATCGGTTTATCTGTATCGACCAGATTTGTAATATTGCTTATAAGCTCGATCCGCAGAAATGTGGCACTAGACGATATCAGAACAAAAAAAACGTATCAATCTCTGGGTTAATATTTAAGAAAATGTATCTCAAGTCATTTATATATGGGGGTTTTTTTTCAGACCACATCTTCAGCACTCAAGGGAGCCATTCAGCTTGGGATTGGCTACACGGTTGGCAACTTGAGTTCCAAGCCTGAGCGGGACGTCCTGATGCAGGATTTCTATGTGGTGGAGAGCATCTTCTTCCCCAGGTGAGCTATCCGTCTGAGGTTGAGGTTGGATGTATAATTTCACATGCAATAAATGTTCTTCTCCTTGTTCTTCCAGTGAAGGGAGCAACCTGACACCAGCCCATCATTTCCCAGACTTCCGCTTCAAAACCTACGCTCCCGTGGCCTTCCGTTACTTCAGAGAGCTCTTCGGGATACGGCCGGATGACTATTTGGTGAGAAATATAAGCTAAAGGCTAGTTTTTATAATAATTCAGGACCACTGAAGAATCGCTCAACCTGATTTTTTATATATTTGTGTTGGCCTTTAGTATTCGCTTTGTAACGAACCACTGATTGAGCTGTCCAATCCGGGAGCCAGTGGTTCAGTCTTCTATGTCACCAAGGACGATGAGTTCATCATCAAAACAGTTATGCACAAGGAGGCGGAGTTTTTGCAGAAGCTTCTTCCTGGATATTACATGGTGAGTTGCTGTACTTTGACTGATGCATTTTAAATTGGGTTTTTAATCTCCAATCCCGATATCTAGATTAACAGGGTGTATACACTCACCGGCCACTTTATTAGGTACCCCATGCTCGTAACGGGTTGGACCCCCTTTTGCCTTCAGAACTGCCTCAATTCTTCGTGGCATAGATTCAACAAGGTGCTGGAAGCATTCCTCAGGGAGTTTGGTCCATATTGACATGATGGCATCACACAGTTGCCGCAGATTTGTCGGCTGCACATCCATGATGCGAATCTCCCGTTCCACCACATCCCAAAGATGCTCTTTTGGGTTGAGATCTGGTGACTGTGGAGGCCATTTTAGTACAGTGAACTCATTGTCATGTTCAAGAAACCAATTTGAAATGATTAGAGCTTTGTGACATGGTGGAAGTAGCCATCAGAGGATGGGTACATGGTGGCCATAAAGGGATGGACATGGTCAGAAACAATGCTCAGGTAGGCCGTGGCATTTAAACGATGCCCAATTGGCACTAAGGGGCCTAAAGTGTGCCAGGAAAACATCCCCCACACCATTACACCACCACCACCAGCCTGCACAGTGGTAACAAGGCATGATGGTTCCATGTTCTCATTCTGTTTACGCCAAATTCTGACTCTAACATCTGAATGTCTCAACAGAAATCGAGACTCATCAGACCAGGCAACATTTTTCCAGTCTTCAACTGTTCAATTTTGGTGAGCTCTTGCAAATTGTAGCCTCTTTTTCCTATTTGTAGTGGAGATGAGTGGTACCCGGTGGAGTCTTCTGCTGTTGTAGCCCATCCGCCTCAAGGTTGTGCGTGTTGTGGCTTCACAAATGCTTTGCTGCATACCTCGGTTGTAACGAGTGGTTATTTCAGTCACTGTTGCCCTTCTATCAGCTCGAACCAGTCTGGCCATTCTCCTCTGACCTCTGGCATCAACAAGGCATTTCCGCCCACAGAACTGCCGCTCACTGGATGTTTTTTCTTTTTCGGACCATTCTCTGTAAACCCTAGAGATGGTTGTGCGTGAAAATCCCAGTAGATTAGCAGTTTCTGAAATACTCAGACCAGCCCTTCTGGCACCAACAATCATGCCACGTTCAAAGTCACTCAAATCAACTTTCTTCCCCATACTGATGCTCGGTTTGAACTGCAGGAGATTGTCTTGACCATGTCTACATGCCTAAATGCACTGAGTTGCCGCCATGTGATTGGCTGCTTAGAAATTAAGTGTTAACGAGCAGTTGGACAGGTGTACCTAATAAAGTGGCCGGTGAGTGTATATTATCCAATACATTAATACTGCATTATATAATAGAGTTTATTGACAGCAAATTATATGTAGCCTACATAAAATTAGTCAAATACTTATTTTACACAATATTTAATTTATTTTGGAACTGGCACAGTGGTGAGCTAATATTTATGTCCAAATATTAACCGATTATCTGCCTGTCAAATATTTATTGGTGTATCACTAATGCAGCCTGTTACTTTTTAAGAAACTACATATCGGTAGGATATCGGTTAATTACGATTTTGGAATTTATTCAAATTTATCGGGCAAAGCGGGTGTGCATATTTATGGGGTGTGATAAAGTGTTTAGTGTTTTATTTTTAGTTAATTCTGACAATAAATTATCAGTTGCCCAGAACAAAAATTATTATCAGCCAGAATTTTAATAGTGCTGTGCATCTTTATTTAAAACTAATGGTTAACTAATGTGTATTTTCAATGTCCTATGCCGATATCTATAGAGCAGGACAATAAATACCGCATGATATAATAGTTTAATGATAGCAAACTAGATGTAGCCTATATAAAATTACTGAAGTAATTATTTGACACAATTTGAAATACATTTTAGAACTGAAACAATTGTGAGCTAGTATTTATTGCCATATATCGGCCAATTATCTGCATGGCCAGTATTTTTTGTAGACCTACTATTTACATTTTTGAGCTACAATAATTTCACAGTAAATACAGAGGTGATGATGTTATTTTTTGGTATGTTGTTACTTTTTGAGAAACAATATATCTGTACCATATCGATTATTGACCGATTTTTTTTAAATTATTGAGAAAAAAGTTTTTCTCACAAATGTTTACATTTTATTTTTAATTAATTTTGACAATAAATTATTATTATTGGCCATTACATGAAAATAGTTATTGGCTCATCAGTATCAGACAGAATTGCATTATCATTTCATGCTTTTTTTAAATTACGGTAATGGTTGACCGATATTGGTTTTCAATGTCCAATAAAATATCTAGAGTAGAGTGGCTGATGGTTAATATAATACTGATAATTATGATACAGTACATTATATAATACAATATATTGACAGAAAATGACATGTAGCCTTTATAAAATGACTTTACATTATTTTATATTATGGAACTATTATCAGCCTGTGCAATATATAGGTGCATGAATCATGGAGATCTAGTTTTTCAGCTACAATATAAGCTAGGCTAAAATACACAGCGTATGTTGTTATTCAGTACTTTTCGAGAAAGATGCTTTCCAGCCTATTATCACATGCTGTCACAAATCAACCACCTGGTTAAACAACAACACTGCTGATTACCCAACAAGCTATTTTGAACTAATTTCTCCCCTGAGGCGATTTGTCTGCTATTTTCCTGAATAATAGAATAAATGACACAATTAGCATTTAAACTGTGCTTGTTCCAGCTTTATGTCTCCATTGGACCAATCCAATTCACAATATAAGTACAAAAGGGTTTGGTTTCCAAGAGAACATGGGTTTTTCTTTCAGTAGATGATGCCTAAATGGGTTCTCAGTGTCAGCAGAGTCTGACCAGTGACTGGCTTGGCTTGTTCCATCCATTCAGCTGGAGCTAATGAGCCCATGAATAGTGGCGGATCAGTTGTTGTTCAGCAACAATGCTGACCTTGGCCAGTTTGCCTACAGAAACCTGTCTTTAGCTCTTTTCCTCTTTCTGTTTCTCCTCTTTGATCATATCTTGTAGGACAGATCACCTTTGGGAAGGTGATGGTTGTTCCACAAAGCTCCTCTAGGTTGGATATCTGCTTCATTGCTTTGCCTTTGTGTGGTGCTTTTTAAGAGGATATAAAGTCCAATTTAATTGGAATCAGGTGGTTTTACAACGCTCTGGAACATTAGCTGGCAAACTGAATGCCATTGACTTGAAGAAGCGTTTTTTTGTGTGTGTGGTTGAAATGGTGTGTTTTGAATCTGGAATGTGGGAAAACAAATAATGATTACTTCAAGCTAATGCATAAATGCTGTTATTGAACTAGTATTAAGATTTAGAAGTGGTCATCAGCAAAAGTGTGGTTTGCATGTGATTTTAAGGAATAGTATCAAAAAACAAAAAATTCTTCTATCATTTATTCATCATGCCGGTTTAAATCCGTGTGACTTTCTTTCTTCCGTGGAACACAAAAGAAGCTGCTCTTTTCCATACGGTGACTGTGAACTTGGCTCAAAGGCTCGAAAAATGTAAAAAAGCTATATACAAGTATCATACAAGTACTTATTTTTGTGTGGGGAAAAGGCTGAAAAGGTGAGATTCTTTTCTGTTCTTCCGTGAAACACAAAGAAGAGGTTTTGAAGAGTATTCACGCTGCTCTTTTCCATATGTGACAGTGAAACTGGATGCCATTAAGGTTAAAATATGACAAAATAGCTAAATAAAAGTACCTTGTGTAAGGAAAAGGCAGACGAGTTGTTGTTTGTTGAATATCTCATTTGAATTTCCTTATATTTCAACGCATTTTGGCGCACAACATTTTAGTATCGGGTTAATAAATGATGACAGAATTGTAACTATTCCTTTCAAGATTAAATTAATCAATTACACAATGCATGTAACCAACAAATACTAATACAAACGTTTTTCCACAGATGTGTAGCACTGCATGGACGACCTTGCATTTGAATAATCGTTTACTCTGATTGGGCATTTGATTTTTCAAATGTTTGTTTCCTGCAGAACTTGAATCAGAATCCTCGCACCTTATTGCCCAAGTTCTTCGGGTTGTACTGCGTACAATCGGGCGGCAAGAACATTCGAATGGTGGTGATGAACAACGTTTTGCCCAGGGTGGTGCGCATGCACCTCAAATACGACCTGAAGGGATCCACCTACAAGCGACGGGCCTCTAAGAAAGAGCGGGAAAAGGCGAAGCCCACTTTCAAAGACCTCGATTTCATGCAGGACGTTCAAGACGGTCTCCTGCTTGATACAGACACGCACAGCGCCCTGGTCAAGACGTTGCAGAGGGACTGTTTGGTACGTTTTGTACAGTGTGCTGGTGTCTAGAGAGAATGTGTGAATGGGAGCTAAATTGATGTGTTTTTGATGTTTAGGTCTTGGAAAGCTTTAAGATTATGGATTACAGTTTGCTGCTGGGAGTACACAACATCGATCAGGCGGAGAAAGAGCAGCAGATAGAGGGATCTCAGGGCAACAGTGATGAAAAGAGGCCGCTGGCACAGAAGGCGCTCTACTCCACTGCCATGGAGTCCATACAGGGAGCGTCGGCCTGTGGAGAGGAGATCGACACTGACGACACGTGAGCGGCCCAAATATATTAAGGATATTTAAAAAGAGATGTGACCCCTTTTTTAGATGCATTAAAATGACAAACTATGACAAAATTCTAGCTGATACCAATAGCCTGGTAATTATTTTCATGTTATTGCCTATAATCAGTACATTGAATTCTATACTATTTTGATACTATTTTTTAAAGATTAATTTTACAGTATTTTAAAAAACAAACATTTCTGGATAAAATCAAGTCCTGTCCTGTTAAATATCATGGTTCATCTGGAATAGCATTTATTATGGAAGGTAATGGATTGCAAACAACAAATTCATGTTAACTAACCAAAAAATTCAACTTTTAAAAGCGAACAGACATTTTTGTTTTGTCTTTTGTTTTGTTGTTTTTTGTTTTGTGTGTTGACTAATTTTATTTGTTTTTAAAAAAAAGTCTTTATCAGTCATTTTTTCCTTTTTTGTTCCCAAAAGTATAGCTACTCATTTCTATTTTTATTTTGCCAAAATAAATTAAAAATATGGGGGTTCTTTTACCTTCATAGAATTTGTATAAAATCGGGCTAAAATCTAGTCCTGTCTGTTAGATATCCTGTTTCATCTGGAAATGTGTCACATTATGGAAGTAAATGGATTGCAATAAACATATTCATGTTGACTAAAGGGGCGGTCACTACACATTCTGTTTCATTGACTTTGCATTTCGCTGCATTTCAAGTTTGGTGAACTCTGACCTGCACATTTTTTTTGTGTTTTTTTGTTGCCATTTTTGTCTTTTTAGCCATTTTTCTTCTGAAAGCAGTTTTTTAAGATTTTGGCAACTTCAGGAAACACTTTTCAGTACTATTGCAAATTTGTTCCCAAATGTATAGTTAAGCGTTTCATTTCAGTTTATCAAGGTTTAGACTTTTGAGTGTTTTAGGCCATAAAAACTTTCATATCCATATTTCTCATGTTTTTTCCCTGCCAGAATGGGCGGCATTCCTGCAGTCAATGGAAGAGGAGAGCGGCTGTTACTGTACATCGGAATAATCGACATCTTGCAGTCTTACAGGTGCTTGCGTCAACCTCTCCGACTCATGTCACTTACGATTTACATCACGAGGCGTGTGATTCATCGCTTGCCAGTATGATTTAAAAGCACCATGGAGTGATTTTTTTTTCTTTTTTTCTGTTTAGGTTAATAAAGAAATTGGAGCATACGTGGAAGGCTCTAGTCCACGATGGGGTGAGGATTTACTTGCATTTCAATGGCTGTTATCTAGAAAAGACCTTTTGAAATATATCAACACCACTGTTCCATGCAAGTCGCTCCATCTCTTGTCGCTCTGGATGAAAAGCTTTGGCCAAGTTAACATCCAGCTGTGTTTTGAAGACTCTGTGGTCTTTGACCTTCACTATAATTCTTCCTACTTCCTACATTTTCATGTTAATAAAGCAGGGTCTGCTGCGGTACGTTAGCACAAATGGAGTTTAGTGAGAATTATGGGGTTTTGGAGGAAATGCTTGTAAAATGTGCACTAATTTGGGACCATTTTTTTTTAGAGGATGTGCTAATTGGGCTATTGCTGGATATGAGACGCACATGCACATACCACACACACGCACACATTAATTTTCTCCTCAGCTCAGCTGTGAATAGAGGAGATTTCTCCAACCCTGCCTGTGACGCGTCAGTCTACGCCATACTGTGAATGGCTCGAGATTCATTTGCATGCTAATTAAGATATTTATAGAATTAGAGCTGGTATATCTTGATCACGTCAGCTCGAAGTGTTGACTGGTGTCTCCATGAATAATGTACGTTTCACTGGAAACCTTAAGTTTGACTTAAAGCCTGCGTGAAAATTATTAGTATTGCACAGAACTGTAATTTTCCATTTGGTCAAGTGGAATAAGAATGAACTGTAGCTATTCAGATGGTTTACTTATTCGCTGTCTCTTTCACTCTTCAGGACACAGTGTCTGTTCACAGGCCATCTTTCTATGCAGACAGGTTCTTCAGGTTCATGAGCACTACTGTATTCAGAAAGACTTCATGTGAGTTGAATTTATATTACTGAATCACATAGATTCATTTCATGGTCTGCATGAAGATTTAATGATAAAGTAATAGGGATGCACCAATTTGAAAATTCTGACCGATACCGATAAGACGATAAATATTTATTTTAATGACCGCTAAGTCCACCACAATTCGCCTTTGGCTAAGCCACACCCTAGAATGTAGATTGACCAATCACAGCGCAGCCAAGAATGAGCTCCCACAGAGGTCTGACACTTTTTCACAGCGCTCCATTGACTCGGCTATTTTTGGTCTCGGCAGGCTATTACCATCGTAGTTTTATCAAAAATATGGTTAAACGTTGTGCCTGGGGCATTTGTAACACAGATACGCGTTTCCCAGAGAGGTTGGAGGGGAGTGTGCGTTTTTTTCCCTTCCCAAAACCGAAGTCAAATCCTGACAAGTGTCGTCTAGCACACACTGCTAATAAATACAACGTTATACTCGCGTAGTCCGTTTGCTTTGTAATAACGATTATAGAAGTGAATAGAGACCTACCCAGCTTTGCATGAACAGTGTTGCTCCTTGATATTGTTAGTCCCAGCCTCCGTCTCGATTAGTAGGATATGCAGTGGTTCATTTTATGACTGTGACTGGTATGCTTTTGCCTCTATTTGGATGCCTTGTTGTTCCTTGCGTTTCACCTGTATGTCGTGAATATAGCCTTCGAACGTATATTGCAGCCCCTTTTGCCTAGTTCTATCGGACACTTTATTTGCTGCTTTATAAAAGTTTGATAAAATTTCAGCAGGAAGAGCTGTCACACCATAAGCCATGTTGATACCAGAGCCCAGATGAAGTTTGTTTGTCGGACGTAGCAACAGTAACTAAGGGGGCGGGGCTTAGCCAAAGGCGAATTGGGCTATATAAAGGAAAAATAAACACTGCTACAAATTAATTTAGACATCACAGAATTGTAGTGTGTAGTATGAAAAAGGATATTTATTTTGCGATTTCCTATAGATAACATATAATCGTGTTATTATTTTATTAAATAATCTTTTATTTAAATAATGTTTTTAAAAGATTAACTTAAAATGACAGCAAAGGTAATCTAAATGTAAAAAAAGAGGAAATTATCATGCAAAATTAAATATTCTGTACCAATACATTTTTTAAAAATCTGTCATATCGGCCGATAAGGTACGTTGCATTCCCAAAAAGATACTTTCAAATTTACATCTAAAATGTATGTGCTAAATTAAATGTAAAAAAAAAACAAGATGTTTATTATCAATATAATGTACAAAAATAAAAAGATTTTTATTTTTAGATAATAATGAAAGTAAAAGTCTTAACCGTAACCCTGCTAATGAAGCTTCACCTACTTTTATTATGATAATCAAAGATATTGAAACTATTTTAACTGTTTCTTTCAGCGTTAAAATCCTCTCCGTCAAAAAGGGGTCGTGGGGGTCTAGCCGTGGGCAAATACGGCGGGCCCGGAGCGGCCTGGTCGGCCAGCCAGCTGCCCTTCGTGAGAGACGAAAACATCTACGACTTGAGAGGAGCCCGTAGCTTCCCCACACTGGACGATGATGGTAAACAATATACGAAATACATTCTTCATCCTCAACTAGTGGACTTAATGGTTACAGTCACATGTTTAAACTCTGCCTGGTTTCAGGTCGGACGGATGTGCTTCCCTGCACCCCTCCCTCATTCGAGGAGGCCACCACAGCCTCCATCGCCACCACGCTGTCCTCCACCACCTCTCTGTCCATCCCAGAACGCTCCCCCTCGGACACCTCCGAACAACCGCGCTACAGGTACGAGTAGGACCCTGTCTGTCGCTCTGTAATGTTCCAGCACCATGGCCGTAGCAGGTACAATTAACTCTCTGTTCTCTTCCGTACAGGAGACACACCCAGTCCAGTCACGAAGAAACGTAAGTAAAACGGAGACTGGTCTGCAATATGGGTCCGTGTATCATCCGATCATTTGATTTCCAATTTGAAATGAAATAAGCAGAAATGAGAAAATGGCACCTTTATTCGTTTTTTCGTTTTTTTTTTTCCTCGAAAAACCGAGATTTCGCATTGATTTTTAGTTTTTTAGTTCACAGGCAAAAAACGAATACATGACTTTAAAATTCGTTTTCCACGTGTGGGCGGTCATGAGACGCCCCCTTCCGCTGATTGGTCAAGTAAATCTGAGCATGTGACGTCATCAGTCATCGCTCAGGTCTGTTCAACAAAATAATAGTCCTCAACGGTAATCTACCCATTAAGGATGTAATTTGTCTTTTTGAAAACCCAAATAAATCTTTAGAATCTACTGGTAAATATTGTTTTCAATAAAATAATAGTGAACGGTTGACCACAAACTGAGCCTTCGTTTTAAAGGGCAATTTCCAAATATCTTTTATTTATTTGTTATAATATGGGTATTTTGGGTCACCCGTTTTATTAATAGTATATTTGGTAATAAAAAGTTGTTGTTTTTTATTGTATTTTCGTTAAAAATATAGGCCTATCATAACAACTTATAAAGATCAAAATCTACAGAAGACATTAACAAATAACACTGGTGTTGTCATAAGTTAATCAGTTGGAAAATGTCCTCACCGGCATAACCCTATAGGCCTACTTAAAGGGATAGTTCACTTTGAAATACATTTTTGGTATGTTTTAGCTTACCTCAAGGGCATCCAAGATGTAGGTGTCTTTGTTTCCGCAGTAGTTTCAATTTTGATATTTTTAGGTCAAACCGTTCTTGTCTGTCAGTCATATAATGCAGGTCTATGGTCACCACCTCAAAGAGCATGCACAGAGAAGTCCAAATTAAACATGATTTAATGACTCGTAAATGTAAGTACACATTGATGGCCTAAGACACGAAACGAGCAGTTTGTGTGAGAAAACAAACAGTATTTATATCGTTTTTACCTCTTGTAACCACAGCCACGTCCAAGTGATCTGAGGGCGCAGGCGCTTCGGTCTTTTCCGGCAAGCGCCGGAAAGCGCCGGAAGTGATCTCTCGCGCGTGTACGTCACTCATTGTTTACACAGAACAGAGATTGTAGGTAAGGCTAATTAAAATGGTACTATTTTGCGCTTATCCGGGATGTTTAAACCGTCGTAAAAAAAAAAAAAAAATTGTATGAGTGACGTACACGCGCGAGAGATCACTTCCGGCGCTTGCCGGAAAAGACCGAAGCGCCCGCGCCCTCAGATCACTTGGACGTGGCTGTGTTTACAAGAGGTAAAAACGATATAAATACTGTTCGTTTTCTCACACAAACTGCTTGTTTCGTGTCTTAGGCCATCAATGTGTACTTACATTTACGAGTCATTAAATCATGTTTAATTTAGACTTCTCTGTGCATGCTCTTTGAGGTGGTGACCATAGACCTGCATTATATGACTGACAGACAAGAACGGTTTGACCTAAAAACATGTTGACAGACCCAAAAATACTACTTTTTAGAACTGAACAAAGACGTGTTTTGTTTTGTTTTGCTCTGTTTGTCTTGTTTTGTTTTGTTTTCTTGCTTTGTATTTATCTTGGGTCCGTGCACCATTGTACCGTGTTCATTCGTTTTTCGTTTTTTCCACAAAAAAAAAAAAAGAGAATTCAGCTAGATTTTTATATTTTTATGTTCAGGGATAGAAAATGGATACCGTATTTTCCGCACTATAAGGCGCACTTAAAAGCCTTTAATTTTCTCAAAAAAGACAGTGCGCCTTATAATCCGGAGCGCCTTATATATGGATGGTGAACACACGTTCACCAAGACGGGGAGACAGCGCCGGGCGACTTACGCCACTATCTGCCAATGGATCGTGGATGCCTGGGCTGATATATCAGTCTCAACTGTGATCCGAGCTTTCACGAAGGCAGGAATAATCTCTTTATTCAGCCAGCTCACATACCCGTATTTACTTCCTGTTTTCGGTCGAAGTCCACAGTAGTTGATTGTCGAGTTCGCACGCGCGCGATCAAACCTCCTCCGTGTGTTCAACATCTGATTCGGATGAACTATCCATTTGAGCTGATATTCTCAGAACACCACACAGCACCGTCATCGGCTGACAGTCTGAGTCTCCACGGTTGCTTAGTTACCAATGATCGCGCGCGCGCACTGGACAATCGCCTACTGTGGACTTCGACCGAAAATGGGAAGAAAATACGGGTATGTGAGCTGGCTGAATAAACATCATTTTTATTCATATCTTTCACATTTACTGGAGTCAGATTCACCGTGTTCACTCACATGGCTGTGCACTTGTAATGACACATTAAGGTTGTTAAGAGGCTAAAAGCAGGTTTAAAACTTTTCCCGTTTAAGTCAACAGGGTGCAAATTTATAAAAGAGGATAACACGTGTAGGCAACACCGGTTTTTGTCGTTGTTATCTGTACTGACAGCACTCCAAATTTACAAAAAAGTGAGCTCAATGTTAAAATTGACCGGAGTTTTCCTTTAACGTTTGAACAACGTTACCATGGGAGTGAACGGAGTTGTCAGAAAGCTTAATAAAGTTTGACTTTATCTGACTGTTTTGTTGACATTTGTTGACATTCCCTTTAGCACATCTAGTGGATGCATAACGCAAACCCAGTCAAACGTTTGACTGCAGTATCTTATGCGCCTTATAATCCGGTGCGCCCTATATATGAAAAATGTTCTAAAATAGGTTATTCATTGAAGGTGCGCCTTATAATCCGGTGCGCCGTATAGTGCGGAAAATACGGTAAATGACTTGAATATTCGATTTCCACGTGTGGGCGGGCATGAAACGCCCCTTTCTGCTGATTGGTCAACCAAAGATCAACCCGTGCCACTTCAGTTCTTCCACAAATATATATATATACGATCGCTTTGTGCAATGAACAGACCAAAATTATTCCGAAAGTTTATGTTTCATAACACTTGTTATAAAATACATACTACATAAAATACAATGTTTATTGCCCTCTTGGGCTTGATCTTCTTCTTAATGGAAGGATTTGCTCTTAGTGATGTTGTTGGTGTGGTTTGGCTGAGCCCTCTGCTGGTGTTGTTGTAGAATGCAGGATGAGGACCAGCAGACCATCACAGTGGAGGTGGAAGTGGAGGGGCGATACGACAGCGAGCTCACCCTCGTGGCTCCCCAGGTATCGCCGGAGAACAGGTACGCACTAAAAACTGAGAAACTACCTCCACAGTCATGAGCACTTATTATATATTTACTTTTGAACACCAGATATTGTTGAACATGTTGGGGAAAAAAAGATCTTATTGAAGTGTAATGGAATTAAGGGCGATGATTTAAATGCAAATGCACTGTGTCGATGAATCGAGCAGTGTGGATGTGAGATCAAGGGTATCATGGGAATGAGGAATTAGACGTGCTTCATTCAGCTGAGCTCACCTGCTGAAGCTTCTCATAGTAATGGCAAAACTACACCATGGAAACTCCCACAGAGGAACATAACCAAACAGGAAGCGCTTAATCACCCAAACCCAAACGTTTTTGTGCTTGCCAGGCACATAACGAGGGCTTGGAACCAGAGGGGCGTAAGTGGCATTTTGGGCGAAAATGAGTTCTATATATCAAATTAAAGGTCTTGATGAGCTCTATCTAGTTGTGCCAAAAAGACCTATCTGAGATCAAACTGTATTGAATAAAGCAACAAAACAATACAGACCTAACACAAAAGTGTGAGTAATGTTTGGAGCCAGAAGGGCGTAAGTCCACTTACGCCCTTCTGGCTCTGAAAAATACATGTAGGACCCATATTTTTGTTCAGAGCCAGAAGGGCGTAAGTGTAGTTGGTGCCCTAAAACTGCATTCAAAATGGCTGACACAACTGCAGACATGGAACTGTCTGAGGCAGAAACGATTTTGATGAATATTATGAAACAAACTGATGAATCCTACACTCACCTAAAGGATTATTAGGAACACCTGTTCAATTTCTCATTAATGCAATTATCTAATCAACCAATTACATGGCAGTTGCTTCAATGCATTTAGGGGTGTGGTCCTGGTCAAGACAATCTCCTGAACTCCAAACTGAATGTCAGAATGGGAAAGAAAGGTGATTTAAGCAATTTTGAGCGTGGCATGGTTGTTGGTGCCAGACGGGCCGGTCTGAGTATTTCACAATCTGCTCAGTAACTGGGATTTTCACGCACAACCATTTCTAGGGTTTACAAAGAATGGTGTGAAAAGGGAAAAAGCATCCAGTATGCGGCAGTCCTGTGGGCGAAAATGCCTTGTTGATGCTAGAGGTCAGAGGAGAATGGGCCGACTGATTCAAGCTGATAGAAGAGCAACTTTGACTGAAATAACCACTTGTTACAACCGAGGTATGCAGCAAAGCATTTGTGAAGCCACAACACGCACAACCTTGAGGCGGATGGGCTAGCAGAAGACCCCACCGGGTACCACTCATCTCCACTACAAATAGGAAAAAGAGGCTACAATTTGCAAGAGCTCACCAAAATTGGACAGTTGAAGACTGGAAAAATGTTGCCTGGTCTGATGAGTCTCGATTTCTGTTGAGACATTCAGATTGTAGAGTCAGAATTTGGCGTAAACAGAATGAGAACATGGATCCATCATGCCTTGTTACCACTGTGCAGGCTGGTGGTGGTGGTGTAATGGTGTGGGGGATGTTTTCTTGGCACACTTTAGGCCCCTTAGTGCCAATTGGGCATCGTTTAAATGTCACGGCCTACCTGAGCATTGTTTCTGACCATGTCCATCCCTTTATGGCCACCATGTACCCATCCTCTGATGGCTACTTCCAGCAGGATAATGCACCATGTCACAAAGCTCGAATCATTTCAAATTAGTTTCTTGAACATGACAATGAGTTCACTGTACTAAAATGGCCCCCACAGTCACCAGATCTCCAATAGAGCATCTTTGGGATGTGGTGGAACGGGAGCTTCGTGCCCTGGATGTGCATCCCACAAATCTCCATCAACTGCAAGATGCTATCCTATCAATATGGGCCAACATTTCTAAAGAATGCTTTCAGCACCATGTTGAATCAATGCCACGTAGAATTAAGGCAGTTCTGAAGGCGAAAGGGGGTCAAATACAGTATTAGGATGGTGTTCCTAATAATCCTTTAGGTGAGTGTATATTGAAGAAGTTGAAGATGAGTCAGAGTTGTTTGAATGCATTTTCTCACAAGAGTGATGACAGTAAGACATAATCATGCCTTGAGAGCCTTACCTTGTTAGCCTAGCCTAGCATGGCTAACGTTAATCCCATTGGTTTGGTCTGATCTGGCTAACTGTGCCTGTGTTCTGACAGAGAATATTCTTTTGAACTTTCTCATAATCTACTTTACCCTAGCCTTGAACTAATAGATTCAGGGCACTCATGTAGGATATTATATTAATAAATATTAATGTGTTAATCATTAAAGGACACAGCCACATGAGGTGAGGAAGAGAGATCAACTTGAGGGACACATGGAGACAGATGGAGGAAGTGAGTTCTGACTTGCATAGAAAATCAGTTAGAACATTACCTTATCTAATCCTTACCCCGAATTATTAGTATCAGGGCATTCATGTAGGATATTAATACATTTTAATTATATAATTTAGGGACACAGCATGAGATGAGGGAGAGAGATGAGGGACACATGTAGACAGCAGAAGATGGGGAAAGAGAGACAGGCAGGGACACAGATCATGCAATTGATGAGGGACACATGGAGACAGAAGAAGATCGAGGGACTGAGACAGTAGACATTGAGCCTGTTTAGGAGGGAGGAAGAGGATGCCAACACACCACAAAAAGGAAGAAAAAGACAGAGAGATGTTGAAAATTGGAAAAGAAACCAACGTAAAAGGTTAAGAAATTCTGGCCAAGGCTACATTAATTCACATGGCATTCATGTTCCAGGAAGGAAGGTGAGGGAAAAGAACTAAAAAGCAAAAAGAACACGAGAGAACTGTCAATTGAATAGAGTATTGAAAAAAAAAGAATTGTAATGAAATCAATTGAACAACTCATGAATTGCCAATCAGAAGTGTGTTTAGCAAGTTCAGTGACTTTAATTACAGTCTGTAGTGTTCAGCAGATGCCCAGAATGGAAAGGTGAAAAAAAATATATAAAAAAATAATAATGAATGAGTTAAATGAAAAATAATTACTTGTTCAAGTGTGATTCAAGTGTTAATTATTCAATCAATTCCCCTTTTGATCAATTATTTTCTGCATTGTTTAGCAGATACGCCCAATATGTCCATAGAAGACTTGGAAATGTTTGGTGCCAAAAAGGCGTATCTGACGTTTTTGACATATTTTTTTATTTTAAAATGTTTTAGAACATGTTCATTGTGTTAATATGCCATACATTTTTTACTTAAATACTCATTCATGTAAGTATGCCTGTGGTTGCAATGTTTGTGGTTTAAGGTTAATGATACAGGTGATTGAAGTGTGGTCAAAATTTTGTTTTGTCTCTCCTGTAAAGTTGGTCAAAAGCCACTTACGCCCCTCTGGCTCCAAGCCCTCGATAATATGTATATATTAATGTTTTATCTATCATTGCAAATCAATATGCCTTTGAACCCATTGAAGAAATTTTGAAGAAAGTTCATGCTGCACTCTTCCATACAAAGTTGCATTAATTAAAACTTGTAAAAAATTATTTTCAGTAATTGAAATAAGGCTGAATTGAAATAAAATGCAAATATTAGATGAAAAACTTAAAAAACTATAAAAGTTTTGCTTTGATAACTAACAAATAAATAAGTTAACTAAAACTGAAATAAAAATAAATTAAAGCTATATAGAAATATTTTTTACATCAAAAACTTAATAAAAATGGCAAAAGCACATAACTAAAATTAAAATGAAAACTAAAACTATTTTTAAAAAGCCAATTCAGCATATTAATAAATAATATAATAGTATATTATAAGTGATACTTGAATAACACTGCATACAACAAAAACATCTCTAAATTGTTATTTTTTTCCCTTTTCCACATGTAGTGAAGCTCCAGAGACGTTTCTAGAAGCCTCGTCCTCCTCCGTCCCAGCGAGCCCCAGGATAGTCGTGGAATCTGACAGCGCCAGTCAGGCCTCAGGCTGTACGAGCCGTGCCTCTGTGGACGAGGATGATGATGTGCCAATTACAGACATTTATTTTGTAAGCCCTTCACTCATCTGAACTAAAAATATGTATTGTTTTTATGTAGAAAAAGAAATGCATCAGAGCAGAGCTAGAACCACCTGATGACCTAATGTCAAATCATAAAAAACATAACCAGATTTGTCCGCACTGCCAAAAAAATACATTTTTGTCTTGCGTACAAATAAAAGTATCTAAACATTCTTAAAACACAATAAATTTACTTAAAAAGCAAAACAGCTATTGCATTAAGATTATACGAGACTATATGAGAATAAATCTTGATTTAAAGGGAGATTTTTTTGTTACGCAGTCAAATATTTTTCTTATATCTAATATTAAGCATAAATCTAACAATATTTACTGAGGCTTATAGTTAAAAATAAGAAAAAAATGACCAAAGATGTAACTTTAAAATTCATGATATATTCTATGACTAAGAGTTTTATTATTATTATTTTTATTTATTTATTTTTGATTAATTGAAGGATGTATATATATTTTTTACTCGAATGCCAGGAAAAAAATTATGATGATTGCCTGTGTTATATTTCATTTTTAAAAGAAAAAATAAGAAACTATATGTTCCATAAAGAAAAATGGAGCATATTTTAGAACCAATCAAATTTTTTGCATTATTTGTATGACAATTAAGAACATTTCCCCCGATTTTAACAATACTATTAAATGTCACGCAAAAAAAACAAGAATGTATTTTTTAATTGTATGTATGTGTAAATTATGATACTATTTTATGTATTTTTTGTTTTTATTTAATTTGTTATTTATTAAAGGAGAACTCCGGTCAATTTTAACATTGAGCTCATTTTTTTGTACATTTGGAGTGCTGTCAGTACAGACAAAAACGACAAAAATCGATGTTGCCTACAACGTGTTATCCTCTTTTTAAAATTCGCACCCTGTTGACTTCAATGGGGCAAGTTCTAAACCTGCTTTTAGCCTCTTAACATCCTTGATTTGTCATTACAAGTGCACAGCCATGTGAGTGGTGTTATTAAGAGTGACCACGGTCAATCTGACTGCAGTAGATGTGCAAGATATGAATAAAAACGATGTTAATTCAGCCAGCTCACATACCTGTATTTACTTCCTGTTTTCGTTCGAAGTCCACAGCAGTCGATTGTCGAGTTCGCGCGCGCGATCATTAGTTATTAGTTACCAATGATCGCGCACGCGAACTCGACAATCGACTGCTGTGGACTTCGAACGAAAACAGGAAGTCAACAGGGTGCGAATTTTAAAAAGAGGATAACACGGTGTAGGCAACACCGATTTTTGTCGTTTTTATCTGTACTGACAGCACTCCAAATGTACAAAAAAATGAGCTCAATGTTAAAATTGACCGGAGTTCTCCTTTAAGAAAAATCATGTGTTCAGACCTTAGAAAACATCTACATGCATTATGATATTGACAATGAGAACGAGGTTTGTTTTTTTAAATGAGAATTTAATTGTCATGGAAATAATGCCATAATAATACAAAAAAAAAAAAAAAAAAATTCTTTCTAATATTTTCTTCAAGTAAAAATATATTCATTTAGGGGTTAAACATGACTGTGACGTGTTCTTGATAGACTTTGTGAGATTCTCCCAAGTAGTAAACAGTGCTAATGTGACCATTGTTGAATTAATGGTGACTAAAGGAAACGTCTCCAATACGGGACAGAAGACAGAATCTCACAGAGGGTCTCTGTTGGCACGTGGGTGGCTGGGTGGGTATTTGTGTCCGGAGGTGTTAGGAGCTCCTTTGGCTCTTTATTTTTATCTTCAGTTTCTGTATGACTATATAAGACCCATTTAAATGAGGTTTGAGTCCTTTTGTTTATTTCTGAATGCTGACGATATCATTATATTAGGGGTGGAACGGTACACAGAAGTTACGGTTCGGTTCATACCTCGGTTCAGACGTCACGGTTCGGTATGATTTCGGTACAATGGAGTGAAAAGCAAAACAAAAATGCAGAAGGCATTTTTATAAATGTCTTAAGCCTTGTATTTTTTAAATAAGTTTTATTAATAAAGGCATAGAACCAGTTTATTTGTAGTGCACTGACAATAGTTTTATATAATTAGTTTATTAATTAAATTATTAAAAAGATGAAAAGACCTTGAGATATGTTTGGTAATTGTACCTGAATGAATTTAAAATTAATTTGCTATTTCAGATCAATATATTTGTTTTCCTTCATTTTAGTTAACCCTAACTTTATTCTCATCTGAATTATAAATAGTTGATTTCCGTATAAAATAATACTACCATTCAAAACTTTTGTTAACAGTTGTAGGTTACAGTTCGACAAGAGTTTAGAGTCTGACAAAAGCACAATGTAGTGTTTTATTGCGAGTGTACACAAATATAAGTAACAATTTGCAGTTTTAATGATGTCCTGTATAAAAAAAATGACGGAGTATGTTTTTATATGGTATGTATGAAAACGTATGTATGTATGTATGTATGTATGTATGTATGTATGTGGGCGGCAGTGGCTCAGTGGTTCATGTGGGTTGTCTACAAACCGGAAGGTTGGTGGTTCAATCCTCGGTTCCACCTGACCAAGTGTCGAGGTGTCCATGAGCAAGACACCTAACCCCAGCTGCTCCCGACGAGCTGGATGGCGCCTTGCATGGCTGCCGTCGCCCGTCGGTGTATGAATGAGAGAGTGAATGGGTGAATGTGAGGCAAATTGTAAAGCGCTTTGGTGGCCATTGGGTCTGTGAAAGCGCTATATAAATGCAGTCCATTTACCATTTATGTTTCCTCTGTTCGATCACGCAGAAGAGATCATCTCTCTCGCACGCGCGCGCACACACACACACACACACACTGTTCGATCGTGCGATTCGCGCCCGCGCCTCTCTCTCTCGCACACGCGCGCGCGCACACACACACACACACACACACACACATACTGTTAATCGCGCCTCTCTCTCTCTCGCACACACACACACACACGCACACACGCACTCCAGCATTGCAATCTTGATCGCAGCCTGTTCATTGCTGCGTTCACAGTCACACCAAAAGCGAATAAAGCGAAATTTATCGCTATTTAAGAGGTTTTTATTGTACCGTGTATTCTCCGTGCAAATTCGTGCACCGAACCGTGACGCCCGTACCGTTTCGGTTCGATACGAATACATGTACCGCTCCACCCCTACATTATATGTGTGGTAACTTTGAAGAACACTCATACAATAGACATGAATGACAAAATAAACGGACGTGCCAATGAATCCACAGAGATGTTTCTGGGAACAGCCAAGAAAACTGAGAAATGGCATTTGTTCGACACATTGAGGCCCTTCGGATGCCTAATAAACTCAGTTGAATGCTGAAAAGAGGCCTAGAGACACGCAAGCGCCATCTATTGAATTATTCATCCATTAACACCCTGCACCAGCTGCTCCGTCGCTCTTCCTCTTATTAATGGAGCTGTCAATTTTTTCATTTATCGACTGCTAAACTGCACTCCATCTCCTTGGCATTTTCATTACCATCCTGCCATCTTTCTTTATGTGTCTGCTGTCTCTGTCCATCTCTCTTTCTCTGCCTCTTGTAAGTTCTCTGATGGCAGCGTCTGTGTTTGTCAGCCCATCACACACAGAAAAAGGCACAATGTAAGTTTTAGAGGAAACTAGTTTTAGAGGTAGTTTTAGAATTAATTGACTCAAGATAGCCTTTGATGTTCATAGTTTTTTAGACTATTTTAGCTTTTTTCCACCCTTTGACTATTAAACACTATTAAATTAAACAGGCAGTTCCCTTTCGTAGTCACTCCGAGTTACGTCGGATGACGGAGAATGGGGGTTTCGCCAGAAAGCCTATCATCTTCGAGTATTAAAAAACGAGCCTATGGCAATGAAATGCCATGGGTCTGTGGAATTTGCATAATGTATCTCCGCCCCACCGCGTGGGTATTTAAGGAGAGACACCTGCAACAGCAGATCATGTTTTCGCTTCGGAGCCAAGAGCATCTCTTCACTCCACAAGCCAAATCCTGAGTTTCTAATCAGTGACTTCATCTCTTCGAGACGAGCGAACTCTCCGGTGTTGGTGTTACGGCGGTATCCAGCGAGCTTCACATTGCCTGCGATCTGAGCAGTGGTCTGCCAGTCTGTGTGTTCTCCCTGGTCGCTTCAACATCCGCAGAGTTTTTCCTCTCACTAAAGAGCTGCACGCGGCACGTCTTTTTAAAGACGCGTCTTTCTAAAGACGATCTGCCCGTGTATTTCTGAGTGTGGTGTTCTGAAAAATTCAGCTGATGGGCGCGAGCGCTGTTTTGAGTGTTTGGGCTTTGATCGCGCTCAGACAGCGCTCGTGGATGTGTCACGTTCTCTCACTGGGAACGTGACCATCGCAATGTAACGGTCGAGACTCGATGAGCTCAATAGAGTGAGAGTCCCCTCATCCACACCCCGATCTATTTTTCTCCACGTGAGATAATACTTCGGCTGGTGGCCAGGGTGACCTAAGACGGCAGGTTTGGAACTAAACCGACGAAAATTCCTCGGTCCACACCCCGTCTTTCACATTGCAACCCGCGTGGTCCCGGGTGAGTTCGCCGGCCCGCCCACGGGCCCGCTGTGTCATTCGGTCCCCCGGCTGATGAAATCATGTATATCACCGCATCACAAGGTGAGCTGGAGTCCTCTAGAGATGATAGCTCGTCTGTGCTGCCGTCCTCGGATGTGCTAGCATAACGAGTTTGATCCAGAGTGCACAGCTATGCTTTCCCGGGCTGCCGCGAGTATCGGGCTTGTGTGGAACCTTCTGCCATGTCCCGAGCACTTAAGGCTGATGATTGGTTTTTGGGGGTGCCGAACCCAAATCCTTTCTACCCGGACGTGCATGAAGAGATCATGAGATCGTGGAAGTCTCCTTTGACTTTTCGCGACTGCTCAGTGGCCTCTTCCGCCTTCTCTGCCCTTGTAGAGGCCGCGGCCTAGGGTACACTGGGGTTCCCCCTGTGGAGTGTTCTGTGGCAACACTTATGTGT